ATGAATAAATAAATTGCCACTGCTTAGGGACTATATGCTTTAAAGATATTTTTCCAAAGCACATTTCTATATAAAACACTTAACATGTGCTTATTTTTTTATGTAAAAAATTATAATAAATTGCAACTTAACTATGGGTAACCAAGCAAATTTCACACTTAACCATTAGTTGAATTGATTTTCAATTTAAAAACTAAAAAGGAAAATTTGTTTGTTGTTCTCATTTACAAGATGTATTACAATAAAAAAAAGTTGTCTTTTGTGTGCGCGTGCATGTATGGTGTTGTTTTTTTTTTTTTTACTTTCCCACTTTGAAATACCAAATTTTGAAATGCTGGCATGGACAGCATTAGAAGGGGTGTGGGGATTGATTGATCACAGCTCAACACTGTCTGGGAGCTCAAAGGGCGCGCCAGGATACTTCATGATTCTGTTTAGTGTGGGCCCACTGAGAGGAGTTCATCAAGGGGTATGTGCTGCAATGCCTGGAGTTTAACTCTGCTAAAACTTTGTCTGGTTTTAAGTATTCAACCTTTTGAATATTATTGTTCAAAATCGTTTTAAGTGCACAAAATGTGCAAAGTATTTGAACATCCATGAAAATGTTTTGTTCATTATTATATTTAACTTTTTTTTGTCTCATTCTTTTTATACAATTCTGCTCTAAATTTATGCATAAAATATTTTTAAAATTTCTTTGATTGTAACCCTTTAAATGCCATTTCTTGTCATAAAAATGACCAAATCTTCTGTCGACAAACACAAACTTTCAACATTTTTCCAATATAGTATATGCAAAAGCAGGTAATTTCATGCTGTTTTATTATATTGTATTGATACGGGGACCTCTTATCAAATAGTGTCGTCAACTACTGGACTGTTTTTGTTTTTTTTTATGCCCAAAACTATTCTTGAACATGAACATCTATCAATGAAGATGATTTTTAGCTTTTTTCCCCCCTTTAATTTATCATAAAATAGCCTTTTGAAGCCCCTTGAGATGGGGCGGCCACAGAGGCTGTACGTGTAAACCTGTTTCTCTGACGTGCACCATCTGGGCTATGTCTGGAAAGAATCTGTACTGGGCCTGGTGTGTGAAGAGCAGCAAAAAACACACTTGCGGCACTGGATGTATGGATGTGGATGTTGTAATTTATGGTTCAAGAACATATATTTTTGTACAGAAAACTGACAGTAATTACTAGCATACAATACATAATACAATACATAACATCAATATTATACCTTATATAAATTTGTCAAATTATAGTGAAGGGTTGAATAATGGGAAGATTTAGTAACATTTTGTAAAATGTGGTAAGATTTGGGCAGTACAGTGTTGAATAAGAAACTTCTTGGCTTATTATTGGCTGCCACATATTTGGAGCATCTGATCAGATGCAGCATCTGGTCTTTTTAATAATAATGCATTTTTTGGGGGGATTTTCCTGCTTTATTGTTTTTTTGTCAGTGATATAAAGTAGCTTCAATATTGTTTATCGCAACATTTCTTGGTAGCAAAATATCGTGCTTCAAATTGTTTACCGTGACAGGCCTGTTAGTACACAGACTTATCACTGCTTGTCCAAAATCAAAAATCTGGATGAGACTTGGGACATCACATTAGTTTAACTTCATGTCTAAATTGGGTATTATCTATGGAAGATAATTTGTTGTTTGTTTCATCAGATTTTGAGTTTTAAATGCAGTTGAATTTCGCACTTTGAAATTTTTTACGTTTGAATTAGGGATGGGCATGATTAGTTGAATAATCGATAAATGATTAAGAATTTCGTTGATCACATTCATTTTTAAATCGACAAACCGAATGTAGGTTGCTGTGCGTAGCGTAAGGAGACGAGACTGCGTCTGACAGCGCAAACACTGAAGTTGCGGCCTCACAGTCACATGTTTCGGCTCTGGCACCTCCTTGGAAATTACTGTACCACTCAGTAAGTGCGTTTACATGCACATCAGTATTCCAGTTAAGATCGTTTTTTGTTTTTTTGTTTTTTCAGTTAGGGGATACTCCCAGTTACTGCAACATAAAGTTGAGTGTGCATGCGTCCAAAAGACAAACACTTGTCAGTCTTTTCATCACAACAGTAGCCAAAATAAATAAAGTGACGAACATAAATAGAGTGAAATGTTAAATAAAGAGCTGCGCTAAACCTGCACACGTACAATTTCTGAAAACATGAACCATCTCCAACGCAATATATGAACAGAACAGACTCACCATCAGCATCATCAACATCCCTATGTCACAGAAAGAACACTCATATTCCACTGAGTCGTGTCCTTTAGTCCGACATAATACAAATAATTCAAACATCTTTTTTTAGAGTTTTTTAGAGAATATATAAAGAGAAAAAATTCAAAGTGAGAAACTCAGCAGTATTTAAACTTCAAACGCTAATGGAACAAATTATCCAGCATTACTTCACTACACATTGGTCAATATGTAAACTTACATTTTGTCTTTGGCATTTCCTTTTTGTAAATTGTGGACATCAGAGCAGTAATGAAAAGACCACAAGGTGGTCTCTCAAACTCTGCTGGAGGTCTGTGCATACTTTGCTCTGTATTTTTGATAAGCACAGATCATTTCTTTTTGGTATAAAAGAAATCTACAACAAATGATTCCAAGACACTTCTTTCCTCACCCATCTTGGGCTGGAGAGGTGTTGTTTCCTGCTCTTCATATACCAGGCCCAGTACAGGTCCAGTCAGAGTATGGTTTAAATCAGAGAAACAGGTTTACACCACTTACAGCCTCTGGCTGCCTCATCTAAAGGAGATTCAAAATGCCATTTTATGCTCAGTTTTCTATAGTCTTATTTGCAATGCATACACACACATACACATGTATGTGCTCACATGCAGACACCCTAACAGTGTGTTTATGGTCACTGTCTGTACATGTTTAGCCTCTGTTGTTTTAGGGTTGTTTTTATGGTTTCTTGATGAACATGCACGTGGTGGCTGAGGGGAAAAACTGTACAAAATCTTCATCGATAGTGTTCATTGATGTTCATGTTCAAGAATAATTTTATAGCCAAAATAGCAAAATAGCAAGAGACCAGAATTATGTAGAGTGGGTTAATATTAACATTTGAGACCATAATGATGAGGTTCACTGCAGCAGTTACAAAGAGAGGGGTAACAACTTTTCAATGTAAAGTCAAAAGTCAATCCCATGTCCACCTCCTATTTGGAATGTGGCAGCTAGCGAGTTAGCCAAGTCCATTTAAATATACAGCCTATGACTGAGGCCTGCAGTTATAGGGGCAAATTTGGGGCAGATTTCCATATTTCGAATTCCCCAACACAACTATCATTAGCGACCAAAGAGGAAATCCAAAGTGAGGCTGCTGAAGGTCACACCCCTTCCCACCCACAGTGATGGGTTGGCAGGGATCGGGTGCATGGCAATACTGTCAATCAAACCTGTTGCTAATACTAGCAGGAGTGACCTTGGGGATACGTAGCAGCTGATTTGTGGCAACAGTTTTTAATAGAAAGTTAATTGGTTCCAGAGTCAGTGGAGTCGGAAGCGCAACCATGTGTACTTCCTATTTGGAACGATAGCAACTTAGCCATGTAAATTTTTACAGTCTATGGCAACAAGTCAACAATTCACTGATTCCCTTATTTGCTGTCAAGATCGGCACCCCCAATGCAAATTAGTACAACCTGAATGACGAAGCCCACAGAAACTTCTGGAAGAAGCTGAGTAGACGTTTTGGCACACAAGCAAGGCACAATAACAGCACTATCAAGCACCTAAGCATTAAAATTGCTCCAAGCTATACATTTTGCTTCTTGGGGAGCTTTCACACTGCTAGTTTGATTATTTGGTCCTCACAAGGCAATCAAATTGTTATTATGTAGCATATAGACTCCAGAGTGGTCTGCTTCCACACCAGTAAACTAACAAAAATTTGTCCGACTGACGTATATCCAAGGTTTCTTCGTACAGTGGGTTCGACTGCAGGTGGCTCAGGGATGCTGAGGCTCTCCCGCAACCCAGACCTCTCGGAAGCAAGGCCAAGACGCACTGTCTTGCCCAGTGGCCTTCCACAGAGTCCCTCTGCAGGGTACAGACGGTGGGGGATAGGGACATAAACCTACAAACTCCATGCTGAAGGGCAGGCTTCTGGACCCACCCCCGGCCCGCCGCTGGGTGGGGGAGTTTGGTGCGCTCAATTCAGGAGTCTGAGCCTGCCCTCCCATGCATTTCAAATTTTCTTTGGAGTAGGTCTATGGTTTGGACCCAAGTTTGCGTTCACACCAGCGAGACTGCACCAGAGTTTGGCATTTGGTGCGAAGTTTTTAAGTGCAGATCCGAGTGTGATTGATGCTTTCAGGTCAACGAAAATGAATTGAACTAAGAGCTTTTGGTTGAAATGGAACATTTGGTGCGCATCAACTGCTGTCGATGTGAAAGCACCCTTGAATAATAATTATTAACGAAAATGTCCATGTACATCAGCAGCATGGAGCATTGATTTCTAATCTGCAACAGATCCTGTAGTCCTGACTGGAAAATGTTATCCACCCATCTATAACTTGTTGAAGTGGCTGGGTTGTAAGCATCTTTAAGAGCAAATTCTTTGATTTTCAATCAGAATAATACAACATTGAAAGGTCAGAGGGCTTAATGGCCCAAGACTCCCATCATTTCTGAGTTGACTCCATGTGCTATCATTTACTATTACATAAAACAAAAATTTTTACTATTCAAGAACAGTGTGGGTGTCAAGGATAACACACACTGAAACACTAATGACCCACTGCACTTAATACAACTTTAGTAGTTCCAAATCTGAGGGGTTTACACTTCTGAAGTAATCCTTTTCATTGATATAAAAAAAAACAAAAAACAACAAACTCATGTGATTCAATGATAATGAAGGGCAGGCAAGTGCAATGAAGTGGTCATCACATTAAAACATGCATGCAAAATGCTACTTTGTCAAGACAAACTCTTTACTTACCGTGTCATCACTTCGATACGGATTCAGTTTGTTGTATACCGCCTCAATTACACTTCGCCTACACAGAGAAAATGTATAATCAATTTAAAGTTTAGGATAATGCTACAGAAACTAAATTTGAAAATAAAATAAATAAATGGTCCCACATTAAAAATAGCAATTGTTCAGGGAATAACAAAATATACGGTTTCACTGTATTTTTTTCTATGTGTGTTAAATACATAAATCTGTGGTTAGTGATCTCGAGCCTACAGTTCCTCCTAAATCCTGTGTGCTGGAGACCTCACTAACTTGAAGTGGATAGCTTTAGCTTCACTGCTACAGTTGTGCAAATAAATGGACATGAGCATTTTTTAGTTTTACATGTCATTGACACATTTATTTGTTGAGGTTTGTCTCTGTTCAGAAATCTGTTATGAAAAGCCATGCTCATTTGTTTTTAACCAAGAGGCAAAGAGGGGTTTCCCAAGGTTATGGGAAGGGGAGTAGTATGAGGACAAACAAAAAAACAACTTATGAATCTGGACAAACCAGAGAAAGTAATCTTGTAAAAGGACTGAAGGGCTGCTTGTGAGCGCCCCACAGGCAGGCAGGTGAGTCTAAACCTGTCTGTGTGTTAGGGTAATTTCATCAAGTAAAGATACTGCCCCAACTCAGAATATAGTGCTCACAGGAAATCCAGGATTTGGGCTTGACAATTCTAATTAAGCGATTTAGCTCGCTTCATAGTATACCTGTCGGGGCCTAGAAATGGTTTAGAATTGGTTAGCAACGTTAACCTAGATATAGAAAACTAGATGATTTTTGGAGTAGATGACAACATGCCCTAAATTACCCCCATGTACAAGATGATGAAGAACAACTTCTGGTCACAAGCTTAATTTAAACATGATCTCAAACTAAAGTGTTCCAGACAACCCATAGACCTGTGATGGAAATGATGCATGCTTTATTATACAATTTATTACACAATTAAAAATGAAATCTTAAATCTACTTGTACTTTGATTACATAAGAACCCTTGTTCGGATCCAATCGTGAAAACTGACAGAGAACTTTAGACATATAGAGTGCAGTGGTGCAGCAGTCAGTGTGCATGTGGCTGTACAATCTAAAGCAGTGTGGAAAATCAGTTTTGTAATGTCTATTATTATCTGACAAAATAAGAAATATGAAGTGTCAAGACCCAAAAGTGAGTTTGCTTCGCAATCTGCATCGACAGATGTTTTGGCCGTAGAGAGACAAAGAGGTAGACACGAGGTACAGAACGTGGTCAAGTCAGAATGACTCAATCCATTGTTCAACTCCAAACCTGTGTGTGATGTTCGAAATCATTGCAAAAGCAGATCTCTGCTCGACAAAGCCAAGCACAAGTCAACTTTACCCCTCAAATCAGCTTTTAAAGACTCAAGTTGTAATTAGACTGGGAGACACAGTCCTGTTGCATTCTCAAGTAACACTACTAGATACTATCGATCGTTACATGCCAGTTTTGTCCTGACAGAAGACCAAAAAGCACTGGTCAGCCTGAACAAAGGCCACCTGCTAGTAAAATTATTTTGTATATTATTAGTATATAAAACATAATTATTATAACTACTATAATACCTATTTTTCCATAAGACCTTGATTTTGGTAAAATATTATTCCTTATCCGCTCTACATAAACAATCATGTTTTCATCAGACTTACTTGCTTGCCAGCTCTCCTCCAGGTGGAAGGTTGGGGATGCTTTCAGATGCTAATGTCCGCATCACATGGACCAAATCTGGGACTCCTTCATCTCCTTGCTTTTTGAGTATTTCTAATGGAAAATCAAACACAAAGGTAAAAGGTACTAACTTGTTTAAAAAAAAAAAAAAAAAAAACTGTATCAGTGTTTTTTTTAAATAATTTTACCTTCTACTCTGGATTCCAAGTATTTATCCAGCTCAAATTCACGCTTCACTGCTTCAGGTGAAACCTTGGGTGCCCCAGAAAAACAGACTAGCACAACACTCATATTGTCCCGACTCCCCTGTCAATATAAACACAAATCTTACTATGGTGTACTAAAAAAGAAACCACCTAATTTACTAATAAGTACATACCTTATACAAGCAGGTGTCAAGGATTTCATTGCTGACTCGTTCAAGGTCATCTGTCACCTCTAGCCTTGACCTGACAAAGTCACAGAGTTGTTCATTGGCCATAACATCCCAGATGCCATCACATGCTAGAATTATAAATTCATCTTCTGCTTCAGATCGCTCTATAGCATAAACTTCAGGCTCAGGAGACACCAGCTGCTCTGTGGGGCCTTTTCCATGCACACATTTGTAGTCGAAGTCTCCAAGTGCTCGGGACACAGCCAGGGAACCGTTGACACGCTGGATCATAACAGAGCCACCAGCATTCTGGATCCTCTCCTTCTCCAAGGGATTATTAGGTTTGTGATCCTGTGTGAAGAAGTGCACTGCTCCAGCCCTGCTCAGCAGTGCACGAGAGTCACCACAGTTGATAAAGTACACATGAGTGGGAGAAATTAACACTCCCACTGCAGTCGAACCACTGCGGTCCACACCATGCTTCTTCTCTGAGATGGTTCGCATATGTTCATCAATCTGCAGGAACCCTGTACGGATCCCATTCTTCACACTGTCTACACAGGCCTCCTCCTGTAGAGCACTCTGGAAGTCTGAATTAGTTGTGATGTGCTCAAGCAGGTGCTCACAGCAGTATTTGGCCACCTGAGAGCCTGCATGGCCATCATAAACAGCAAAAAAGGACCAAAGGTCCAGCCCATGAGGCAGACCTATTACTGCTGTGTGCGCATCTTCCATCTCCACTCGCCAGCCCTGCATACTGCTTAGACCATACCTCAGGCTATTCCCCTCACCATGAGAATTGTATTTCTCCATCTTTGGTTTATCCAGGAAAGCCCCCATTGTGTCCCACCTGTAATTGTCAAAGAAAGAGAAGAATAAATTACAACAGTATAAAAAAAAGCTCACAATAAATTCATCTTGAGTGGTAAAACAAACAGGCATGTGATAGACTTTTTGACACAGAAATTGGCTTACCTTGAATAAAAGGTTAGATTATACCATATCAGATTTTAACTTACAATAAAAATGTCTCGACTAGTGTGACAGACAGTAATGAAAACTCAAATGTATAGCTACAGAGACCTTCATGTAACATGGGTTGTTATATAACACATACTTCACTGTTTATCCCACATGTCAACAAGAGAGTTTTGTGTCAAATTCATTATAATACTCAAATAAAGACGCGGGCCCACAGCCGCGTCCCGCAATTCAAAGTGTGACGGGCCTCCTTTCATATTTGGTAACGTAGTAGTCAAGAAAGCAGCCCAGGGCCTTTCTATGTATTACCACTGCTAGCCTGGCCAGCTACCACACTTACGTCAACATTTAAGACTGCTTAAAATCAGCGACTTACCAAAAACCCAATTACGAATGGACAGGAGCAAAACTGCAGAGGAAAGCTGAACAGTGTTCTAATTCGTTGCACCAGAATGGGCAACCCGATGAAATTATGAATTTACGACGGCACAGCTAGGCTAGCTAGCCTGTTAGCAAGTAATAATCGTCACTCAGTACAAAATGCATCTAATTATAGTTACGAATGTCTCTGTTGACGTGCGCCCGTGAAGAATTACATTATCCCAGCTGACGACATAAACTATGGCTTACAATGAATTGTGGGGAAATAAATGGCCGCGTTTGAGTGGCCAAGCCAGGGGAAGCTGAAACGTTTGTCCCAGCCTCTCCACTTGACAGCTTGACAGCTTGCTAGCTAACTTTAGCCAAAGAGCCTCCGCGCAGGACCCGGATGTTGCGGGCTGCGCTTTGGGAACACATGACGTCACCTCAGCAGCGCGAGCGAGAGCCGCGCGCGCCACAGGGCACCGCAGGTTCACAGCAGACAGACTACTCATAAATACTGACTGCTGTTAAAACAACAACGTTTCCAGCCACATGGTTAACATATTTAACTAAACTTGCACAAAACGTTTAGACGACTTTTATCAGAGAGGCGCAATCGAATGACCTTAGATAGGCGATTTACGACTGCTCACCCAAGCTATGGAGAGCATACTCCAAATTTAAGCAAAAAACTTGGCTTACAGCATAAACATTTTGTGAACAAAATCAGCTTGATGTAAAATGCACCGGGGAATGTCCATTGGGATTTATTTTCAGATAAATAATTGTGTCCCCCCCGCAATGTCGGTTTCACAGCTATAATGTGTGAACACAACCCAACTCTATATATTTGATCTATTTGACTGAGGGCTACATTTGTTGCCACTGCCTGCATGTGAAATATGTGCTACTGTAGTGTACTTGTCGTCTGTGGATGCACTGATACTATTAGATACCGGCCTTGGTCCACAAGATTTAGTTGGATCAGGTGTTGTGTCGACTCCAAAATATCTGTTCAGCCAATATCCTAGGCCTACAAAATGGATGGTGTAAGCCTAATAAAACCATTTACTGGCCTTTGTTTTCCAGGACGCCTAATAATGTTAAAAACATTTTTTTTTTAAATAAATACATTTGGATAAGTTGTTGTTGTTGTTGTTATTTTTGTATACAGAGAAATTAGTGGGGGATTTTTCCCACTCCTTACACAATTATTGGCCGGTATCAGGTATTGACATATTAAAGTCTCTAAACTGATATCCGAACTGAAAAAGCTGGTTCTGTGCATCACTACTTCTCTGCTTTTGATATGATGTGAAGGTTTTCTGTCCATGCTGCAGATTTTGTTTTCCAAATAATAAAGTCAAAATGTTCAAAACCCTGAAAAGGCCAGTAAACCAATAAAGGTACAGAGCAGCATCCATGTGACTAAATCTGCCATGTTGGCAGCTGTGAATTAGTGGTAATGAATGGCACAGAGTCTTTTTTATTGGCACTCGCCACTAACTTTGTTAGTGGTGAGGGGTATTGTTCTTAGTCGGTTTCTTATTTTTATTATTATTATTCTTTTTCCGACCAAACGATCGCATTTTTGACCCCCTGAACATCGACGAAAAGTCCCCAAACCAGGGTTCGGAACAATCAGCCCGGCAAAAATTTGATAAAATGGGCATCGCGACAATGACCAAAGTGACCCACCTAGAATTCGACCCCTATGGGAGTTTGGTCAGGCAAACTTTGTCGCAGGGAAATGAAATTTGGAACAGTGATAGAGAACAATGAGACAAGCCAAAAGATGAATTGGAGCATGACCCTATGATGAACAGGAAGTTGGCCATATTGGATAAAACATTCGGAGCCGTTTTGACTTGGGTGTCTACAAAAAGATTCAAGTCCCCGGGGTTTGCTCCAAATGAGCTCAAATTTGACATGTCACATCTACAGACATAAACTCACAAAATGCATCAGAAGGAATTTTGATACTCCTTACGGTTCGCCCGTAGCACGCCGGCGAAAAATGACTTCATTTCCTGTTTTTTCGGTGACCTGTCACGGCCACAGGCATTGTCTTAGAGAACTCAAATTCAAATCACAATTGTGTGATCCAGGCCTTAATGTAATGAAATATGAAATCTAATAAAAGTGAACTCTGTAGCGCCCCCTAGCATAGACATGAAACGTCAACATTATCGGATTTGTACCAAATTCGGGAATTAAATTCTGTGTATGATTACAAGCAAAAAAGTCTATTACAGACATGGGGCATTTTCCACGTTTGGTCAGCAGGGGCGCAAAGACTCCCCCAAAAAATTGTAAAAAATGTATTACACAAACAGGTTTTGTCTGATCGTGCTGAAATTTGAATCACTAATGCCTGATCACGGCCTGAATATAATACACTATAAAACATATGAAAAGTGAACTCTATAGCGCCCCCTCAACATAGACATGAAATGTCAACATTATCGGATTTTATCAAATTCAGGAATTAAATTCTACACATGAATACAAGCAAAAAAAAAGTCCATTATCGACATGATGTATTTTCCACCACTGGCCAGCAGGGGCGCAAAGACTCCTTAAAATATTTAAAGGTGCATTATGTAATGTGTCTAATGGACGAGCTGTCGACCTGGGCGGATATCGGGAAGAGAGAGGCGTGCCGGGCCGGTCGCGAGTCCCCCGGCGGCCTGGGGGGCGACTGCGCGCCGGGGCGAGGGCCACCATCGCCGCGTGCGGCTTTAATTTTTATTTATTTTTTTGTCATTTGCCTAAATGAAATAATGATTTATCTTAAAACTAATTAGATTAAACATTAAACCAAACTCTGGCATGGGTGTTATTTTAAAGAGTATTGATTCATATAGATTTTGCCTTAGCTCTGCAATAACTGGACAGCTTTTCATTTTCTTATAGCATCAAAAAGGATATCTGGAGACATTAAAGCCCTCATTTACCTATAACATTTACTGATACTGACAGTTTAAATTATGTGAAACTGATAAAATAGCAATTACAGGATGTGCTCTAGCTAATGTGTAGATGTTGTAGTAGCCTATAAGCAGGCTAAATCCCTCATCAATGTAATAAAAAGGCAAAAAAAAAAAAGCACCAAATTTACAGTTTTTGACTCTTTAGGAGATGTTGTTGAATCTTTCAAAGAAAACCACATTCTTAAAAAACAATAGTGAAATTTAAATAAATAAAATACTTTCATATCTTCATTCATGTAAGGCTTAATTAGCTGCTAGCCCGTTTAACTGCTGAAATCCAACCTCCTGGTGAAATCCTAATCTCGTCAGATCTCTGAAACTAAGCAAGGCTGGGCCTGGTTAGTACTTGGATGGGAGACAGATGGGAATACCAGGTCCCAGTGGGGTGCCAGTGTAAGAACTATTGACAGGCTGATGGCACAAATTGGCAGCCTCTTTTCCATCTGTCTGCCCCAGGGCAGCTGTGGTTACAATAGTCTCTTACCACCACAGAGTGTGGAGTGAATGATGCTCTGAGTCTTTAAGTGTCCAGAAAAGTGCTATTTAAAATTGAGCCATTATTATTATTATTATTATAGGTCAGTCTAAACCAGGGCAGCTGTGCTGTGGTTCCAGTAGTATCTTACCACCACCCCCGAGTTTACAGAGATCTACCTTAAACCCCACCACCTGTAGCTAATGATTGCTCAGAGATCCTGCAGCCTCTGCTGCTGCAGCATTATGTCCTTATAGGCCACTGAGAATGAGGAAGGCTTTGGCCGCATCTTATTTCTCTCTCCTCGAGCTGCCATTTTTCAGCTGTCAATCAAATGTGTCATATTAATCGGTGTCTCAAAAAAAAAAAAAAAAACACAGAAAGAAGCAGTAAACATGAGGGAGGCTTCAGGAGGCAGACATCAGATAAAATAATCAAACTTTATCGGTCTCACTGAGGAGTTTATCCTCTCTCCTCGCTTTGCCATTTCCTGCAGAATCGAGGAGAGGTATCAAGGAGAAGGAAGTGAAGAAAGAGAAATGAGAAGTGTCCTATGAGTCTTCTATGTGCAGGTTAAGACTCTTGCAACCAACTGATTATGTGATTATGATTATTGTAGGATACTTGTAAGCAACATACATTTCCTTTAATTATTGGTACTTTGCAGCTGATGTCTGCTGATGGGGGTGTGATGCTGAAGACACTGCTCTGTCTGAGGCTTGTTTAATCTGATAACACAATTTGACCACAAAAAGATGGTTTAGTTAAAAACTGTTACACAAGTCTCTCACACATTAAATTACAGTTACAAGCTAATTAGCATTTGCCAAATTTTTTTCAGTTAGTCACTCTTACCTAGAGTCACCAGAATTTCAAAATAACAAACTGGGACATCCCCATTTTTTGGTGGTTGGTAATAATAAAATTGTTCATAATTCACTAACATGTGAGCCAGTATAGTCACATTTTCTTTGTGTTTTGGTCATTTTTAAGCAAATCTTTTGATATTTTACCTAAACAAACAACAATTTATGCTTCTCTTTACTGTTACCATCATCATCCCATTATCATATTGGTTAAAAAAAATAAATAATAAAATAGGGACACCTGGGACATTTCTTATATAACACTGGGGCAAAACTTGGATAAATCTGATGGGACAGGAGACAAGGGGCTCAAAACTGGGACTGTCCCGGGTAAATAGGGACATATAGTCACCCTGCTCTCACCTAAACAGGACCATGAATACTTGTATTGATTACAGGCTCCTGAAAATGTGCTATTTAGTATTTATTCTTGAGTTTTCAAACTTAATACTTGTTCGTGAAAAAGTCGATGCTTATGTGTGCATTGTGCCAGCATAGTAAAGCTATAGATATCCACGTAGAACACCCCCATGTGTGATGTCCCTGCAAATAGCCTACTTAGTCCAAGACATTGTAAATGATAGGTTACAGTTACCTTGGGTGACCAGACGTCCCTATTTACCTGGGACAGTCCCAGTTTTGAGCCCTGTGTCCCCTGTCCCAGCAGATTTATCCAAAAACAGTGATTTGTCCCAGTCTTATCCAAGAAATGTCCCAGGTGTCCCTATTTTTAACTAATCCTATACCTGCCAACAATAAAGAGAAGCATAACTTGTCATTTATTTAGGTAAAATACAGAAAAGCTGCTTAAAAATGACAAACACATTGGTGCCGAGTGCAGAACAATTTTCCTTAATCACTCGTTTCACAATTTCATTATTACAACCAACACAAACCAGAGATGTAAGAGATTTTTATTTTGAAAATCTGGTCACCCTACTTTTTCCTTTACCCTGAGTACTTTTGCGTGTACTCTAAAGGTTTTGGAGAGCTCTCTACATACCCCTTCCTGAAGTCGCCCTTCATGAAGTGACGCATGCGCAGTCTGTTGTCCACGCCAGTCTTGAAGTTGTATCAGTCGGATGCGCTCGGGGGACTGGAGCTCCGCAAAATGGACTCGAGTCTTGTCTCCGTGCTATGGTACCTCGTCCCGCTGTACGTGATCGCGTCTCTGGTGTACACGGTGTTCGCAGATGCGGACATGACCTTGCTGTGGGCCAGTGTGGCGGGGCAGCGGCCAGGTGACGACCGGGGCTGGGGTGTTGAGGGTTAGCTTCAGTGCTCATGTGCAATAGAAGCTGTTCCTGGGAGTCAATGGCCATAACAAAAAACTTTTCCCACAACTGCTTGTAATAATGGTCTGAATTACATTGATCATGGACATCTCCGTAGACAAAAGTACAGACAAGGTGGTTGTTGTTGTAGAGGAGCAGTGCGCATAGGTTTTGATCTTGCCATGATCACTCTACTTTAGCTACGCTACTTCCGGGTCCAGTGTTATGACAACAACCCATGAAAGTGTAATAAGATAATAGATATATATAGATATAATAGCACCAGACCCATTCACTATACTGTCAGTTTGGTCTATAGGTGGTGTGAACAGAGCTATTAAAAAATTTTAAACCGCACCAAAATAGTCTGTGGAGTATTGTCTTCTAAAATGAAAAAAATAAAATTGTTCCTTTCTTTACCATTTAAGAAAAAAGTAGTTTACTTTCTGTACTTTTTATACAAACAGACTTAAGAGCAGCTGTTCTGCACCCATCATCTCTTTTATCATTATCATACCATTAGAGATTGAATAATTCTTTTTTCTGCAAAAATCATCTTTCTATCATTATGTTATCACACATTTTTTGATTCTCTAAGCAAAAATCCCCTCCAACCATTAAAATAAACAATACTGACCCCATTCTGTTTTTGTTAAAGAGAAGAGACTAAAGGGGCTGGTGGTGTGGGTGACTGGAGCCTCAAGTGGCATTGGGGAGGAGCTGGCATACCAGCTGGCACGGTGTGGAGCTCACCTCATCCTCTCTTCACGTCGGGAAAATGAGCTCCAAAGGGTCAAACGCCACTGTTTACGTAAATGAGAATATTTAAACTTGCCATTAAAAGTGAACAATTAAGTAATTTTTGTTTCTTTTAGAATACTCTAACCTACAAGATGAAGATATTCTTGTTCTTCCATTGGATTTGTTGGAGAGGCAATCCCATGAGGCAAAAACTGAAACAGCCATAAAGTACTTTGGACATGTATGTTTGTGGTAGAGGTCCAGACTGTGCCTAAATGTCCACAACTGAAAACTCTTTGTTCTAAAGCCTTTTATTAATTTACACATATCTAAAAGGCAACTATAAATATAAATATAAATAAATATATATATATATATATATATATATATATATAGATAGATATAGATATATATATATATATATATATATATATATCAGATAATTTGTACATGTAACAACAATTTAAGTCACGTTAAGATTTAACATTAAATTAACCCAGTTAGTGTTTGCATGAATGCATAAATAGGCAAATTTTTCTTTCAGATTGATGTCTTGATAAACAATGGTGGCCGAAGCCAGCGGTCCCTGTTCTTGGAGACTGATCTTGAAGTGTATCATGCTTTGATGGAGCTTAACTTCCTGGGGACAGTGTCTCTCACAAAGCAGGTGCTTCCTCATATGACAAAGCGAGGCTCTGGGAGCATTGTGACTGTGAGCAGTGTGGTGGGGCTAGCTGGGGCCCCTCTGGCTACAGGGTACTCTGCAAGTAAACATGCTCTCCAGGTAAAGAACCACAAACGTCCCTAGCACTCACGATAACTGAATGGATCTTAATTATCATGTATTTGACAGGGCTTCTTCAACTCACTAAGGACTGAACTGTTTGACTATCCTAACATCCTCATCAGCACAGTATGTCCAGGCCCAGTGCAGTCCAAAATAGTTGACAATGCATTCACAGAAGTGCTGAATAAGGTAAAGTGTTAAATATTTATTAAAATATTTGTTAAAAATCTGTCATTAACGCCTGTCTAACACTTTGACTCTAAGCCTGTGCCCAAGGTTGGGAGTCAAGAGCACAAGATGTCAACAAGGCGCTGTGTGCGTCTGATGTTAGTAGGAATAGTTAATGGAGTCCAGGAAATGTGGATTGCTCAGCAACCTTTCCTTTTGTTTTACTATGCATGGCAGTATACTCCTACTTTGGCCTGGTTCATCACAAACAAGCTGGGCAGAAAACGGGTGCAGAATTTTAAAGCTGGTCTGGTAAGTAACTCTTAAGTTAACTGTTAAACTCTTGGTTTTTCAAACCTTGTTTGTTACATGGACCCCAGGTCAAAAGGTAGTACTGTTTGTAGTGATTAAAAAAAAAAATAAAGTAGTTCACATTTGACCCCCCACCTAAAAAAACCCAAACAACTTTCCAAATAGGAAGTGAGCATGGGAACGCCTGCTTTCCTATTGCTCCTATGGTCTTGTGAGCTTCATTTACTGGAGCCAAACTTCCTTAGTCCATTCAGCCTATGGCTGAAATACAGCAAAGACTTAAGTGGACATTTTGGACCAAAGCATTAATTGCCTTGTCTGCCATCATCCCATCATTTTGAGTTCCATAAATCTTGTTTATATGCACATTTTTGATCATTAACAATTCAAAGCAAAATATATAAAATCAATTGCCATGGCAGTGGTACTAATTTTTCATTTTGGTTTAAAGTCGTGGTTAGAGATCTAGTTTTTTCCAATAAAACTGTGTTTGTGTTTTTATTTTTGACCTAAAATATAATGGTTCAAACAGTACATTTCTAAACGGCTGTCTTTTTTCCCCCCAGGATGCAGACTCAGCTTATTTCAGCAAACCCAAAGCACCATGAGATGGACAAAGATGGTACTGTACATTTCAAAATTGTAAACTATTTGCCTATCTTCTGAGGTAATGCAGCCCTTAAAATGTGATTAGCAAAACTTTTCATTGTTTCTAATAAATGCATCGTGTGTCCTGTTGGGTTACTTTAAACCCGTTTTTGTGATTTTCATGCTTAAATTGTAAAATAATAATAAAAAGAAATATCTATGAATTTAATATGGGCAGAATTTACAAATTTGCTAGCCCTATGTACTGCTAGTGCTCCTTTTGGGCCACTCAGTTTAAAATGTGTAAAAATAGCATTCTGTTCTTTTCTGCTAATCCACTTCAGTTTTGGCCATGTAAAAATGTCTCAAATTTGAATGGTCAACAAGCAAAGTCACACAGGTCAGTAAAATATCACACAACCCATTTTAAAGAGGGTTTCCTCAACTCTCCCACAGATCCTTCCATTCTAGAATAACAACATTCTGAATTGCTCTTCTATGACAGTATAAAATAGTGAATTCCTGATTGTGGTTTTCCTTTTTCAAAAGACAACAAATGTGTGATTTTTAAGAGTTCATACTTATAATAAAAGTATGACAAAATTACTCAATTTAAACAGGTGTCCCTATAGATGGGCAACGTTTTCATATGATTTACCATAAGCCTGTTCTGTTTTTATTTTTAGGATGGCAATTGAGCATATAGTGTGGGGGCCAGAGAATGGTGTTGGAGATTTGTGTCTGAATATTGGAGAATATTATGCATAATTATCTATAATTAAATATTTTTTGTGTAAATCATAAGGCCATCATATGGAAATATTAACACATCACAGATACAAACACAGATAATTTTGATCAAATAGTAATTTTGGTCAGAACTAAAGTGGATTAACAGATCATGAGCAAAAGGTTTGGAAAAAGAAAATACTACAATTATCAAAAACAGAATAGAAGGGACACAAAGTGTTCTCTTGCCGGTCACAACACAAGGGTTAAATGATCTAAAGAAGACAAAGGACATTGCCAGGTCATTTATTATAGTACATATAAAAATACAACAATTATACCTATAAAAATACAATAAAGGACTGTGGACAAAACACTTAAAACAGATCCTAAATTGTAAACAAGTGTATTGTAAACAGAATTTCAGCACAAACACATTACACATACATCAGGATATATTAAAAGGCACAAATAGACCCTTTGGAAAATGTAAAAATGTACAGTAAATGGGAGGTATTAAGCCCTTGTCTTCCAATGAAGGTGGGCAAATGTCATTAATTTAAGCAAATTTCTCAACATTAAAATGCTAACCTTTAAAGTGTTCTTTTAAGTATTCATAAAGTCTGTTCAATTGTGTAATGCCACATCACTTCTGAGTCTCGAGTCTGTTGCAAACAGAAGTTTTCCTCACATTCAACTGTACCTTATGGGTCAGAGGCTGGGGAAATGTAGTGGGACAGAGGAATAAATGGGGTATCCTAGAGGAGGGTCTGCTGCCTGCACTGTCAGGTTCCGAAGTAGGAAGGGGTGAGCCTGTATGCTGTAGCGCTCTTCGTCATCATTAGTGGCATACAGTAACTCCCAGGACAGATTGGCCCACTGTCCTCGAACTCCCTCCCCATTCAGACGGCCTACCTGCATGAGCTGCTCTTGGAGGGACAAGACACGTCCTGTGTATGTGCCCTGTGGAGAGAGATCAGTTCACTCTCACTGTTGTTTCAAGGTCACCTGCATCATCACACGCTCCATAATCAGTGTCTACATTAGTGGGGATTGTGATATATACTATCAATAGCTATACTATGCATAAATCTTCTTGCTTAATCTGTGTCTTAGTTTAACAAGTTTAATAAGTCTAAACCACTATTGCAAGTCTTGTCATTAAGGGGTATTTTACTTCTATGGGGAATTAAAAGCTAACACATAACATATTTAAATCTCAATGTTACCACTTATTGTTTTGAAAATGCTATATTTGCAGAAAACAATAATTCTGCGTCTGTTGATTTTCCATAATACCCTACCTTTAAATAGACCTACTCTGAGTACAAGATAGGAATGTGTTACATACTACTGCACTCACCATTGTTAGGTCATGTCCCAGTGAGAACAGGAATGGCTTCTCTCTCAGAACGCTGTCATGCCAGCCCTTTTCTGAAACCAATCCAATGTACCAGTCCCGCTCGTATTCCTCCAAGGCGCTGAACAATTCTTCTGCGGACTCCATAGGCCCAAGGCTGGCTTGATCAAACAGCAACTTAAAACTGAACCTAAATCAAGAATATAGATGACTTTCACACACAGTTTAATAAATTATAACATAGTGCATTGTTCTCTTAGTGGTTAGATTAAAAAGGTGGAGACATGTGTTTTCATGATGTTAAAAGTTCAAAATAGATTTTGATTGTAAAGTGCTCTTATTCTAGTTCTGATAAATACAAATCTTTCATACACTTAACTATTCAGTAAAGGTTAGTATCAGTTTGACAACCATAACAGGGTCAACCTGTGATACAGACGGGATGTAATGACTTGAGTCACTGATAGTAGTGTTAATCTCTTTTTTGTGACTGGGTCTCTGCATGCTCTCTACATCACTACAGTTTATAACCATTCATTTACAGAAATGTTTCACTATTCAGTAGCAGAAACAAAAATAAATTGCCCTGTTCATTTTACTTTGTGAATTTATCCTGGGAGAAAAGCTCTACTTTACGGAGTATTAGAATAACCTTAACCCCAATCCCTAAAATTCGACAAATACCTGAAAGCTTGTAGTGCAATCTGGTAGAGCTCTTTACAGGATGAAAGCCAATCCAAGGAGTCTGTCCAGGGTATATCTCCACAGTATAATCTATAGACATAACTGGGGCTGGTGAAGGCTGATTCGGCCCCCAGAGAAACCAGACAGGACATGGTGACATGACAATGCAGTTCCTTTAGTGCCTCGTCCTCTTTCAGAGCTTTGGTCATATCTTCTGTGGTGTCACTTTGAACTGTAGGCCCAAAGCGGCCAAGTGCAAACCGGAACCAGTCCTCTGGAAACAGAGGCTTGAGCTGGAGGAGGCGAGAGGGCAGTAAAGGAGCTGTTCTCCAGCCACTTGGCAGGTTAAAGACCTCAGACTGTGGGCAGCTGAAGTTCAGAGGAGGCAGAGAGCCAAGTCTCTCTCCAAAGACCTCAGAGTGTGGTCCTCTGTCTGCAGCAGGCAGCCCGATGCCCAGTCCCAGAGGCTGCAGTGGCTGCAGTGCAGACAGAGCCATGTTTTCAAATAAACTGTCCATTTCCACAGAGCCAGGCAGAGAGGCTCCTGGCTGCAGTGCTGCAGACCCACAGTGGGCTTCAGCTGTCACCAGAGCCACAGTGCGCTTGGCTGTCTGAGGCCCAAACAAGTCATCCTCATCAGACCACTCCCCAAACGAAGTCATGCTGGAGCTGTCCTGCCTGAACTTCAAAGAAGACATGTTGGACTGGAGGGCAGGTTCAGCTGGCTGCACACAGGTGGTGTGGGCCAGCTGGGAGGACTGAGACCTCCTGCCTCCCATACCTGAGCCATCATCACAGCTCCAGTAAAAACCTTTGTGCTTCTGAACGCAGTAACGCAGCAGCAGCCATACCAAAGCTTTGAGAAAGTCATTCTGGAGTTTCCTCAGATTGTCATGAGAATCAATGATCCCAGAGAGAACATTCCTAGCATCAGAATAAACCCGGACAGTCAATGCGGCACATGGCGTGAGGGCGTTTCCCCAGTGCAGATTGAAGCCTTGAGTCAACCCCAAATGTTCCGGACGCTCAAAGGCCGTTTCAAACACCTCATCTACTCTGCGAGCCTCCACTGTGTGACATGAGGTCTCCTGCAGCTCAAGACCCTGCAATAGATCACACAGATTAGGTAATTTAGTTTAAGGTGTACTTTATTAAACCCTAAAGAATGAAAAGTGTCTACAATACCTTTATGTTAACTGTACAGTATCCATATCCCCGCTCCAGAATCATAATCCAAACCATGCGGTCCTGAAAGCGGCCAAGAAAATGAGACCCTGGGGCCAAGGAACCTAGAGCAGGGGGAAAAACATGAACCAACGATGCGTTTAACATGTATTCAGTGTGACATCAAAAAAGAGGGCAAACACAGGGCAAGAAATTACCATATAATCAAAATCATGTTATAATAATAGCGATTCTGTTTAGCCCAGACCAGCTGAAGTCGAGATGACATGGTTCTACTGTAGAATACAGCATGAATGTTACAAACCTCTGATCAGAGCTCATGCATTTAAGGGAGACAAACAAATGTGCCTCTCTCTCAGCAAGTAAAGGTGGCTAGCCCTCCAATTGTTCAGAAAAATAATTGTCCAGTGTATATTACATTATGACAGCTTTGGCAATTCTCTGAGTGATAGGCAAATTTACCCAATCACAGCGAAGAGAAAACTCAGATAGTTGTAGTTACCCCCTACTCAAGCCTCAATTGCAGGACAATACAGTAAACTCAACAAACAAATGAGTGAAAATACAACACTGAGGAATGAGTGAAAATACAACACTGAGGAATGAGTGAAAATACAACACTGAGCAAGCTAATGATGACTGTTCTAAGATGATTACAAGCTCATAAAAGTACATTTTACACATGTCCCCTATAAAGCGACTTAGTGTACATAAATTATGATCAAATTTAAATTGTGATCTAAACTCTGGTATGAATATTCTGACATAAACCCCAAACATAGTTCGATTAGGTTCATTTGGTTTTCATGCTTTAATAATTTAAAGACCATATCTTAAACCACACATCAAACTAAGATAGTTGAGAGTTAAAGTTAGTTAGCACGCATGCTAAATACACTCACTAGTTCTCCACACCAGGTTGTGAACAAGAGAACATTTGTACAGTTTCAAAACAACAACCTATGTAATATAATTTGTTGTCCTCGTCATGCTCCTCCAGATCAGGCACAGAACCAATCCTAGCAGCCGCAGCAGCTCCATTTGGCCCAAGAGTATTACATGGTTAATAGTGTGGAAACATTTGGATGAAATGAATACAGATCGGAGCTTTTTTGGGTCACTACACATGATGCTCAGCAGGATCATGCACGCTTGCATTAAAGCCAGTAACTCCAACGAGCTGCTCACAGCAACATTCCTTTTACTAATATACTACCATATACAGGGATGCCTCATTGAGCTCTGATCTGCACACAGTCCCAACTTGACCCAAAGACGACAGCAATTATAGCCGTCAAAATATTTAAAGTACTTGAATTAGTAAGTTAAAATAAATCAGAAGATTATAATGCATAGAAAATCAAACCTAGTTAAAATGTAATTTAAAATGATTATATATTAGGCCAGCAGCAGCTTGTGATAAGAGCAGTCCCAAAGATTGGCGATATAATTCCAGCTGAATAGCACATGCTCTTCATTGTATCCTTGAGAAAGATACTTCACCCACCTTGGCTATGAAAGAATGAATGAGGTGTGTGTTTGTCAAATTAAATTTTATAGTAAAATATATTGTCATGCTGTATAAACACAACATAAAAGTTGGATCTTAACATGCAGAATCAAACATTTGATTTAGACTTGTACATTTAGGACAAAAGAATGACTTGGTCAACAAACCCAGTGATCCTCTTGCGAAAGCCATCCTCAGAGCAGAAGCCAAGCTTTCACTCATCTGCTGGTAAAAGACTGAGTCAGGACAGGGACAGGCTGTGCCCACAGGCCCAGGCCAACTGCGCTGTGGCCGAGGAAATCCCACCAGGAAGATGGGCAGAGTGAAGAGGGGCAGCAGAGGGGCTGACAGAAGGGCTGAGAGGGTCACCACAGCCAGTAGCAGTGGCCACAGTGAAGCATTCAGAGCCAAAAGTGTGCCAGCGGACTGTCTCCGCTGCTTCTTTTCAGTCCATGATGTGACCAGAACGGTCACACTGAACTTCAGTTTGTAGAGAAACTGGCTCAGTCTGTCGACCACAAGACCAACCTAAGCAGAACCACACCATAGTTAGGCACTACAAGTGCATATAGTGTTAGTACGGTGGTATAGCAAGGTACTCTTACAAGCAGAAGCTGAATGCCTGTTCCAAGGCTGTCCCATCCCTGCAGCACTTTGTCACCAGCTATGAGCCGCAACAAAATAACTACAACCATGTGTAACAGACCCTCCTCTGTGCTTTGCCACACCTGGAAAAAAAAGTTGATTAGAAGATAATACATAGCCTATATAAAGGATTAATCATTTTAAAATATATAGTGTATTTTTTCAGCTATTTAAGCTATTCATTTTTACATTATAGCAAGTCCCTAAAACTTGAGTTGTTTGGGGTTCAGCTTCAAAAAAGAAATTGTTAAGACCCACTAAATGCCCAATCTACTGTTGATCAGACCATCCCTTCAGACAGCACCTTTACTTCTTATATTTATCCCCCCAAAAATTATGCAGAATTAAAGTAAACTGCAAAGTTCACAAACAGCTTGAACTGTGGATAATTTTAGTCAGTCAAACAATCACCCATCAGCATAATGGGTTAAGCCAAGCTTTAGATTTTGATGTCTTTTGTCAAATACAGTTTCTTTATTTTGTTTCAAACTACTATACACATTTATAATTGAATGTGTACGCACCACTCTGAAAGCTCGTGTCAGCCCAATGGAATGTGAAGCCTTATGCAGCTGTAGAAGAGATTGATCCATGGCTAGAAAAGCTATCATTGCCAAAGGTGACACTGTAAATGAAACAGCTATGAGTAATTTGTTGAAAAACATTCTTCAAATGTTAAAAAGGGAGAAACATACTCTACCAAGACTGATAAGGACTCTTCTGAGTGCTGCAGCCATATGAAGTCCCTTGTTGCGCTGCTTAAAGGTCTGTATATTGGACATCCCTTTGGGGTAAAATGGGTTGAGGAAAAATCCTCCAAACACATATGCCCCCTGAACCTCTCTGAGCACCCAGCTAAGGCAGAAGACAACAAGGAGAACATACCCCACAAGGGTCTGGGGTCCACTGACAAAGCTCAGAGACTGCACTTTGCCCAGGAAGTGATGCAGCAAGCCAGCCTCAACCCCTGCCACCAACATCAGGGTAATGTACAGTAGTATCTCCCTGCAGCCAAGAGTCCATCCAAAAGACCTGGGAGGAGGTGGAGGTGCTGGGGACCCCCCTCGAGATAACTGATCTCTGAAAGCCTCTGAGGAACCTTTACAAAATATTCTTGTTTGGCTGAGATCCAAGCTCAACAGAAAACCCATAGAGACCGAGAAGAGAAGCAGAGCCGTTGTTGAGGGAATGAAGTAATTACATACAGCTACTCCAGAGGACACACAAAACATCAACAGCAACCTAGGAGACAGCAGGCAACATTTGTATATTTAGTTGTTATGGCACATTAATAATCATGTTTTTCTTACACTTAGTAAAAATAATCAAAAGGGAGATTCAGAACAATATTACACTACCATCACACAAAATAATTAAACACTTGAGTGATCATACAGATTATTAATGAGATTTCAATGAGATGTTTATGGTGGTTAACTGAGGTGTCCAAATTATTGATTTTTCCATGACGATGTATTGAAATACTGCTGCTTTTCACCTCTTGCTCTTTTACACCGAATCGGTCACAGTTGTTTTAATGGTTTAAGAAACTGTCAGTATAGCAACATTAGTAATAGCTACATTGTTACAGTACTTTGTTGTACTCTCAACTTGTTGTGACGGTATTTGAAAAGGGAACTTGTAGGTCAGTGAATTCATGGGCCAAGAAACAATTTGGAAACATCCCATTTACCAATATCAATTCACCTGAGGTTGCTGGACATGGGGGAGCCGCCTAAACCAAAGACAAGAATCTGCTCCATGGCCCAAAGGAGCAGGGCATCCAGCGGGGGCAGCATTCCCAGTGCCCACAGAAGAGGTAGAAAGAGGAACAGCACATGCAGAATCTGGCTGGCCAGATGGAGCTCCGGAACAGTTCCAGAAAACCTGTAAGAGATTTTCAAAATTCTACAAATGATCTGCATTTTCAGCAAACGTCTGTTATGAAATGTTTTACCTTTCAACCAGATCCACAGAGATAAAGATGAATATGTACACGGGCCGGGTAAGTGGGGTAATCTCATAGGTGTCCTGTGCCTGGAAGGTGGCAGTCTCTGTGGCTGTGTTAACGATGAGGGAATACTCAGCAATACACAGAGTCACCCAACTGAGAACAAAGATAACCAGGGATGCTCCTATGCTGTTGTACAGAGTGGTGAGTCGACTGAGAAACATATACCATGTGCCAAATCCACACAGCACCCCTGCAAGAACTGTATGCAGCACAATATTTAGGCCAAACCTCTTTCCAGGGGCAATGAAGTGCACAGTGTCAGGGCTGACACAGTGGGTGAACTCCACCTCCTCTTCATCAGTCAAGATGTTGTTAACCCCCAGTCTCTCCACAGTGGCATTCCTACGAACAGCATATAATGCCAGGGCCTGGACACCCGCTGCCACCCCAAACATGAGTAGTCCAGACAGAACTGCAGCATGGAGCTCCGGAAGCAGCTGCAGCTGGCAAAGCAGAGTACTGATGCCTCCGAACAGCCATGGCGCTAGGAACAGGACAGCCTGGTTGACATACACATACGGTGGGGCACAGTAGCCCAACTTAAAGCGTGGACCACCCAATACAGTCTGGGGGAAGCGCTTCCAGAAGAACTCCTGCTTGTACTCATTAAGAAGGGGCACATCTGGCCCCATTCTGACCATTCCCAAAAGGGTGGCAGGTCATCTCTACACAGCTGAAGGAGGTGGAGCACTCATCCTCCAAAGATGCTGCCTGCAGAGAAATCACATTGTTTGGGCAACTGTCAACATAAGCCACTGAAACTGTATCAAACATTAAACACTAGGATTTTGCTAGCGTGAACTTAACTCGTTAACATTACAGACTGACTCTTACAGCAATTCGTTTTAGACATAGTTTACATTTTAGCTTGTGACAATGGTAATAATAATGTTTCCAACTGTTGACATACGGCGTAGATCAGACAATATACGAGCTTTCCTTTTAATGCTACATTTATGCGTAACTCAGATCTTTTCAGGACAGTCGTCTTTTCTTCTCGTTAGCTTGCTAATGCTCAATTCAATGACACAACATCATTCAGATGAATATTTAATAACATACCTTTAATAGGACGGGAGGCTGTGTCCATGCCGTTTCGCCTTAAAACATAAATCTCCACATATACTTGTTTTTGTGTGATAGCAAAGACTCTAGCCACTAGCTAACTAGCTGCTTTGTAGCTAGCCCCGTCGGCATGATGCGCGGAGCAGACAAAGATTATTGACCAATGGAAATGTTTAACCCAAAAGAAAAAGTACGCGGATTGGCTACACTATTCTGCAACGAGCAGGGCCCGCCCATGTTTTTCTTTATTTTAATTAATATTTACATTTTAGATTCTCACTGATGGCATCAAATTATGATTTAACACAAAGATAATTTAGACAAAAATAAAACTGAAATAATAAAATAAAATGTGAAATAACTCAACTCCCAGTTGAAAAGAAGAAAAACGTCTAGTAAGATTGATGAGGAAAATAACATGTTAAAATTCCCCGTTCCTTGTTTTGCTTACTGCTTTGCACTCTTGGCATTTTACTAATGACAAGGCGCACACTGAAAACCATTTCAGGAGACTTCATCACGAAGCTCACTGACTGACCAAGGGTTTGGAGCGCTGTCAACAAAGCAAAGGGTGGTCTGAAGGTCTGAATCTAAAATATAAAACATATAGTTTATTAAACATTTAACTTTTATAGTTATTTTACATTATTTTCTTTGCTACATAATTCCATATATTGCTTCACATAGGCAATTTGATATCTTCAGTAGGTTCACAATATAGAAAGTAGTAAACAGAGCCTTTTGTAATATATATAAGCCTAAGTATTCAAAGAGCCATGATTTGGGCTAGATTTTGATTTGAAGCCTATCCAAGAGGCCTTAAACAGTGTCAGTAACAGAGGGCATAGTCATAACCCTTACAGCAACAAGCCTACAGATTGTATGAGAAGGTGTGTCCACACGTTTGACTGGTAGAGTATTATTTTTTATTAAAAAAATAAAATAAAATAAACAGGTTTACAGGTGGCAGCCCATTAGAGCTCATGAAATAACAGCTTTTGTGTTTCTTGTTGTTTCTGTAAGTGAAATAATATGATAAATGATGCAGAACTTGAACACTGCAATAAAAGACATGCAGGTTCAGAGATGAGAGTTGTGCTTTCACCCAAATGTACTGAAAATAAAATGTGTTTGACATTTCATCCTAATTGTCTGTTTTATCACTTGCTCCATTCACTAGCCGGCTTCAAAGGAAACAAATTACAAGAAAATGACAGCAGCAACAATAACTCAATGACACATTTCAAAAAGATAAGCAATACAGCGAGATTGGTTCTGTACGGAGGATGTTTATGACAGTAAAAAATAAACTCAAGACATAATATGTACTTTTGTAAAAGAAAATGATTGATTCATGTTGACTTGGACATGTTATATCAGCTGCTGACATTAAGCATTGTGCATGTGTGTGTGGTCAGGTCTTACAAATACAAATATTGTTTTGGAATGTAGGCTACCTTTTTTCCTCGGGTTAACAATCAAGCATCATCATCCCAACACCATCAACCCCCAACACAGAACCTGAGCAGGAACCACCGCTTCATTGAGCAATTATTCAGAGTCTTGGACTAATGGTGTTCCAAATGCACACACAGCACATGTGGGCAGTAGAGCAGTATTAATGGCCCCATACAGAGCATGTGTTCACTGTATATGAGTCCATGGCTATATAATCCAACAAGCACAGCAGATTAGATCCACAGCCGGGAGACACAGGAGAGCAGGGAGTCTTCTCTTGTCTCAGACCAGCTCCCTCTTGAGGCCGCCACTATTTCGAGCACATCAAAACAAAACCTGGTTGTCACAATCCATCCTATTGACAATGTGTTCCCCTCAGCAGCCCAGCGTGGTAAGAGGCTTGTATATCAGGCAACACATGAACAATTTTTATTTTACATCTGAAAAAGAAATGTTGTTTTATATACAGTATTATACGTGAAGATGTTTCATTCAACACCAGCTCTACCACACAATTATGACATGTACAATTATCCTTTGCATTACCTAATGCATTCAAGCCCTCTCACTGAGCATCCAAATCTGTGCATTAGCTTCTTTTTTCACTGGAGTCCATCAGCTGCCATTTGATGTCAGCCAGAGCAAAGTAATGACAGTGCACTCACGGGAGCAGTCATTAGCTGTGCGTAATTCTGGGAATTAACACAAATTCAGTGAAGTTAAGTACATGCATTAGAGGGGCTTGTTTGGGTAGAGCTTGTCACTTTTGCCACGGACAAACACTCTCTGCACGCTATACAAAGGTTTACAATCATAAAGTCTTTAAGAGGAAGACATATTGCCCTTCTTTATATTTGTTGTAAGGGATTGGTTCAATGGGATTAAATGAAATGTAAAAACTCAAATGGACAAAGATTTCACTGTACACACAGTTGTTATGGGAGGATCTTTTGGAGGAGGCTCTTTTCCACCAAAGTTGCTAGCTTTTAAAAAGAGGCTACATGATTATACAGTCTGTAAAATGCATTAGGGCCGTACTCCAGATTACATCTTTATCTGAGCATCGACAGATTATTGTCCACAGAGAGGTGTGCTAAATCTGGATTATCCACTTGTTGGGGATCCATTTGACCTCTCTGGATGAAACAGGCCAGCCGCACACACCCTTACATCTGTGGTGTTTTTGTATTACTGTTTTGAGCCACCAATGGCAAGGCAAAGTGAATGACACTAAAACCCTTCATCCTCAGATTACCACATCTAGTCTTCTGAAGTAAAAACAGACTTGTCAATTTTTCACTTTATTAAATGTACAGATAGTTTACATTTTTACAAAACACACCAAATTACACGTTTGGAGGTTTGGCACCATTCAAGAATCTGAAAAATCAAAAATAGTCATGTAAAATAAGATCATTGATAACACGTGATCTTTGGGACTAAACTGACCTGCCTTTCTACTCTCGTTGGGCATATGTCATAGCTAAACCAGTAATGGACAGGCTCCCTCCAGTTCTGCGCGTTGATCTCATCTCACTCCTAGCTGGATTACTGTGTTTTGTGCTTCTTATCTGGGATGGCTGTGAGAGATGATACGCATTCAATTTCTATGATATAAGACCTTTGTGGCAACTGCAGTTACTATTGTACGATAAGGCGTATAATGTTTATATTTGTAATGAGGAAACTCTGTGCTCTCATGCTCACATTTAGCTCAACGCGCAGAGGGGGTTGTGTTGACCTGGCTAATAGGGGCTAAATCTACTGGTGCATTATCGGCCAGGCACATTTCATCTAATCAGCAGGATGATGCCAGTAGGCTTAGGCTGCTTTGAATTCAGAGCTGCCAGAGAATTACTGTGCTGTCTCTTATTACAGCAGCATGGGATCACTAACACTCGCTGAGACTGATCGGGTTATTCAGATTTATGGGAGCCCACTGTTTACAAAAGTGACAGTGCTGCAGTTACATGATAGAGTCTCCCTGTTGTAGTTAAAAAAGTGGGCAAGTTGAAGTAGGAATGGTCATACATTCTAGTACAATTACCAGTGATGCTCACCGAGGACTCTGTGTTGAGCAGCTCGGCTCTGGTCCACTCCTCTACAGTTACGACTACTCCATCTAGAATCTGCAGCTGTGACAGGTGCAGGGACTTAACTGACCTGCCTTTCTGCTCTCCTTGGGCATATGTCATAGCTAAACCAGTAATGGACAGGCTCCCTCCAGTTCTGCACGTTGATCTCATCTCACTCCTAGCTGGATTACAGTGTTTGTGCTTCTTATCTGGGATCATACACGCGCAGAGTTCAAATCAGCATAATAAAAAAAGGCATTCAGGGGTACAACATAAGAATATACAATGATATCCTAGCTGCACAGTGCAAATAAGAGCAAAATTTTCTTCCTCTTTTTTGTTTGGACCTCAATCCAATCCATCCCAAGGCCTGTACCTTTATACTTTTTTGTACTTTATCAAGTTTTGTGGGAAGATTTAGACTAATAATAATGGCCATATATTCAAAAAATGTCATTTTGTGGAATGAAAATCATACAGAAGCATCTGCATGTAACTAGGCAGTTATTTCTCTGTCATGGTTTAAGATTCGAATGAGAAAAGGTGGTTAACAGGAGAAGGCAAACAGTTCTTTCGGAAACAAGCTCTTCATTCATGGTTCAAATTGCGTGTACACTATGTGCTTCAATATACCACACTTACATTTGTAGCTGAGATGCTGTGGGGTCTCATCTGCAGCAGTCAATGAACTGTCCTGTCCTTGGATGAGGTTCTGCAGCCCTCCGCTCATGGTGGTTATGGTTCTTAAAGTGTTGCGTGACATAAGTGGCAACAGTCCGGACAGGTTTATCTCAGTGCTGAACTGTGGGCATGGCTGTGAGAGATGATATGCATTCAATTTCTATGATATAAGACCTTTGTGGCAACTGCAGTTACTATTGTACGATAAGGCGTATAATGTTTATATTTGTAATGAGGAAACTCTGTGCTCTCATGCTCACATTTAGCTCAACGCGCAGAGGGGGTTGTGTTGACCTGGCTAATAGGGGCTAAATCTACTGGTGCATTATCGGCCAGGCACATTTCATCTAATCAGCAGGATGATGCCAGTAGGCTTAGGCTGCTTTGAATTCAGAGCTGCCAGAGAATTACTGTGCTGTCTCTTATTACAGCAGCATGGGATCACTAACACTCGCTGAGACTGATCGGGTTATTCAGATTTATGGGAGCCCACTGTTTACAAAAGTGACAGTGCTGCAGTTACATGATAGAGTCTCCCTGTTGTAGTTAAAAAAGTGGGCAAGTTGAAGTAGGAATGGTCGTACATTCTAGTACAATTACTAGTGATGCTCACCGAGGACTCTGTGTTGAGCAGCTCGGCTCTGGTCCTCTCCTCTACAGTTATGACTACTCCATCCAGAATCTGCAGCTGTGACAGGCGCAGAACCACGGCTGCTCTGTACACAGAGCTACGGGCCACCTGCATACACATACTTAGGTTCATTCTTTCACTAGCACAAATGCATTTAGACTTTAGAAATTATTTAATCTAAAAGCTGCATTACATTTAAATCAGGTCAGAGATACAGGATCGTTGACCCTCAAGTCTCTTATTGAGAGAGTGAATGTAACTTTATTTTTGTTTTGTAAGTTTTTAACTTTAACCCCAGTGTTAGAGACCCATCTGACTGGTCTGTGCTCAGCTGAGCCTTTAGCCTCAAACCAGGCTCAGCCATCCACTCAGAGCAACACAATAGGACAGCATGCCAGGGGAAGTTCAGCTGAGAGGCCTGACATTGGCAGGGTCACAGTAAAAGTAATGATTTCATTTTATGTGGTCAATAGGGTTACACACTATCTCATGGGTGACTTTTGGCTTGGGCTTAAGCCCCCAAGGAGACTGGGTGAGACAGAGAGGTTCTCCACAGCTGTGCATAGGTCTGTCCAGAAGAGGCCCGATCATCAGCTGCATGCAATAGCTGTTGGTAGATTTGGTCAACAGATTTGTATGTCAGCCAGTTAAGCAGACCAGAGGCTGCATCATGTGGTCAACAAATAATGGAAATACATTTATGAGTACTAAAATGCTGAACGTACCATGCTAATACCCTTTTATCATAAGGGTTAATTTACACATTTTCTCTTGTTCTCTATTTAAGTTATATGTATTCTTTTTAAGTTACTCTGTTTATACAATGTTCAAAAAAACACCCAGGTTCTGCTCAGCTAAAAATCACTCAGTGCTAACATCATGCTTCTAATTAACATATTAATATAAAATAGACTGTTCATTATAACAAAAATAAACCCCCGTATGAAGGCATGAACCTGGAGTTTAGTGACATTCTGATTCAGTCAGTGTTGCTTCTAAGCAACAAAAAATGGCCAATCGCCAGTACACTGTAATACAAGGCAGTATTTGAAATACTGCAGCTGTATAGAGGAAATGTACCTACGAGCCATCTTTCTGTTTGATTGAGAAGGGCTGAGAATTTAAAATAAAAAGCCAGGAACATTAAAGAGATACTGTGACAACAGTGAAGTCTGTTGTATACTCTCAGACTCTGTGCATATGTTTGTATGTGCAGGCCTATGCGGGGAGAACAAATACTTACAGGGTTGCCGGTCACACAAAGTTCTGTCAGTGAAGGGAGGGCTTCTAGTTTCTCCAACTCTGCAGTATCCTGTCAAAGAGCAGATAGGCATGTCCACAAATGTATGTTGAGGAGACCTGTGCCATATGCAGCACATTTCATTTGTGTATGATGGACAGCACAGCTGAGGCACAGATTACATGTGTGAGCCTGTATTAATCTCATGAGAATCTGGACAGTAGCACAGAGTGGGGGGAGCTTTAGAACTGAACTTGGCTGTGATTCAAAAGAGGCCCCACTGGGAGAATCACTGGGCTGGGTGATTGCTGTCTTTTCCTAATTGAATGCATGAAAACATTAAGGCGGTGAAGGAGAACAGGACATAAAAGTGCAAATGACTTGTGCCCATTGAGGAGGAGATACGGACTGAGAGGCTGATTACATGTTATCCTGATTGTCTCTCTCTGTCTTCATACATACATCTGTGACCTTCAATCAAACTTGATTCTGCTTAATGCTACCCCTCGCATGCAACAGCGGGTTGGTAATGACTCATGATTACTATACTTCATGTCTTACTTTGCAAACACCAAAAGTAATACTGCTCCAATTTGAATAAAATGCATTCTCAAACATCTGACCCATTTAGCACAGAAAGCAATCAGTAAAAGTTGGTAGCACTGTGACCTTGATGGTCTCTTTAAGAAATCAGTGCAGCGTGAGTCATTCAAGCATTCCCTGAAAGCTTATAAAACACAAAAGGCAGGCCCAGAGGAGAGGAGTACCTGCAGCTTGTTGGAGTCTAGGGAGAGCTTCCGTAGCTCTGTCAGGTGCTCCAGGTGGCTGAGCTCGCGGACACGGTTCTCTGACAGGGAAAGTTCTAAAAGTGCACCCTGCCCAGTAAAAGAGTTCTCGGAAAAGACTTTGATTAGATTTTTGTCCAGCACTAGTTCTCTGAGAAGGTGGAGTCCTTCCAGTCCCTCTACCTGGCTGATCTCATTACCTATGAACAAAAAATGGTGAAATAATATTTCATGTGAACATAATAAATAGTACAATTATGAATGCAAACTGTGTAATGTATGCTACCACACCGTCTGTTGCTCTGATGCTACTATATTAAAAAAGTAAACTGACTGCTCTATCATTCTAAGATGTGTGAAAGTCTTATCATACGATGTTTGTGGTAATGCTGGTAAAGGATTGAACTATCTCCTGTAGACAAAATAAGTAATCAAAAACATTCTTCGGGTCAGGGTTAAAGCCCCAGATCGTAACTTTTTAGCACAAAAAAGGTCAAAAATAAAAATCTTGTTTGGCCTGGAGGAGAGCCTGCTAATCTCCATATAAATGTTGTTCCTATATATCCTATATCCATGGAGAATGTTTACGGTTTTAACGTTATATATCCATGGGATCATGCAGGTGATGTGCCACCTCCAGAAAGTTACAGATTGTTGCTTTGAATAAATACAAGGGCATGCTTGTTTTCCTCAGAAAGAAGAACCAAACAAGTTTTCAGATCAAGCATTGTATTTGTGGGACAAAGCCACAGAAAATCCCACAAAGGTATAAAGAGATTGTTAAAATGTGTTATTTTGTCTAAGGTGGACCCTCGTCTATGGGAGGTCTAGGGCCTTTTCACTGTCTATAGACGATAATAACAGGCTTTGTGAGAGGGGCACTATGTCAACCATACATGCCTTGAAGAAAGAGTGCCTTCAGATTGGTGAGCCTGCTGAGCTGAAGATTGGCCATATTGGAGATGCCATTGTGACTCAAATGCAGCTCCTCCAGACTCCCCATCAGCGGCTCCAGGCTGCCAAAGGGTACAGCTTCCCTTAAACACCAGAAGAATAACAAAATAAAACAGTGGTAACAACTGTGCTGAAAGAAACACGGAGCACTCTCTTGCCGCCTCATTTCACCTGTCACAACTCAAAACACCTAAAAAAAAAAAAAATCCCCAAAAAAGCCAACAATTCCAGAATAATAACAGAAGAGAACAGTCACAAAAGGACTACATGAAACTGTATTGGTTTTACTGGTTACACAACTAAATAGGCAAGAAAGAATAATGGCTGACAGTTTCCACAGAGTGTCTTCACTGTCATGTGTCCATTACGAAGAGATAAATATGAGTACCAAATGCTTACTCAGTTGCGCTTTGCTTCTGGCTCTGCACCTATATTATTGCTTTAATAAGATTTAACTGTACATATAAACAGTATTTTGACAAGATAACATTGGCACAGTCAGGATTAAATATTAACGTAGGCAGGGGGAAACGTGGATTGGAGAATGCTGCCCTCTAAAGGTACAAGACAAAATTACAGAATTTAATACTCACGTTCTATCAACTGAGAACACAAAGATTACTAATAAAGGCAAGGGTAAGGAAAATCAAATCTTGAAGTTAATGAAAATAATGAAAACATATCCAGTCGACTGATGTCTTGACCCCATTATGGAGTTTATGCATTATACAGGAGAGTCACAGTCACAACAGTCTATCTAATAACTATTAGGTATTAGTGTTTATAAAAAAATTAAGTGATACTACAATTTCAAACCAGATTTCAGTACTAAGGAATAGACTCAAAACCAATTCTGATACCATAATCAACAAAAACACTTATATGTAATCCCTCAATTTCTATAGTGGTCCATCAGTGTATACTAGTCTATTTGGTCTTACACTTTTCAGTAAAGGTTCATTTCTGTCCTTTAAATGTGACTTTTCTGGTTTCGATACTAGTTTTAGTATGAATTAGTATCTGATATTCGATACTTTTGATAACTCTACTACATATAAAACCTGGTTTGTAAAGTGTGGTAGGTTGCATCAATATTAATCTGAACTTGAAAGTAAGATTTATATTTGAAGAACATAAAAATATCAGTGAGGAATTATTAAGACCAGGAAAACAAGTAAGTAGCATAATACCTGTTGCTCTTGGTCTGTCTCTGCTGGCCGTAACCACTGGAGTGAACTTTGTTGTGCAGAAGCTGTCGTTTTGTCAGGTGAGCTTGGGCCTTCCGTCGTGGCAAGATGGACTCAATGTGGTTGTAGTTCAGACTAAGAGACTGTGTATGATAAAATAGAATAATCAATGTTTTAAAACCCCATCATGAAACACATATGGATGTATTTTTTAAATTACTTTTATATTAGGCAGGTAGATGAGGCCAGAGAAGGAGGTGAGGTTGTTGTGGTCCAGATTTATATGTTGCAGGGCGTCAAACAAGTCAGCTGGGGACAAATCAACCATTCTGGGAAAGAGGAAAACAAAATAATTACAAAACGTTATTTACACTTCTGTTTGTAAACCCAGATAATCACCTTATGGAGTTGGACACCATAGAAAGATTTGTAATTTCAGAGTACTTTGAATGGCCCAGCTTCTCAAACACCATGTCCGATGTTAATCTCCCACTAAACATGCCCTTTGCATTTTTACATTCAGTTTCTTCCTATAAAATAAAACATATATTAAAATAAATTACAAATTGTTGTTTAAAATTTTGCCACCTCTTACCACAGCGATGCCATCCAAAGCTTTCAACGAAGATATTTGAAAGACTACATAAATGCGATAATTTTCCAATTTCTCAACCAGTGGATTTCCATGCAAATCCAGAATGATGAGATTTGTTAATCCCTAAGAAAAGACATACAATAACTTAACAATATACAGGAAATATTGCAAAAAACTAATCAAAAACAGACCTTCAGATAAAAGATATCCAGAGTTGTAGATATGTGGTTGTTGCCGATGTACAGCTCCAAAAGTGATCGGACTCTCTGAATCCCATGGAGAGAAGTGATGTGGTTTTTGTCCAGTGAGAGAAAAGTGAGACTGGACAGCTGCTCCAAAACCAAAGGTTCTAGTGAAGTCAGTTGATTTCCATCCAAACTCAGTCTATTTAAAGAAGTGAGTTTCAATAGACCTACAACAAATACAGGGGATTTAATCATGTGTTTAAGTCAATATAGAACCTATAATACTTCATGTGTCATATCTCTCACCAGTTACAGTAGTGATGTTGTTGTCATTTAGTGAAAGTTCCTCTAACTTCAGACAGCAGTCAAGTCCTTCCACTTCGGCAATGTCGTTATCATTAAAGGAGGCCCAGCGCAAGTTTACTAGTCCATTAAGGTTAGACAGCTTTGAAATCCTCAAGCCATCAAGGTTCAGAGCTGTTATCTATGAGGCGAGGCACAACAAAATATAATAGAAAACCATAGTGAATTATGAATATCTAAAACATGCACATACATACTCAATATAATATGCAATGTTTCATCTAAAAACATATGAGTACATGAGTTTATTTGTCTATTATACAAGTTAAAAAGGCAAAATAAAGAATACTAGACAGTGGCTTAAAACAATACCAGTGAGTCACCTTAGACATCCAGTCTGGCTGAAGACTGTTCCACATATTGTGACTGAGTTCGCACAAGAAGTGGGCTGTAGAAAGCAGACTGAGGCTTCGTGGGCGTTCAGCATTTGTAGAGGAGTGCACTAAAAGACAAGTCTGTAATGACAGTGCACCAGAAAACATTACAAAAACAGCATACAATACAAGACATTCAATATTAAAGGGCCTATATTACGTTAAATTGTAATCTATGTTATAATGTTGTTTCTGCATAACAAAGATACAAGGAGTTGCGTTTTGAATCATTGACAACCAATCCCGCATATTTAGTTAAGGGTTTCTCCCTTAAACAAACACTCTGTTCCACCTTTGAAGTGCTCCACTGTGTTTTTAAACTCTGGTTTACTCAGTTCTAAAAAAATAATGACTTGATTCATTTTTTGTCTTCAAGTCTCAATCTTATTAAAAAAAAAAGTTTAATATGTGTTGTAATTATTATAATATATATATGATTTAATATTTGTTATTATTATTATTATTATTTATTATGTCTATAGTCCCATTTCTACTGAACTTAAGGTAAAAGGTAGTTGGTAACTTGAAAACTACTGTTACATGACATAGAATAGAATAGAATAGAATAGACAGCCTTTATTGTCACTATACAATAGTATAATGAAATTCAGACTAAGAGACTAAATTCAGACATCACAGACTAATAATAAATGGTTAATCAAACATGTGTGAATGAAACAAAACACAACTCCAGCTATGTTTCTAATGGCGTAACAATGTTATAACATGGCTTAAAACACAACAGAGTCAATTTTGTGTAATAAATTAACCTGTGTGATTCTTGTCTCTGCAGCTCCAACAGCCTCAGTAGCTTCCTCTTCAGTGATGAGTTCATCATCCAGGCGTGTGAGTGACTTCAAACCAGCCAATATGATCTTTCGAACTGACTTTGCCTGTAAGACACCAACAGGTTATACTCCATGTTAATGAAGCAGTGATATGGGTTAGTCTGTTTTCAGCACAAACCCTTTTCCATGGGTTGTGTCTTGTGTCCAGTCTTAATAGAACGGGTGTGTGTTTCATCAGAACCATTGTGTCTTCTCTGGCCCTGGTCAGCTTGTTCCACCGCACATCAAGGTCTCTGAGCTTTGGCAAGTTCTTCATTCCTTCGAGGGTAACCAAGCGATTAAAGCTGGCATCCAAAAACTCAAGATTATGCTGAAATATGAATAATAAATGGTAATAAATGGTTTATTTGAAGTTAAATTATAAAATTAAACATTTGGATAAGAATAAACCATAATTTTAATCTAATTGGAATCGGGTTTTTGACTTTATGAATTGAACACATTCTTTACCATGCTGCGAATGTCATCCAGCCGTGTGAATTCATTAAAGCTGATACAGAGGTGCCTGAGAGTTGAAATGCGACTAATTTCCTTCAGCTTGCTCAGACTGTTGCCATGCAAGTTCAGCACCTGAAGAGTTAATACTCAAATATCATTTATGTAAACACTGGAATTACAATTTGTATTACTTGATCAATAATATTAACACATTTTATTGATACTGCACAGAAACTTACAGTTATCTGACTGGACATATTTGCCTGAGTCACACTTAGCAGCATCTTCTCATCCATGCTCAACAGTTTGGGCTGTGCCTTCAGCACTGGCTCCATATTGAGCACTTCCCTGTCCACAACTATCTCACTGGGAGAAGTACTATTTTTCTCTGTGTTATACATATGGTTAGTCTTTTCTTGATTCTAATAAAAAGGAACATTGTAATTGATACAAGAAATAACATTACATTGTAATATTGATCCTAATAAAAATAATACTAAAACCATTACAGAAACTAGTTACCGTAGTGACATATTCAAAATATATGATGTACTCTGGTAGAACAAGTTCATTGTCAAATATGAACCATTTTCTGTGTTGACGACAGGACTCAGATCCGTGTGCTCTGGGAGAGCTAGGCACTTCTGAAGAAAAACATAAAGTCTATAATTTTTAATACAGAAGTAGTACTTTTTGTGGATTTGACATGTTTTTTTTTTTTTTTTTTTTTTACCTTTGGTGGTTGTTTTGTTTTTTGTGCCAGTGTTTAGGTACACAGAATGGGCTGTGGGGTAGTTGTTTTTTTCCACAGATTCACCATTTCTTATTGGTGTGCTGTTTCCAAGAAATACTTTGGAAAGTATAACCCAGCCTATATTTAACAAAGATTAGTATTATAGTCATTGCGTTACAAGGAAAGTGAAGTAAAAGTAAAGTAATGAGTAGAGTTATGTACCATGACAGAGAAGGCTATCATCCATAATATGGAAAGAACTGTGACTGGTGTCAGACATTGCGCTCTCAATCCGATACTGTTCACTGAAATACAGGCTGTTGGACAAAGGAATAGCCTCTTCTCTTCCTAGAGCCTGATTGATGTATTAGACAAAATGACTGAACAAAATGTACTCTATTCACTCCAAGTTATTCTAACATTGAGGTAAATTTTTAATGTACTGTATTTTTCCATTTCACTTAAGGTTTTGTGTGACACTGGTCAATGGTCTTATTTGAATATGAACTTTGAATTTACAACTGTGAAACTGCTCTAGCGTGTTTTTATTAATTCTGTGTTTGTCCACCAAAAACACATTATTGTAATATGTCTCAGTTGATTGAAAAATGTATAAAATGCAGATATGGTTTGACTGAGGTGAAAGTGAGGAAAAATAATTTCCAGAACTTTGAAGGTGACCAGCCACCTAACATTAAATACATACATACTGTACATACCTTAAATTGTTCAGCAGTTTTAAAGCCATTTTCTAAAATATGCAAAAGGTCCTCCTTTTCAGGGACTTTTGCTGGGTTAGGGACATAGAACAAGTATTCCAGTCTTTGTCTGTAATTCCTGTTTAACAAAGCACAGTTTATGGTCTATACTTTTACAGTAAAGACGTTATTTCTCTAACCAGGACTCACTGGGGAAGAGATGATGATTCATCATTGAGCAGCATCTGCAGTTTCTCTTCAAACCGAAGCCTCAGAGCAGTGTTGTGAATACGAATCACTTTGTTTATTTTTACTCCAGTAACATCATAGGCCCTGTAATCTGAGTGACAGAAGCGCAAATGAAGGAGGTCACAGCAGATAGAAAACCTGTTGAAAACAAAAAGCAAAAGTTAACTGAAGGTAGACCTTAAAGTGGTTATAATCATTACATAACATAGTAAGTACCAGGGGTTGGCGGAACAGCCTTCCTCAAAACGAATGTTTCCAACACTTTCTAGCTCCATCAAGAGAAACTGGATGGCATATTCCACACAGCTTCTAACATGAGCAACCTCTCGCTCATGGAGTGCTTCCACTCTGAAAAGAAAAACATGCATTAATAGTGGCAGAGACTCAAGACAAATATATCCAAACCATAACATGATCTTACTCATCCATCTTTTTGCCCCACAGTGCCAGTCTCTCTCTTATTGAGGTCATTTTCAGGAGAATTCCTTCTTCCAAATTTGAATCTAGACTGATGCCATTATTTTGACCTTCAGAGTGTACTCTAACAGACAGGGCTTCCTCTGAGCTGAGTCCTGTAGATACTTTGCTGTCACCAGCCAATCGTGAGAGCTCTCGCTCCAGCTGCACAGACACATAACAGCGCAATTGTAAAACAACTAATGTGGTTTCATTAAAACGGAAAATGAAAATATAATCTACAGTACATTTTGAATGAATAGGTTAACGTTCTGATTCTTTCTTCAGGGATCTGCAGCACAGTTTGCTTTTTCTCTGCCAGTTTGTGCACGGTCTCTGCCAGCATCCTCTGAACCATGCGCACACGCATGTTGTAATACATCATTTTCTTTAGTACAGTAGACTAAAAAGAAAACAAATCTGGACAGTAACACAAAAGCCAAATGTATTAAAACATATTAGAGCTTACCTCAGCAACTTCCTTGACTTGGCTGTTTGACACACTATAGGTATCAAGGCAAAGGAGGCCAGGCATGTGATACAGAATATGTGTTGCATAGTTACACAGCAGACAAACTGGGTTAGGACCTGAAGTTGGATCGTTGAGGGCTAGCTCTGTGAGTTGTGGTAAATGAGCAAGGTAGGTCAGTTCCTGTGACAAAAAAAATAAACATTTGCTATGAAAGAAATTATAATACTAGAAGCACTATTATAAATGAACATGTGTATTAGAACAATAATGTGTCCTTAACAAATGGAATGAAACTTCTATAACTTCTACAAATTATATATATAGCCTCTATACTATATTTGTATCAGATATATAATTACTCCACAATTACTCAACCAATAACTAAAATAAAACTACACCAAAGTATCTAACAGTGTATATTTTCAAATTTCCACTGATATAAGGTTCTAAAAATAAAGTATACAAACTGACTTATTCTAGATGGATGTGGCTTGGTTCTGGGATGATTTTGGACAATGCCTTGATGATGAAAAAAATTTAACAGTTACAATGATATTCAACTTTACCTTAAATGATTTAATTCGATTTCCGGATAGGTTGAGGTTTTGTAGATTAACATTAGGCTCCAACAGACGCCCTGAAAAGTTATTACTTTTTAAAAATTCATTTTAGAACTATCAAAGACATATGGCATGAGTCTTACCAATCATTTCAATGCAATTGGCAGCTAAATTTAATTCTCTGAGTTGTTCAAGGTTGTCAAGCCCCTAAAATGGAAGTCAAAAACTAATTCAAACAATGTACAGTATAACATGAAATAAAATAGACAACAATAACCAAAGGGACAATATAAAATAGACCATTCCACTGTAGAGGACCTGTATCTCACTGATGCAGTTGTTGTTGAGCCACAGGACTTGTAGATGGACCAGCATTTGCAAATTCTGTATCTTGCTAATTTGATTATCATAAAGATAAAGTTTCTTCAGTTGTAAACAGCTCTCTAGGCCAGTAATATCCTGGAAAAGAAACATAAACATAAATTAAAGTCGCACGCGGCGATGGTGGCCCTCGCCCCGGCGTGCACCCCCAGAGCGGAACTGAGACCGAGACCAGCGGTCCGAGCGGTTCCGTGTCATCGTCTCCGCGCTGGTTCAGTGCAGGGAAAGTGAGAATGTTCTGTGGACTACAGGTCCGGACGGGCTGCTCCAGTCCTCCACGCTCAAGAACCGCGGCTGGTTCCGAGGTGGTGCAAAGCATCCAACTGACGCTTTCACACCAACGAAAACGAACCGAACTAAGAGCTTTTGGTTCAAATGGACCAGGTCCGGGACCAGAACGCTACTGAGACTGGGACCAGACCGGGACCAGAGCGGGTCTGAGACAGAGACAAGACCGAGACAAGACCGAGACCAGATCGGAGGCTCAGAGCCCACGGCAGGGCCAGAGCTCGAAGCTGAGGCTTGGACCCCGCGGAGGCTCAGAGTCAAAGCTTGGAGTCTGCCCCAGTCCCGCTCTGGTCCTGGTCTGGTCCCGCTCTGGTCCCACTCTAGTCCCGGTCTGGTCTCGGACCTGGATCAGTCCTAGTTCAGTCCGTACGCGATGCAAAAGTTCGGCATCGCAGTCACGGAAGTCACGTCAACGGGAAACGGCCGTTATCCGTTTTTTCCATTCTTCATTTAGACACAAAATCGAAAACTGAAAAAACGAATCGTTATCCGTTTTTACATTTTGGTTTTGGAGACAAATAGCGAAGAAAACTGTTGTTTTTTCATTTTCTTATTTTTGGTTTTATATTGAAAAACGAATGAACGAATGATACACGGATTGAATTTAATTCCCGAATTTGGTACAAATCCAATAATGTTGACGGGTCATGTCTATGGTAGGGGGCGCTATAGTGTTCACTTTTCATCTGTTTTATAGTGTATTATATTCAGTCTGAGATCAGGCATTATTGATTCAAATTTCAGCAGGATCCGATTAAACATGGGCATGTAATTATTTTTTTTACTATTTCTGGGGGGAGTCTTTGCGCCCCTGGTGGCCAACTGTGAAAAATACCCCATGTCCGTAATGGACTTTTTTGCTTGTAATCATGCGTAGAATTTTATTTCCAAACTTGGTGCTAATCCAATAATGTTGACATTTCATGTCTATGCTAGGGGGCGCTATAGTGTTAACTTTTCATATGTTTTATAGTGTATTATATTCAGGCCGTGATCAGGCATTAGTGATTCAAATTTCAGCATGATCGGACAAAACCTGTTTGTGTAATAAATGTTTTACTATTTTTTTGGGGGGAGTTGGCTTTGGGCACAGTCGCGATGCCCATTTTATAAAATTTTTCACCGGGCCGATCGATTTGATACCCGGGACTTTTCGTCGATGTTCAGGCCCTCAAAATCGCGATCGTTTGCAAGGAAAATAATAATAATAATAATAATAAAAATAAGAATTAAAGCCGCGCGCGGCGATGGTGGCCCTCGCCCCAGCGCACCGCCCCCCCCCACGCGACCTCCGGGGACTCGCGACCGCCCCAGCACGTCACCCTCTCTTCCCGACATCCGCCCAGGCCGACAGCTCGTCCATTAGACACATTACATAATGCACCTTTAAATATTTTTAGGAGTCATTGCGCCCCTGCTGGCCAACAGTGGAAAATGCACCATGTCCGTTATTTATTTTTTTGCTCATAGTCATGCAAAGAACTTATTCCCTGAATTTGGTACAAATCCAATAATGTTGACATGTCATGTCTATTCTACGGGGCGCTATAGAGTTCACTTTTCATATGGTTTACAGTGTATCATATTCAGGCTGGGATCAGGCATTAGTGATTCAAATTTCAGCACAATCGGACTCAGCCTGTGTCTGTAATCATTTTCTAACTATTTGTTGGGGGAGTCTTTTCGCCCCTGCTGGCCAACTGTTGAAAATGCATCATGTCCATCATAGACTTTTTGCTTGTAATCATGCACAGAATTTAATTCCCGAATTTGGTCCAAATCCGAAATTGTTGACATGTCATGTCTATGCTAGGGGGCGCTATAGAGTTTACTTTTCATATGTTTTATAGTGTATTATATTCAGGCCGTGATCAGGCATTAGTGATTCACATTTCAGCACGATTGGACTAAGCCTGTGTGTGTAATAATTTTTTTTACTATTTTTGGGGGGAGTCTTTGCGCCCCTGCTGGCCAAACGTGGAAAATGCCCCATGTCCGTAATAGACTTTTTTGCTTGTAATCATACACAGAATTTAATTCCCGAATTTGGTCCAAATCCGATAATGTTGACGTTTCATGTCTATGCTAGGGGGCGCTACAGAGTTCACGTTTATTAAATTTCATATGTCATTACATTCAGGCCTGGATCACACAATTGTGATTTGAATTTGAGCTCTCTAGGACAATACCTGTGGCCGTGACAGGTCACCCAAGAAACAGGAAATGAAGGCGTTTTTCGCCGGCGTGCTACGGGCGAACAATCCGTGTATCATTCGTTCATTCGTTTTTCAATATAAAACCAAAAATAAGAAAACGAAAAAACAACAGTTTTCTTCGTTATTTGTCTCCAAAACCAAAATGAAAAAACGGATAACGATTCGTTTTTTCAGTTTTCGATTTTGTGTTTAAATGAAGAATGGAAAAAACGGATAACGGCCGTTTCCCGTTTACGTGACTTCCGTGACTGCGATGCCGAACTTTTGCACCGCATACGGACTGAACCGGGACTGATCCAGGTCCGAGACCAGACCGAGACCAGAGCGGGACTGAGACCGGGATCAGACCGGACTCCGAGCTTTGACTCCGAGCCTCCATGGGGTCCGAGCCTCAGCTTGGAGCTCCGGCCCTGTCGTGGGCTCTGAGCCTCCGGTCTGGTCCCGGTCTTGTCTCGATCTCGGTCTCAGGCCCGCTCTGGTCCCGGTCTGGTCCCAGTCTCACCGTATACGGACTGAATCAGGACGGATCCAGGTCCGAGACCAGACCGAGCTGCTCTGGTCCTCCGCGCTCAAGAACCGCGGCTGATTCCGAGGTGGTGCAAAGTCTCCGACTGACGCTTTCACCCCAACGAAAACGAACCGAACTAAGAGCTTTTGGTTCAGATGGACCAGGTCCGGGACCAGACCGGGACCAGAGCGCTACTGAGACTCAGTCCCGCTCTGGTCCCGGTCTGGTCCCGGTCTCAGTCCCGCTCTGGTCTCGGACCTGGATCAGTCCTAGTTCAGTCCGTACGCAGTGCAAAAGTTCGGCATCGCAGTCACGGAAGTCACGTAAACGGGAAACGGCCGTTATCCGTTTTTTCCATTCTTCATTTAAACACAAAATCGAAAACTGAAAAAACGAATCAATATCCGTTTTTTCATTTTGGTTTTGGAGACAAATAGCGAAGAAAACTGTTGTTTTTTCGTTTTCTTATTTTTGGTTTTATATTGAAAAACAAATGAACGAATGATACACGGATTGTTTATGTCTGTAGATGTGACATGTCAAATCTGAGCTAATTTGGACTAAACCCCGGGGACTTGAATCTTTTTGTAGACACCCAAGTCAAAATGGCGCTGAATTTTTGATCCAATATGGCCGACTTCCTGTTCGTCATAGGGGTGCACTATGATTGGCTTTTATGTTTGTCTCCTTGAGTTCTATCACTGTTCCGAATTTCGTGACCCTACGCCAAAATTTGCGTCTGAGCCTCCAATTCATTTCAAAACTTTGAAATTTCAAGGGGGTGCTGTTGAGTGGGGGGGGGCTTTGGTCATTGTCACAATGCCCGTTTTATCAAATTTTTCGACCGGTCGATCTGGATCCCGGTTTGGGGACTTTTCGTCGATGTTCAGGCCCCCAAAATCGCGATCGTTTGCAAGGAAAAAAAAGAAACCGGCTAAGAACAATAGCCCTCGCCAGTTACTTCGTTACTGGCTCGGGCCAATTATAAGAAACCGACGAAGAACAATACCCCTCGCCTCTAACTTTGTTAGTGGCGAGGGCCAATTATTTAGATCATATAAGTACAAGGAGGTTAACGGTTAGTGAGTGATTTACCACTTACCTTAACATGGCACTGAGCTACCCAGAGATCACGGAGCATTGGACAGCCCTCCAAGCCTTCAATGATCTCCAAGCTCTGGCCGACTATAGTCAACTGACAAAGTCTGGGGAAAAATGAAAGTCCAACCATGCGTGGGAAACCAGAGAAGAATATCTCCAGGGAGTTGACAGATGTTCCTTCATGTGCAATTTTGTCATAAGCTATGCCATTGGTCTTGCACTGTTAGATTGAACAATTCAGGGGTCAGTCTTGTGTTGATAACATTCAGAATACTAAAGAAGGACTTGCATAAATCAGGAATATGATATATAACTAGGAGGTTTCATTTCTCACCAGTTCCTTAAGCACTTCATCATCACCACGAAACTTCAGTTTTTCATTGTGGCTCATGATGGTCAGAGCAGTGGAGGATTTTACTTTTCAACCCTGTCCAAAGGTCTGACAAACGCAAATATAAAATAAATGTTTGGAAAAAAGGTAACGTCATCCTTTTAAGGTAAGTAGCCTAACAGTTTTGTGCGCTTTGTGTTGCATTTTTGTATGAAAAGCGCTCTATAAATAAAGTTTAACGGTTTAACGGTTACCGTTAATTAGCCAAATAAATAGAAAAAGTAACGTGACACGCAAGCAAGAACTTGGAATGAAGAACAAGGAATGCTAGGAGCCAATGAATTTGTACTACTCTTACCTGTAAATAAGCTGCATATTGCTTCTTGTTTTGGTAACTTAGCGGAATTCAGTTAAACTCTAGTATAGATATATGATTTAAGTCGACAGCCTTAATAGTTGTAGTGTTTTCTCTCCGGCTGCTCTAAGGCGCAGGACTGTGTTTGCATCAGTATGCGCACGGGCGTCCGGTTGCTAAGGAGCCATTCACCGAGCAGATACACTGAGGCCCCACGAGATGGCGCCAAACTACCGAGCGTCAGGTTTCACAGAGGCAATTAAATAAATAATTTGATTTCATAAAGGACTTTTGTTTAGTTTTTTTTTTTTTTTTTTAATAAAGGGTGATATTTTACATTTGACAAACGTATTGCTGATTATTATCACGGCCAATTTACTTTTTCCTAACTACAACTGTCTGCAGACTCAATGTAATCCATCCATTTCTCATGATCACCTGTGTCCAAGATTTTTCTCATTGTGCTCTTTGTATATGACCGTGGCCCATAAATCGCTCCAGAACCATTAACTCAAACCACACGGGCACCATGACGTCAGCGCTGGATCACAGAACTAAAACAATCAAGCCTCACTCTTCTGGCTTCTCATCGACCGCCTCGTCCGTAGTGTCGCCACTTCGCCTCAGCTAACAGACGCCAGCACCCGCACAGTCTGTGCACATCCCGGATCCTCACCAAATTCGATTTAACTGAGAACTCAGCCATCATAACCTCTGTCCGTATACACCACAGCAATAAGCATGTCTGCTCAGCCCAGTGAGGAGATAGGACCTGAAGGGAGGTGGTTTGGGGATGACTTTGGGGAGAACGGCCTGTCCGGGAACGCTCAGAGCCGGTTTGACGGTCTACATGATGAGTTTAAACCTAAAGGCAACGTGAAGACAGGAGACCTGGACCAACCATTTCGATCTTCTCCGGACGAGGGGAAAAGGCCTGTCGTTGCTATGGAAACTGCATCTACAGGTAAACGAGCAGGAGCTAATCACTTAACGCTAACTGTGCGATAGCATAATGTGCAACCTAGTTTGTTTGTGCCATGGACTAACAGGGTATGCTAGAAAAGATGCGCGAACAAGCCAAGGGTATCGTTTGAGTCCTGAGTCAGTCTACGCAGTTAATCTGAAACCTGGAATCTATTTTATTCTCTGTAGAACTTCTAACTGCTAGTTAGAAATGCAATATTATGTACCTTCAAATGAAAGGTTAGTCAGTATTTTATATGAGTTGAGATCGGATCACTCAAATGTCTGACTCAACCAGGTTTGCTTTTTATGTAACTTGGATGTGTACTGTTCTTTAAAATGCTGCCCTCCACTATTAAGCATGTCTTCAACTCAAACCTTTTATTAAAAATGTAACCACAGCAAACATTTTAGCTTTTGTTCCCTACACAAGGCCTTTGGCTTCAGCCCATTGGCTTAGAAACATGCAGCAGAAGTCAACTTTTTAGTGTAGTTTGACATTGTTGTCAAGTATCTGTACTTTAGTTACCTGATATATTTGAAATTGTGTTTAACAAAGGAAAAGTCCTGTTGTAGGCCATATACAGCCTGTCATTTCTGCTCTTGTGGGAACCGTGCACAATAAGTCACACAGGCACTGTGCATTTTCCGCTTGACCTGTCTGTAGTGTCCACTCTCTCTCCTCCATTGTAAGGATGTAGGCCTATCCCTTACTCTGATAATGAAGCATCCACCTCGTCTCCATGAATACTAACTAATCACTAATATGTGTATAGCTGATATATGCTTTTGAGGTAAGCTGAATAAGTTAAAGTGATCATTGCTTGTCATGTCTCCTCGACCACTGATAAACTTTTTTGCATTTCCTGGGAGAAATCATTTGGTACGTGCTGTTGTTGATATGAACATAAACATGTACAGAGTAACTAAACATTTTCATACAGTACACAAACAGAAACATCTCATGTTGATGTTCATTTGTACCTCTGTTTACAACAGAGGACATCCCAGTAAGGCAGGGGTTGGAGTAGTGTCTGAGGGGGCTTTGTTTTCCTGGGATCAGCATGAGACAGAGATACAGAGATATCCACCCAGGCTTCTTTCTATATCTCAGAAACAAAAGCACTTAACACACTATAGCTACTCTGACTCCACAGTGCATTGAGAGATCTCTGGGGGCTAACTGTATTGAAGTAGGACTGCTGTTTGCTAGGGAATCTGTTGTTACATATACTTAATCCCTAATCCCCAAAGGCCAAGGTCAAGATGATATAGCCCCAAACTGCAAATATAGCCACCATATCTTATTTTGTCTGAGGTGACTACAGTTTTCAGTTTCTAACTTACACAGAACACGGAACACACAAAAGTAGACACTAGCGCCATTAAAGGACACAATGCTTTTATCATATCAATAAATCCATTTGTGTTGACCTCATATGTCAGGGACTCAGGAGGGATAGCGTAGCGATCATATCCTCAAATGCCAGTAATTTTGTGTCCTCTCTTCTGTCTCTTCCGGGAAAGTGAAACGCCATGCAGCCCAGTTCACTTTAGATTGACAGCTTTGAAATAAAGTGGACAGGCTGCCGACACTTGGTCTGTATCCACCCACTTCCTTCATTCAACTGTCCAGCTAAGAAAAGTACCACCAATATTACACAGCACTACTTTTAGCAGATAAGTGGCAGTGATGTAATGAACTAGTATAGGGATTGCAACATTTGTTCTGTTAAAAAAAGTAAAAGTAAACAGTTTTTCCATTAGTTCTGGATCAATGCTTAGTGTCATGCTTCTCTGCACTGTTCCTGTATTGACGACACATTGTCTTGGTTAATGGCAAAGAGCTAAAAATGCTCTTAAACTATTTACTGAAAGTTTTTGTGAATTAATGGCCTTAATTGTCATTACTTCTAATCTGCAGGGAGCTTCCTCCCTTAAGCTGACGCACAGTGTCCCATCCATGATACACAGAGTAACAGTAATGTCATACCATTCATCTGCGTTCTTGATCCAGACCTGTCCCTCCTCTTTCGTTCTTTATAAACACACCCTAACAGAACGCTGTAGACATGAAACATTAATGGCCATAACAGAGTCATTCAAAATTCAGTATGTGCACAGTATCCGGGACTGTGAGGCCTCTACTTTAAGTTAGAATAAGTTACTGTGAAAGAATCAAATATAAGATGATTTTATTTTATCATTGATTGTCTAGACTCGTTTTACAAGGTCATGGTCAGTGAAAGAGAAGCCTTGTAACATGACCCGGCTGTGACAGACTCACCCAGCACTGCTGTACCAATAGAAGAAATACTGTATCTGTTTATATTATGCAAATGTGTGTGGATGTGATCAAAGAACATTGCCAAACTGCTTTGATGAATTATGATGATAATAGTAATTCATACCAAATATGTTTATGTGGTGGGGATAGTACATGTTATTGAACATTCACGACACAGGCTACATGATTTAAACTGGAATGTGGCAATGGTTTAATTACCATCTATTGTCCCAGATTCGCATTCACAACCACACTTTAATGTGGCCAATCAGACCAATTCTGCTAATGAAGTGGCTTTATCATAGGCAGTAATTTTTACAGAAAAAACAATGAATTCTTCCACTGTAAACTCAATAACATAACAGTGCACTGATATACAGACCTAAAATTAATGTTTTGAGCCATATAAAGGTTTGGCAGCTCTGTCAAAACTGTATCCATCTGAATGATCAACTGTACTGACCACTGGGCTGTGGCCCTCTGCTTCGAATATGTTTCTTATGTGGCAGCTGTGGCACCTGATATTATAATAGGTTGGACTTTGACAAGGTGGTATGGCCTTGTGGTTTGAATGTGATTTTATTCCTTAAAAGTGTACAGTGTTAAGGCTCTAGTTGTTACCGACAAGTTATTCCCTGGTCATACTGAACCAACACAGAGGGATTCCAATAACATACATTTATTTATCAAAATAATAATTTACAAAGGCTTTTAGCATTTACATAGGCTAAATGTATGTAAATTTAAAACTTTCTTTTTCTTTATTTGGATCCTAATTAGCCTTCACCAAATGGTTGCTGCTCATCCTGGGGTCCTTAAAATGTAAAAATACAGTTTAATTTGCATAATTACAACTGACAAACTTGTGCATTAACAATAAAAACATGCTAAAACACCATTAAATAGGCAATCATTAAATAGCCCATCATTAATTTTGTAAAGAGAATATATATTTATAATTGTTTTGAATAGCTGAATAGTTCTTGTCAGAAAGTGTCTTCTTGCACTGGGGACAATTACCAGATCCGTGCCACAGTCAAAACATGACAAATGACACATAATAAAACCCAATAAGGAGTACCTTCTTTAGCAGTAATCTGTGTGTGGCGTTTGAGACTTCCAGCCTAAACCATGTGTAACTCTGGGTGTGTGCTCCTGCTATTGTTCTGCAGTCTGATATATTGTTAATGTGAGCGGAGCATGAGGCAGGAGGAGCACAAGGAGCACAGTGGTGAGGCTCTGTCCCTCTCTCTCTTCAGGCCCACATCCAGCCCAGCAGCTGGACTCACACTATTTATAGCCCGCTCACACAGCAGCACTGCCCCGCACAGACAGGGACAGGGCAGTAAACACAACATCCAGGTCACATCATCTCTGCTCTGTCAGTCACTGCTCTTACCTGACTGTTCCCATTCTAGACCATCCTTTGTCTCAGTGGCTAAGAGTGTTGTCATGATACTAAAAGGGTACAAAGAAATGGACTCAATGCTCAATACCAGTTCCGATGCCTTAATGATAATGAAAGAAAATACACAATAGAATGTGAATAGAGTGTGAAATAATATTACTTTCTTTTATTTTACCATGTGGTCTTATGAAATCCCTCATCATCTAGATATTTTCCATAGTGGTTCATGGGTGTATACTAATATATGTGGTGTTATACTTGTTCTGATACAGCTCAAGAAAGCTATTCAGTTCATTTCTGTCCTATGAATGTGACGTTTTTAGTATCAATACTTGCTTAAATAAGAATCTAGTTTTCAATACTAGTTTTAGTGTCAAATATGATCTGATTTTCCATACTTTTGACAACCCAAGTGGCTAATAACAACAACAATGTTATCGACAGCTGAAAGGCAATTCCAGTTATTAATTTATGTATTTATTTTAATTCAGTAAGAAGAATGTAGCACAGGTTGTTACTGTGAAACCACACGTTCTTTTGGAAATTTTAGCTGAGAACTGGGTCATATTTTATCATATTACCCTTTACCTTGTTGTAATTTTCCTTACAGACTAGTAGACAGTGGTGGACCCTACAGTAACCATACATTCAGAGCAGACTGAATAGTGTGAGTAAAGAACATGTTACTGCTGCCTCAGTGCCCTTTGCCTCCAGGGAGAGAAATGCACACAGGCAAGAGTTAAGGGAGTAGACTACTTAGGGTATCAGGAAGACAATTTCCTGTCACATGGCCAACTAGCATTATATGTCCACAATGAGTACTGATAAGGCTGTGAAAAGTACTGACAATATTATGCTACATTTATAGTATGTTTATATTGTATTTTTGTTCTTTTTTTTACAGATGATATGATGTCCGGATTTTTCAAGAAGGATTTGACTGATGATGATGGAGATGTGTACACCTCCCTGATGTCCACTCAGAGTTACACGTCCAGCTATGACTCCTCCTATGTGACTGAGACCACCAAGACCTCCTCCACGGACTACAGCTTCAGTACAAAGAAGGATCTGCTAGATGACATGTCCAAATCGTACAACTACATGGACATCAGTCACGGAGAGGAACGTAGCGTAAAGCATGGTCTCCTGGACTCTCCTGGACGTGATGCGCTGGGAGGCTACATGGACAAGAGCCCAGGGAGAGGTGAGGAGGAAGAGGAGGAGGAGGATGAAGAGGAAAACCTGGGTCCTGCTTTAGGCTCACACTCCTTCCCTTACGTGGAGGAGCCATCGGATGAGGAGATGTCCGACTACCGCTCGTACAGGAACCTGGGGGGCACACCACAGGCCAGTCCCGTGAAGATTACCCTGACAGAATCTAAACCGGCCCAGGCCAAATTGGAGCCCCAACAGCGTCCTGTCCCAACAAGCACTGCTGACAGTGAGAACATCCTCAGTGTGGGGGTGAAGGGGGTCCCCACGGTCACCCTGTCAGAGCCGGAGGACGACAGCCCCGCATCTACTCCTAATGCATCACCAACACGTAAGTACACTGCACTAAAATAAACCATTTTACCATTGCAATCACACACCGTCCCCTCTAACCCCCAACTGAACCAGAGCATTTATTTTGTCATATCAGTAGAGATAAACCCAGCAATTTTATATACCACTAAGGGGGAGGGATGAGTATGAGGATTAAGAACAGTTTTAGAGCTGAAGACAGATGTTTCCAGATTAAGATGGTCTGGTTATAGTCAGAGACAGGATAGTAAATATATTTGTAGAAGGATGCTGAGGTGAGAATCAGGATTGTCATCATCAATTCTAAAACTACTATTGACTCTATTTACCTGTTTGAAGTATGGATACTGAAGACTATTACATCAATAGGGCAAGGTTTGATCATTCTTGAACAGTTTTTCTTATGATCAAACTAACATAAGAGCATATTGTAATATTGACGTGTTTTTTTGTTGTTGTTGTAATCTCTCAGTTGTCCAATTAGGATCCATAGCAAAAGAAAAATAAAATTTTGTCAACTGGACAAACATGTTTTTGCATCTCATCCTTCTTAAGTTCTGAAAGTAATTTTTGAAAATTATTCTTTTTGTTGACAGTGTCATCCCTTTGTTTAGAAAGATGACGATGAAGATGTTTGCACGTGTAGGAAAACATACGTATTTAAGCACATAACATAAGTGGAGCATATGGTTAGATGGAGGCAACGGCCTTGCAAAGAGACCTAACATCAAATTAAATATGCATTTATTCCTGATAGGTTAGAAATGAATAACTTCCTTGTAAAACACATACACATTTAAACAAATAATGCAACTAAATGGTGTTAAATTTTGTCTACTTAGATAAAGAGTTCCCAGTGAAACCAGCAGTGGTGTCACACGATGGCAGCAGTGCAGAGAGCGGAGACTCCGAGATCGAGTTGGTGTCAGAGGAGACCAACAAAAAAAGCACAAACCCATTCAGCCAGGCACCCAGGAGCACCCCCAGCCACCCCTCTGACCATGCCCCAACGCCCCCCAAAGGAGCACTGGGCCTCGGGGGTACCCACACTGCGCCCCCCACCTACAGCATCCTGAGAGAGGAGAGGGAGGCGGAGCTGGACAGCGACCTCTTCATCGAGTCTGCGTCTGAGGAGAGCCCCAAAAGAGAGCAGGGTTTTGGAGGTCCCAAACACATCCCCCAATCTCCCCTGGTCCCCACCACCACCACACCCCCTCGAGCTGTCGCAGAGTCGGGGCCAGTCCTGTCTGTGAGCGCAGAGAAGCCTAACGTGCAGGTGAAAACTGAGGAGGAGCGTCCCAAAGTGAAACCACCCACGGCTGCCGTAACCCCCGAGGTGAGGGCCGCTGACAAAGCTCCAGCAGCTGAAACACAAAAGGGAGAGGTGCAGAAGACCAACATCGCTGTCTTCTTCCAAGGATTCAGCAAACAGAAAGGTAAATAAGTTCAGCTTTTGAGATGCTTTTGTTGTGAAATAGGGCTGGAGTTGAGTTAACTCTAACCCCTTGAAGTGGCTGAAGTGAGTCGTATTTTGGGCTGTTGTTGTATATGTTGTGGTTATAGATGGTCATATTTCAAACCTCAGTTTTAATTCACCATATCCAGTTTTCAATTTTTTTGCCATGAATAAGAATTCTTTAACTTCCTACTGAAATCTTTACAAAAAAGAGCATAAGCTTATTCAATACATTTTACAAACACATACTTTTTACAAGATTTGTACTTCACTGGCTTTGTTTACATGCACACTAAAATCTGATTATTATCTGATTTCTGGATCGTTAAGAATATTTAAATAGCCTACAATGCAAACCACAAGATCAGCTGTGGGCAATCAGAGATATCATAATATGAAAGTCTTAAAAGGATAGTCTCAAAACTCCAAAAATCTGTTACGCGAAATTGATTTTATTGAGCTTTCTTCGATGTTATAACATTTCCTCAACATGCCTGAAGAGGATTTAGATGCATGAATGTTTGAGTAATCTAGCGATCTCACCCCGGTCATATTCGAATCTTCCTTATGGTCAGATCCAAAGCCCACATCACTCATGCTTCGGCCGTTATCCATAAATATAGGCCTATAAAAGCATGATACAAAACAATACACTACAACTTCACCAACCCCGGGATGCACAATGATTGTATCATTGTATCATAGACTGTATAAAAAAGACTATGGTTGTGATTGTGCTCTGAAGGGAGAGTGATCTTTACTCAGAGCTTCAAAAAAGAGAAACAACACGGCGAATATAGCATTTTCAAAATAATTAAAAGGCAACATGGTGGTTTAAATATGTTGTGTTAGCAGTTAATACCACATAGTTTTTAATAATCAGATTTTGAGTTTGCATGACCCACAGCCACTTAAATCTGACCAAACTTAAATCCTTAATTTTTTTTAAACTGCGAAGATGCCTCTCTTGAGAACATTTACAGTCTTGTTGCTGAGCATCTTTTACTTTCAGAAGGTGTGCTGCCCCCTGCTGGTGTACAGTTGACTAAGCAGAATTCAAGGGAAAAGTGCAAAAATGATCTTGACATGCCCAATGCTATTTCCCCTCTATTTCAGAATGCTCTTTCTTTGTCTGAGGGTGTATGCCTGTCTAGATTTATATTAGCTTCAGGAAATAATGTTGACTAAGCTGCTTTTGTTTAGTATATGGAGTTATGTATTTATTTACAAACAGACGTGATGATGATGACTCAGATTATACGCTTGGATTGGATTGACCCCCACCCTCCCTCTTCTCGCAATAACCCATATTCCCTCTCTGCAGAAGGTTCTGGAAAAACGCAAAAGCAGGTCACTTGTGTTTCTCTGCACGCCAGTAGAGGGCACACCACACAAGACTCGTTACTCACTGGATATAGGCAGCACGCAGGAGAATTTGAAAGCCGTGTGTGTTCGCCTTCTCGTCCGTTTCCATAGTGACAGTAAGGATGGCATGCTAGGGTGACCATGCTGAGTACTGGCCCGATAGAGCCGCTTTGAACAGACGGTGTGAGGTGTGGTCATCGTTCATGGCCATGTGGGGTATCTGATGTCATCAATGTTCAGTGGGTGATATTGGATTTGGATAACCTTAAATGCATTTTAACACACGCCATGGGACTGCTGTGTTTCTTGTTGATGAATTATTCAGTCAAAAGCACTCTCAAATGATGTGTGAGTTGGAGTGGAAACAGCTATTTACAGTGCTCTATGGCGAGACAGAATAAGGAAGAGCTGGAGACGTGCCAGATTTGTGCTTAATAACATTGGCTTATGTCTGTCTACCTCTGGAATGAAAAAAAAAACAAAAAAAACATTCTATATGATTCAACGGTGACATCAGAATATTTCAAGACCACTATGGTTGGTTGGAAATCCCTTTTACATTTACACAGAGGGCAGTGCATTACCAGTCCATCCCTCCCCGAACACATATTCAAATGTGTTGCTTGTATCCCAAACATATGTGTGTTGATCCTGGGAGTGTCTGTGCCCACCCTCTGGCTCCCCCGGTTCTTAATCATTGCGTGGCGGCTCTCTGCAGCAGCATTGTGGCGTTAGCAGTCGGAGCACCCTCCCCCATCACTTGCTGTGGACTGAGCAGCATCAGCGCAGCCTCACAGCAGCAGTGAGCCTGTATCTGAGCCAAGCCTCTCTCCTCCCTCTTGCTCGCTCCGTGCCTGCGTCTGCGTCTCTTTCCGCCATTCATGCCTCTCTGAGATGAGTGAGCGCTGGTGCTGAACAGGGAGAGAACCACGACAAAGACAGAAGAACAGAGCCAGCGGACGGAGATAGCAGCATGCAGGCCACCGCAGACAGCAGCAAGAAGGATGGCTCCTGGAGTGGCTGGAAGGGCCAGGGTACGCCTTTTACATCTCTGTTCATGTGTTTGTGCTCAGGCTCTGTGTGGGGGCTGCTCGGTTTATTATGGGATCTTTAGGCCTATATATCTCACTATGTTTTAGATCATGAGGAAGGTGTTTGGTGAAAATGTCTGAGGCGTATCTGTAGCTGTTGTGATCTAAGGTGTGGCTAGCCTTTCGTTAGCTATAGTATACAAGGGGTTCAGTCTGTTTTTGTCTGAGGAGGCGGCTGCAGCATCAGGACCGTCCTGACAGACCGTCTCCATGGTAACCAGGGCACACCCATCCTCATTACATCAGCCTCTGTACTGCTGCCATGGCACCAAGCAGCCTTCATCCGGGGCTTTGCAACACACTGGCCCTAGAAAAAGAGCTGAAAGAAGATGGCGTCTCTCAGTTGCACATTATGTCTGTCTGTGTAATAGTGTGGTGTGGGCTCAAACAGCCCAGCGATGTGCTTGTGAACCTTATGGAGAAAGCGGTGACTCTTCTTTACTGTATGGAAAGGCCAGGATGAACCGCTGAGTCACAGGCCTTTGTTTGGCCTGATGCAGCGTCACCTTGCACCTGATCATTTTTCTGTTTAGTCATTGTCCTCGAGCAAAGAGCTGCAGTGAGCCACATCATCCTTAGAATCACAGAGATAAAAATACAGGAAGCCTCGTCATGCCATACATCATCTTTAGAGAGGCACACTACATATATTAATACTCACGCTTCACTCACACTTATTTTAGGTCCAGTCTATATACAGGCCCTGCAGCACCATGTAATTTCAATACAATCCAGATTTAACAGTTTCACTGCACTGCTGCTTACTCTTAATCTTCTGTAAAACCAGGATCACTTTATAATTTATTTCATGCCAAGATGAGGTGTCGCAATAATTAGCACATCTATTATCTATTATCATTCATAAATGTGAGACTGAGCCATATTTTTAAATGTTTAGGAATCAGTTTATTTTATTTACATTAGTGAGGAAGTATTTATTACTATTTTTTGTAGTTCAATGTATAAATAACTTATTACAGATAATCAATGACTGCTTAAGATTGTCATTCTGTTTTATGTATTGCAGATCATGTTTTTTGAAGGTGTGGTTAATTTAGAGCCAGTTTACTGGGATTATCCTGCTTTTAGGTTATTGTGTCAATGGCAAGTAGTTTTCTGTAGTATTATATTACCCGTCAAAATTATTATTGTGTCTAACCCCTAACCCGAAGCCTAGCAGAGGCAGGGTTTGTTAAAACATTCAGACTTGCAATATGTGCAGCTTTTAACATTAATCTTATGGATAAAATGTTGACAATGCAAGTGGTCAAACTTACTCCCTGTCTGTACATGCTCTGGATATGTTTACACTAATAAATACTCAAATACTGCAGTTTTAAAGGGAATGTGATGGCTATGTTGGTCCTGTTACCCTGTTGCCTTTAGAAACTCACTGCTCAGGTTTAGGGAGAGGTACGTGAGGGTGTGTAGTACACTGACCCACCTTTGTCAGTACCCGAATAAAACCACTTATTTCAAATTATAAATGGCCTCAGTTACGGTAATATAACAATGGCATGGATCACAATTGAAAGGATGAAACTGTAAGGCTTGTTCTGATTAGTTTTCATGTGGTCAATGAGAGGAATGGCATTCAGATAAATGTGTCCCTAACTCTTCTGCTCTGGGCGAGAGGAGTAACTATGGTTACTGCATCAGGCAGGTTCCTCTGCTCATCCTAAAACTGGGAAGACTGAGGATGTGTTCTCTGAGGACACAGTCGAGATGGGCGTCACCTCAGCTGCTGTAGTGTTTGTGACAAAATGTGCTTCTCTGGTAACCCCGCCTACTGGCCCTCCCTTATCTCAAAACGTTGCTGTGATTGGCTGCTGGGTGTGTAGCTCCACCCCTCTTTTCAGCCAGTCCTTCCACTGCTCTCCTTTTGTCTGTGGATAAAGCAGCTGCCTCTCTCTGTTTGCCATGGGAGCCACAGGTCAGTACTTCCTTCAGTCTGTCATTGTCATCATGTGGCGTGAGGCTTTTGTGTGAGCCCTCAGAACTCAGGTGTGCTGTGCCGGTGTGTTACCTGTGAGAGCAGATCTAGTGTACGAGCTGTCCAAGTTACAGTACATAGAACTGAACTAGCCAAGACCTTTCTCTCTTACTACATTAGACAGCCACTCTTTTAGCCACAATGACTTCCACTAGATTCCTCTGGCTCAGAGTAAAGATGGCCGTCATCACTATGCTGCTCACAGCTCTAAAGCTAAAATTAGAGCTGTCCGACCAGCAGGCAGCCCACAGAGGAGAAAACCCAGGAGAGCTGGAAGACAAAGAGAGAGAGAAGTGCATGTTAACTCCTGCTGCACCTCATGATTTAGAACTGACATTTATAATACACAAGATGTTGGAAGAGTCAGTCTAGTGACGTGTCTCATCCTGATTTAGAGCGTTCAATTAGAAGCAGGGAGGGTGATAGCAGCAGACTGGGGCATGTGCTATATTGACAGCGTGGCTCACATTTCAGTGACTGTAGGGACACCTCTGATACCCAGTCACCCCACCCCCTGTTTGTGCAGGTCACTCCAAGCTGTTATCAAAGTGCTGATAGTGTTCTATTTGTGCTCTCAATCTCCAGCGCTGGCCGGTCATCAGAGGCCCCAGAGGCAGCATCTTGGATGTGTACCTGTGTGTGTGTGTGTGTGTGTGTGTGTGTGTGTGTGTGTGTGTGTGTGTGTGTGTGTGTGTGTGTGTGTGTGCGTGCGTGTGTGCGGGTGTGTGTGTGTGTGTGTGTGTGGGTGTGTGTGTGTGTGGGTGTGTGTGTGTGTGTGGGTGTGTGTGTGTGTGTGAACAGGGCAGGTGTTCCACTGAGTTCTTAACAAGTGGATAGCACTGTGTTCAAACTTGGGGCTCTAAACCTTTTAGATTAACAGGGAAGTTGACACTAGATTGACCTAAGCCCTTTTCATGAGATTCCTGTTATATGTGACATTAGACTTTTTGTTTGTTGTTAATCAATGGTCCTATTATTATTATTTCCTCCGCCAAGGAGGTTATGTTTTTGCCGGCGTTTGTCTGTTTGTTTGTTTGTTTGTCTGTTAGCAACATAACTCAAAAAGTTATGGACTGATTTTGATGAAATTTTCAGGATTTGTTGGAAATGTGAAAAGGAAGAACTGATTTCATTTTGGGGGTGAAATTTTAGTTAACATTGTGGTAAATGGGGCCAAAAATTTTGTTTCTCAATATCTCGGTTAATTATTGACCAAACCCCATGAAATTTGACTCAGGGATGGACAATGGGATCCTCTTTCATATTCCAAAGGCTGATCCGGATCTGAAACAGAAGACTGATTTTATCGCAATTTATATAAAAATGGGGGTAGTCCTTGGCGGAGGTCTGCGCTCTCTGAGTGCTTTTCTAGTTATTTTTTATATCATTCTCAAACCCATGTATTGGAAGTGCAAGTCAAAGCCATCCTATTTTGAGTTTATGTTTAACATACATTATTGTTACTTTTATATATTTTCAGCCAGTATGAGAAGCAGAAGTATCTACCATCAACAATTTGCAGTCCTTGTTTCAACAAAGTCTGTTATTGTATTGTTTTATTTTCCTGTGTATGATTAGACTCCCAATATTGAATTTACTGAAGATGGTTGTTTCTTTGATCCCAGTGTGGAGTGTTTAGAGTACTCAGTCTGGTCCTGTCTTGTGTCTCCCGCAGCGATGGACCTGCTTTACTGGAGGAACGTGAAACAGTCTGGTGCGGTGTTCAGCAGCGTGCTCCTGCTGCTCTTCTCCCTCACACAGTTCAGCGTGGTCAGTGTGGCAGCGTACTTGGCCTTGGCCGCCCTCTCCGCCACCATCAGCTTCAGGATCTACAAGTCAGTGCTCCAGGCTGTGCAGAAGACTGACGAGGGACATCCTTTCAAGTGAGTGCTCAAGAATTCAACTGCAGTTTTATTCAATAAGCACAAATTTGTACAAAATCTATGTAATAAATGTATATATATTTTTTCAAATCCTTATTGTGATGATATTTCTAAAAACAAAAAAGTGGGCAAAAAATAGTACTTGTTTTTCACGAGTTTCAGCTTCCTGCTTATATGTGCCATTTTAAGGAATTTTGACCATTCAGAGATTGGGTGTTTTTTTTGGGGGTTTTTTTTATTGTTAATTGCTACAGTAATGTTGCTATATTTTTTCATTGCTTGGAAACCCGTTTATACCACATCTCTTGCTACCATCTGTAAAGACTATGATTTGTGACATAAGCCATATTTTGACCTCACAACTTCTTTGTCACACCAGAGCCTACCTGGAGATCGAGATGACTCTGTCCCAGGACCAGATCAGTAAATATGCAGACAAAATTCTGCTGTACACCAACACCTGTATGAAGGAGCTGCGCCGCTTGTTCCTTGTGCAAGACCTGGTCGACTCACTGAAGGTGGGTCTCATTCAGTGTTATCATCAGAGGCCTTGAATCACAGTTTAAAACCATGCATGTGTGTTTCAGTTTGCTGTTCTGATGTGGCTTCTCACTTATGTGGGCGCTCTCTTCAATGGCCTCACACTTCTCATCCTCGGTGAGCTCTTACTTACTTTTCTTTTTTTTTTATGGCCTTTTAAAATAGTTAATTGACCTTAATTTGTGTCTCTAGGAGTGGTTTCCATGTTCACCATGCCTGTGGTCTATGAGAAACATCAGGTAGGTGGCCAGCCCCAGACCACAATGCTCACAGCCCAAGTCTGATTTGGCCGTTTTATTTATTTTGTTATGCTCTTACCGCAGGCGCAGATTGATCAGTATGTTGGATTGATACGGACACAGGTCAATGGTGTGGTGGGAAAGTGAGTTATAATATAATTTATAATACTTTATGTAAAACGCACTCAGTGCAAATATGTCTTTTGTTTAAAGTCCAAAGGTAGTTAACCCCTCACATTTTAAATGTGATCAATTTGTGTTTAGAATCCAAGCAAAGATTCCTGGGGCCAAGAGGAAGGAGGAGTAGTGCTGCATCAGAGAAAAGTCATCTCTGTGTTAATCCACTGGACTTCACCTGTCAATAGCAGTTCCACACTAACACACAATCACAACTACATCTGTTTATACACACAACTTGAGGATAAAAAGATAACATTTGTGTTGCTTATTATGACGTGCATGAAGTCAAGCCTTGGATAAAATTGATCTTTTGTGCAGTTTTTCATGCTATATTTTTGCTTTGAAGTGCTTACCACAGACGGGAATGTTAGGCCCAGAGCAGCTTATGTCCATGCACTCTGATGCCAACAGAAAAGCTAAATGTCAACATATTTCCATTTGATGTTGCCAAGCACAAAATAACTCAACAATAAGCGTCTTATAGATGTGGTAACTGTAAAGTTTGATTTTGTATATTCATAAGCAAAAATACACATTGTTTTAGGTACTGTTGTACTACTATGACGACAAGGAGTATCTGGTGATATTTGGCTTGTTTGAATAACCGTCCAACTTTGTACTATGTTTAACTATACTCTGTAGTTCTTCAAGACCCTGGACTCTTTAACTATTTGCACTTACAGTATGTATTTAATTACTAGAAAATAAATGTTCCTAGATGTAAGTCCATCTGTGTTTCTGTACAATTCCATTTTGCTTCAACAAGTGCTGAAAATGGCCATGCAAATTCAGGCTAAGCTTCGTGGCAGTCTGTGTAGACACCATGAGCTAAACACAAACGAAAAAGCCTTTATGAAAATAGGCAAGGTTTTAGTTTTGTGTATATATTAAAGAAAGACATAAATGTTAAGCCTAGCCAAGCAGATCTCTTATTAAAGTGCCACAAAATGAACAATTAGAACCAACTTTTAATAAGATGCTCATCACCAGCAGGCATTTTTATATGAGCTCAACAGGAAACGATGAAATATTTAAATTACTCCATTATAAAACTATAAATTATATATTTAAGAACTACAAAATAAAGTTAGCAAAACACAAAACTAGAAACAACAAACATCTTCCAAATTTAGTATGAAAACTTTCAGGTGTTCAACAGTGTAACAGGATGAAGCTGGAACAAGACTCCTCTGGATTTTTTAGACCCTGGTTGGACTATATCCATTTTGAGAGATGGATCCACCTGAAAGTGAAAAAAAAAAAAGGAAGATCTGAAGTAAAATCACTCAGCAGAAGTAGTGTGTGTGTGACTTAAGTTTGACTCGATCATGAGTTGCACCTGATTCCATTTTTCCTTCAGGCTGTAATGCACTGGAGGGGTTTGCTCTCGTCCTGGGTATTTACTGAATAGTCTGCAACACCAAAATATTTTTGGAGGAAAATAAATTGAGTACATTATTAGATCCAACCATTATTTGTAATCCAAAACAATAATGTCAGTTTAAGGACCTGATCAGTTGCTCCCTGCAGTCATCTTGGAGCTGAGCTGTCCGGTCAGGGCTTAGGTGAAGTGTCCCACTCGGCCCCTCACACACCAGGTGATTTATTGCCAGCCGGAGAGCATTGATCTGATAAAGAAAATTTACACTTTATTACTGCACGATAGGTGAAGTGGTAAATGGGGAAGATAAATTCAGGCCCAAAACTCAAATTGTCAAGTCAGGCTTGGGCCATGAATCAAAAATCTGGTCAGCCTTTCCCTCTAAACAGTCCAATAACATGAAGATGAAAAGTTGTATTTAGTGGTATAATTCAGGACAGGACTCATGTCTGACTCTAGCAGATGAAATCTCACTTCTGTGATATCTTCCACATCAAACTTGACATCAAAGGCCAACTCGATGTCACGTTCTGGGAGGATGCCGTCCTGTGTGTCATTGTCCCATCCCAGGCCACACAGAGCCCCAGTGTATGCAGTGCGCTCCTCGTTGGTCCTGACACAAACCCATAGTATATTTTAACTGTTTCCATAGTTAGAGAAAAGCTGTAAAATCCTGACACTCACCGAAGCTCCATGATGGGAGTGAAGAGCATAGTGATGAGGGCAGGCAGACCAGGGATGTCTGGCATCAAAGTGGTTTCTCTCAGAAGAATAAGAGTACCTACACAAAAATTCAATATTCAAAAACATCAAACTGGTGCAATAATTTTATGATAATCTTGGAGCGGTACCAGTGGAGTTGACAGACACTGCTCCAGCAACCAGCATCCTCTGGTGTTTGTAGTGAGGATTTTCATTTATAGCCAAGGAGTTCATGCTGTTCCTCTCAATAGTAACCCTCCTGAAGAAAATTACACGCATCATATGAAATGTGGACTTTCTGTTGAAACTGTCAACAGAGTCGACTCACTTGTACAAAGTCTTGTGGTTTAGGCTGCTGTAAAAGATCTTATTGGGGCTATATGGTCCATGCAAATGTACCTACACAATAAAGATCACAGTCAGTCCAAGTCCGTTCAGCACAGAAACACATAGGTAAAATGAGAATGTTCATTAAATACAGGGCATTTAATTAGAGCCCACTACTGCAAAGGCAAAACTTATTTAGAAAAAAATCATAAACATTTAGAGTCAAGTTAAAAAATGTATGGTTTATGTAGGATCTAGCCTTTGTCTTCGAGAAATTCAGATGGGCTTTGCTGAAGTGTTCCAGGAGACTGTTAATCGTTTCCTGATCCTCTTGTTTGCGCTCTTGCCATGATGTACTCATGGAGTTGCCCACATAAGTTCCATCCTCCATGTCTTTATACACAGACATCATCACCTCGTGATTTAGCTAAAGGCAAAAGGTGCAGAAGAGTCAGACCCCACTGCGTCCACTACATCGTCATGCCTTTTGATGAGTTTTTGCAAACCAAATTCTTCTTTACCTTGGACTCAAAGCTCTCTTCAGCCTTCTCAGCATGTCCTTCCTGCACCAGAATGTCTCTGATACTGGACTGTAAGGTGTCCGTGCTGAGGAGCAGCTCAACTCTCATCACTCCATGGAGGATGGAGTAGAGTGACACAATTAAGGAATGGCCCTTCACCAAAGTGACAAAGCGATCCCAGGATCTGCTGCTCCATGGATTGCCTTGAATCATGGACTGGGCTGAGGGGCGCATTCCCATGATCTGAAACTCTTGGGCCTGAAAGAAGCATAGGGGCATAGGAAACATGTCGAAGGAAATGATACAGAGGTACAGGAGTTGTACCTGAAATGGTTCAGACAGAAGGTCAGGGGGCAACTCCCTGAGACTTCTGCAAGGAACCATCGATGTGTTTCCAAAGTCTAGGAAGAACACCTACAAGTGTTTGTAAAACATGTTAAATGTTTGTAAAATATTTTTAAAAAGGCATCTAAAACCAGATCTACCTCTGTAGTGTTTCCACGGATGTGCAAGATCTTGGCACGGTAATATGTAGACTCTGTACTCTGGTCGTTGACCTCAGAGTACGGAGCCAGGCAAATAAGGTTGGAGTAGAGAGACATGGAAACTGGCTGGAGAGGACGGCGGTTTATCTCTGAAGTCATGCGACGCTGCTTCTCCAGGCTCTCTTCATCTGTACGGAACCCCCAGAAGTGACCCACCTCCACCACCTGTAAGACAGGTTCATATCAACTAGATCAGTCAAAGAGAAGTCCTCCTCAGTATATCTACAATTTGCTATTGCATGTATAGATTAACCTCAGTGATGCTGACAACAAACATGTAGTTTGAAGGAAGTTTATCAGGGTCCATTTCACCACTTATGAGCCCCACTGGGGACACGCTTTGAGTCTGGAAGTCCACACTGACCCTAGATGATAAGCACAACAGATAAATACAGTGAAAGATAAATAAAACAGTAACAGTGATTTCTTTTAAGTTTGTGTGTTACTGTGTGTGTGTAATGTAGGGGCTATTAAACACACTATGGGGACAAAAAATGAGGTCCCCATGGAGGTACATCATTCAATAATATCATTCAGTATTAGATCATACAACATGGTTTAAAATGGAAAGTCATGTATGGGTTAATTTAGGTTAAGGTTAGGCAAGAAGTACATTTTGTAAGGAACGGGAAGCAATGGCAAATGCAAGGCATGCAAAACCAAAAATGAGAGAGTAATCAGGATTTTGCAGCAATGATGCCCAGTAGTTTCTGTAGATTCTGGCTGGTCTATAATGGTGTTTGAATTTGAGCAACAAAAACTCATGAATATTAAACACAAATAGGTAGGCTCTGAAGATTACCGTCCATATTTGAGGTGAGTGATATTCCTTTGCCCAGCACACATTTCGATCTGGTCAAGAGGGTATACCGACAGCTCAAGGGGAGAACTCTGCTGGCACAGGAGGAGCGCCAGGGACACGTCAGGCAGCACTCCGGAGTCCTGGGGATGCCTGGTGAACTCTACATACGCCCTAAAAACACCCACACTGTCCCAAACTGAGGCTGAGCAGCGTAAGGAAAAGACAGCGTGGCAACATACCTGGAGTTGTCAAAGGAAATGGCTTTGACTAGGCCACACAGGCGAAAGAGGGACTGCAGCTGCTTGTAGTAGAGAAAACTGTATGGTGGAAGATTCCTTATCTAAGAATATTTAGAATAATGATAAGGAAAAAATAAAGATAAAGTGAACGGCAAACATTATAAGTGTAGTTTTACTGCCCTTTCACTTATGACCATATCGAATCTCTAAGAAAGAAACTTGCACCAAAGTTTGGATAATACCTCTGACTGCAGTTTAAATTTGGATGCACACTACCCTTCCCCCTTCGAACTGGTTAATAAGTTACCAAGTGATTAGATCCAAAATATGATGTCCAAAATAACTTACAAAACACTCTTTCACAAGGAATAAAAGATCTTTTACAAAAGAGCTACGTGATGTATAAAATTTTGCCTATTGATAAGCCAATGGATTTTCTCCAGAGAAAGAAGAGGAATGAAATGAACAATTCATTTTATGAATTTAGTGGGCAGTCACAAAGGACCCTTATCTTTGACCCCACACCAGTTCAGTGTGGAGTGCTCACAGTTCAGGGATGCAGAGACAGCTAGAGAGGAGAGAAAGCTAGAGAAACAGTATAGCTCTTTAAACAGACATTCCACAAGGGAAAATTTTTTAATTTTGTGCCCATCTTTTGACGTGTTTTATCCAAATTTCTGTAGTTGATCTGTAATAATTACCCCTCAATTGCTCCTCCTTCAACTATGGAACCTCTTCCCTTATTTACCCTACATAAGCATTACCATTACAGTTGTTTTGGGGCTAAAGCCACTCAGCTCTCTTGAAGCAAGGTCTTCATCAATTTCCCCCTGAACAAAGTAGTTGGGGTAGTATGCTCCAGCAATGACCACCTAAAACCCAGAGATGGAACAGCAGCATTTAAGTGACATCTTGTGAGATTCATGCTTAAAAATGTATTGTGTATCTACCCAAATGTAGGCATGTGGCAGTAGCTAATAAGGAAGCATCCATACAGTTTTCCCACAATTTGATATCACTCAATACAGGGGTCACCATATCGATACAATTTTGATACGTTTTAAGACATTAAAAAAATAAAAATTATGCTAATGAGTCTTATAAGTGAAGTGTTTTAGTTCATTTGGGTCAATTATTTACAGCATTTTTATTCAGTAAAAGTAAGAATAGTGCTTTCTCATGCTATTTTATATCTTAGAATAAAGCCAGTCTCCTCTTAATATAGACTGCTAGGGGAGCTACTCTATAAAACATTTGTTTGATGATGATTTCTTTTCTTTTCCTCCTGAGGCCAGCTCTCCTCTTGCAGCATTCACACAGGGTTCCTATGTCTGCGCTACTCTGCCTCATCTCAAGCAGCAGCAGAGACAGACAGTAGCTCCTCCCCCACTGCCCCGCTCTTTTTACACACACTGCGCTCTCCCATCTTTTTCTGAACACTAAAACTATATTATATTACATAAAAATGTCTCAACAGACCGTTTTCTGACAAAAATTTATGAGATAGAGACTGAGAAATAGACCTCATACATCGCGAGTCACGTCGTGGGTGCATATGCGTGATTGATTGATTAAAGCCAATGTAAAGCCAAAAGCAGTTCTTAAGTATTTAAAAGTTCATATCTTTGTCATTCCTGGGTCTATCAATGTAAAATAAAAAGTGATTGAAAGATGAAATCCACCTCTGTTATAACATATCAGCTATAAGTCCCTATAAAGCTGTTTTCTTGCTGGATTTGAGGAGGACAACAGTTTCTCTTTCGGACCAAAATAAATGACAACACAGCATGCATGGAGGGACACAACATATTGAGCAAACACGTGTAAATTGTGACACCAGTATCAAAGATTCAATATTATATCGAATATTGTTGCATCCGTAGTAGCTAACCATACTAACAGCAAAACTCACCTGTAGAATGAACCTCTGCTGGTGTGTGCTGGTGTAGTCCAGGGACTGGCTGCTCTCAGGGATGTGCATGTTGAACTGTGACACACGTTGCTTTAGATCTTCAAACAGCTCTGCCACCTAAACAGAATTATGGCATGTGTACAAAAAAAAATCTACTGCCTCCTGACATGACAATACAATATGTAATGAAAAGAATTGTTAGAGTTGGATTTTTGTGTTAAATTTAAATTATATTGTAAAGCATAAAGCATTATTCTTAAACCCCTAATATTAACAAACACAATGATGACAAATGACGACGGGGAGAAATCAGGTGTACTCAGGTCCTAAACAACACTAAACAAAAAGGTTAACATATGAGTACCTCTCTGATTCTTTTGATTTGTATGAAGTTCTCCTTTCCCCAGTCCAATTCATCCTGAAAAAAATAAAAATAAAAAAATACAAGCAATAGCACAAAATTCAATAATTTCATGGGATGTGACTGTACTACACAAAATAAATTTACAACAAAGTTTTTTTGTTATACAAAACTATTATTACACAAACCCCAACTACACAAATGCATTCTGTTTACCTTTGGGTGTCTGAGTTGTCCTTTCTTTTTGGCTGTATACCAGGCCTAAATAAGCAATACATTTTAGGATTATTATAGATATTTTTCAATTAACAGGACTTTTTGTTCTACCTTTTTGTTAACTTTACCTTGAAGGCGTTAACAAATGCAATGGAATCACTTAATGTGCCACGTGCAAAAGTCAACTTGCTCCTGTGATAAGTATGTCACAAGTTGAATTGTTACCTCCAAATTCAAACAGGACTAACTCACCTGTGGCCAGCGAGTTGTTGCATGGACGGTATGGCAAAAAAGCTTTTCATAGAATGTGAGGCAGCTGGATAAGGAAGAATAACAACTGTATTCAGTAGTACTTTACTTTAGGCAGTATGTAGCAGTAGTGGGCATTAATGCACTGACCGATGATGAGACATTCTTCCAGACATCCAAAGACATGTCCCAGGACGATCAGTTTTCCCAGGTACAGGTCCACAGGTAGGTGAGCCAGTACTCGGCCCAAAAAGGTCAGCTCCCCATCTTCATTCTGACAGCACGTCTCACTGGTGGTTGACAGTGCTCCCATCTATGAGAAATGTATTTGTGGTTAAATCATCTTACAGTTAAACTTGAAGTGACTTTTCCCATTTTCAGTTTGCTTGCCTCCTTAAGCTGCAGTACAGTCCTCACGATGTTGTCGTGGTTTGGGGGCAAGAGAGCTGTGGACAGAACTGAGCGGGGATCACCCATGTCCAGGAGCTTCACCTTCAACAATATAGTGGCCAAGGGGGCAACCTGAGGGAACAGTCAACAGTTTGAGACTCCTGTTTATTCTAAATCTAAAAACACAAAAGAAGAGGCATCTCACCAATATCTCTGGAGTCATGTAATCAGGAATCTCATTTTTCCAGAACTCGCGGGTCACCAGGCGATAGCAGAATCCTTTTGACACTCGGCCAGCTCTGCCTGTACGGAAAACAGGGGCAATGTTTAGAACTGGAAAAGGGACAGATCAAGTCGGTGCATTACCTTTTCTCTGATTACAGTTGGTTTTGGAGGCCCAAGTTAGTTGCAAGGACTGATAATTAGTTTCTGGATCACAAACCAGGTGACGTGCCAGGCAGAAGTCAATAACTGTAACAAAATGTTAAGAATTATATGAAAATAATAGAGACATCCATATCACTGGAAGTACATTAAAAGCATGCTGACCATATTTGACATCTGGAACTGTGACTGAACTCTCTGCGATATTTGTAGACAGGATGACCTGACAACACAGTTCAGAAATGATACTACATCATCATACTACAATGCTCAAATGCAATAATCTGCATTTACCTTCCTGTATCCAGGTACAGGGGACAAAAACACCCCATTCTGTTCCTCCAGGGTCACAGTGGAGTGGAGTGGATACACCTGAAGCCTGATGAATGATTAAAGAAATAAAGACATGTTCAAACTCTTCCAAAGTGATGGTTGGGAGACGAATCAATCGCACCTTTTATGGACAAACTTTGACAAGGCCTCCTGCATGTAACATATCTCATAAAATCCAGGGAGAAAAACCAGCACGCTGCCTCGCTCTGTAGAGGTTCCTCTGGAATCCACTTGACTGTCATAAACACATTTTTTACAGTTTCATATTTGACCTTGTTATTGTTCTGAAAGTGTTACCTGCAATCTTTACCCTCCACTTCATCAAAACTCTGAATGAGACTGATAGCGATGTTGTACATCTCCACAGAAATGAAAGGATCAGTGATGAGAGAGAGGCCACTCTGTGAGAACAGATTGTTCTTAGTCTTTAGACACAAAATAGAGCTAATTACAGCACACACACATACTCTATAAGGAAACAGGCGGTAGAGGTCTTCCAAATAAAACTCATCAATAGCATATGGAGCACCCTCCACTTCAAACACACAGGCGGGGTTCATTTTGCCACGGACTGGGGTGCCAAAGTATTCAGCAAACTGTTTGCAGTTGATAGTGGCAGACATGAGGATGATCTGTTAAAGCATTATGGCCGAGTCAGAAAGAGCCATGTGTTACAAAATAACAAAACATAATGCTGCATTTACCTTTACATAACGAGAGTTTGAGTGGAGGAGTTTTCTCAAAACCAGAAGGAGAAAGTCCATTTCCTCAGTGCGCTCGTGAACCTAGTACAATCCCAAGACTATCAGCTTCATTCTTGATTAAGTATTCAGGTAAAAACATAAACATTAGATTAAGGTTTACCTCGTCCACAAAGATGTGGGTGTACTCAGTCAGACACTTTGCTCTAACCAGCTTTTGGAGCAGCACTCCAGTGGTCATGTAGATCAGACGAGTGTGCTCTGTGGCCATCTTCTCTAGTCCCACCTGACAAGAGCCAATGTCAAACAATGACTTACGATGTTACATACATTAAAATATGACTCAAGTAAAAAATGGCATTTATAATACTTATAATACTGTTAATACAATGTTTGAAATGGACAAGTAGTGGACAAGCCAGCAATGGTTGGTTAGGTCAACAGTTCGTTCATATCTCACTGTTATGACCTAATATTTTAGAAATTCTACATCAGTCAATAAATGATCTTAACACAAACCTGATATCCAACTAGACTGCCTAAGGTGCACTTCCTCTGTGAAGCCACCCATCGGGCAATGCTTGTGGCCCCAATTTTCCGAGGCTGAGTGACTACAATGTTGCATGGGGTATTCTTCTCGTTGTAGTGGTCCAAAATGTACTGTGGCACCTGGGTGGTTTTACCGCTACCTGTGGCCCCTTGAATGATCAGCACAGAACTGTTTTCTATGAGGGATATAAGCTATAGAGCACAAAACACAAACATGTCAATGCTGTTAGGCTGGTCTTGATCTTTAATGGTTCATGAATGCCTCATAACAAACTCATAAAAACTCACTGTCACTATTTAGAGGAATAATTACATGTCTATTCACTATTATTTATTTAGAAATACCATTATAAAATATTTACCTTCTGTCTGTTTTTGGTGACAGGCAGGCTGGGGTACTCATAGCTGGTCAATGTAGGTGGCCTGCTAACTGATATGATAATGAATTTCCTTCAGTATAATAAAGTCTTTCTAATCAAATCTAATTATGTCACAATATGAATTTAAAAGTCCAACAAATATACCAAATGCCAAACTACAATACTTACTTTTCTGGGGCTCTTTTCTGGGGGAACTTTGCACCTCTTTTTGTGAGGTTGCTGTAGTCTCTTTATCACCATCTGTAGGACAATCTCTGGGGGCTGTCTCTGGGGTCTTGGACTGCTTCTCACTATTTAAGAAGTGGAGTGTGTTATAGCCCGAATCAAGTAATGCGTTAGAGTGATTGGTTTAAAGTTAGGGAGATTTGTGCATGGGAATTTTTGGGTTAAAGAAAGCGGTTTTGCCATGCTATTATGCTACCAGTGGCGTTGTATGACTAGCAAAGCATTAATTAGAGTATATATTGATTGCATTTTATTGCTTTACTATGGGCTTTACACGTTGCAGTCTCCACAATGGTTTGCGCTCTGGCACTGGGGAGCAGGATGAAGACCAGATTTTCACAATTCAAAACTGGGACTCACTCGGGTTGGGATTGTTGGTAGAAATTAAATTGTGAAAAAAGCACGCAACATTATCCATTCACGGCTCACTTGTGTTAGTCATAATCTGAGGGACTTCTGGAGGTGCATTTTATTTTATTTTTGCCTAATGTTCACTGGTCATAGTGGCTTTCGGCATGTTGGTAAAACAAATTAGAATTTATGCCCCACTTACCATTGGCGTTTGTCAGATTGGTCAAAAATAGGTAAACTTGGGACATTTTTGAATAAAACTGAGAGAAATTAATGGTTTTGAATAAATCTGTTGGGACAGGGGACACGAGCCTCAAAATTGGGACTATCCTGGGTAATTAGGGACACTCAGTCACGATAAGCAGGACCCACGTTTCATTTTTTTATCCACTTTCTCTACAGAGACACATGGCCTGTCAATTATCTTTAAGCCGTGAAGTGCAAGTTGGTGTGATAACCTTCATAAAATGAACATGACAATGGTAGAATTTCTGTATGAGCCAGGATTGCTTTTATACTGAAGCTCATTGTGAAAATCACACGTGCTGTTAGCTACTTCACTCACCAGTTTTCTTTTGCTTGCAGTTTTCCTCCAGTAACTTCATCTGTAAGTTTGATATTGGCAAATGTGGTTTCAGACGTGAACCACTCCGATATCTGCTCTGCTGTAATAACCTTCTTCATTTTGTTTTAGATATTTGCCAATATTCTGATCCCAATACCATGCACCATCTGGAACACGTGCAGGGCTCACGTGGGCGTGGTTGGACCAGGTGAGGTCAGTGCACTTGCCCCAGAGAGGCGCACAGCACCACCTACTGTTCACTCACAGAACTGCACAGTGCACACATGAAAATGACATGCAGCCTTATAATACGAGATAAAGAGAATAGACCGTGCATGCAAAATGTAGACAAAAAAGAAAGAAACGAAACGCATTATTCACAGGTTTAATGTTGGAATACTACTGTACAGCACCACAGTTTAATAAGTAAAAACAAATGCCCTGTAAAAATATATTTTAAAAAAGGTTAAAAAAGGTAATCCCAGTTTTATAAAATAAATTACAACTCTGCTGGCAGATCAGGAAGACATCCAATGTTATCTTGAAGCAAACTGAGCTCAGACCTCAGCTTTTCATTTTCCTTTAAAAACAAACAATATGAATATTTATGTTACTGGACAACACCAATATGTTAACAAAAGCGTCAGAGCAGTCCACCATACCTCTTGAAGCTTGGTGTTGTCCTTTTTTAACTTCACCAAATACTCTATTCTCTGTTTGTGATTTTTGTGCCCAACAAGTTTTCCATTTTCTTCTGATAGTTGGATATTCTGCTTACGTAGAACCTCATTCTCCTGTAAAATCACAAAAATGAGCCTTTATGAGCAGTCTGCTGTTTAAAGAGGTCAGTGAGTTGTCTTTACGACTTGTGTCTGACCTGGAGAAGCTTCTCCTCGTCGTGCACCCTCTGGCTCAGCTCCCTCAGCTCCAAACAGCGGTTTCTCAGCTCAGAGGTGAGCTCTTGGACACAGGTCTGGGACTGGGCCAGCAGAGACTCCTGAGCCTGCATTCTGAACACAAGAATAAAGGCTCAGGAGTATGCAGTATACTTAAAAGGGCACAAACAAAAATTGCCCACACTACGACAAAACCAAGATCTAACTTACTTTTTCTGCATGTCTGACAACTTCTGCAGAATAGTGTTCTATTCAAGAGTGACAAGACAATGTGAGTTTTGATGTCACATTTAAAATAAGATGATTAGATTTCAAATATGCAAACCTTATCTGCTTTCTCATCTTGTAGTTCTTGTAAGATAGACTTGTTAATAGCTTCACTCAACTCCACACTGTAATAAAAAGGTGTTAGTGCCTTTGTCACTGTGGCTTCTGTAAACATACAAATAAAAGAACCAACCCATTAGGATCCATGTTTTGTGTTTGCTTGGAATAAAACTGATCCACCAACGCCTGAATCTCCAGTCGTACCATTTCTTTTTCAGTTAGTTGAGTCTAAAGACAACACATTGAAGATTGAAAAAATATTCAAATAGTAAAAAAAAAACATTATAATGGAGACTACAACAACCTTGAGCCTCTGGATCTCTTCATTCTTGGCAGTCCTCTCAGCATTCAACTCTGCCAACAGGATCTCCATTGTCATCATGGAAGAGCGGCGGTTTTCCAGCTCCCTCTCCTGGCTCTCCAGAACCTGACTCAAATCTCTATTGAAGCTGCCTGGAGTGCATGGAGTCTAAACAGGACAAATATCTGTGTTATGTGACTTTAAAAAGCATTTTACTCCAGACTTACCCGAGTTGCAAACTTTGGAGTCACAGTCATTATTGGGGTGTGTGGCTGAGGTATGTAGTTTTTAACAGTTTTTTCTACAGCTTCCTGCTGTTGTTGCACCTTAAAAACAAAATACAACCTGAATTATAAATCAGCTCTTATGTCATAATTAATTTGCTACTCTTATTGATGTGGGAGCATTGAGGACCGAGCACGCTAGATATCCAAAACATTTTCCTAAGAAATCTATTAATTTTGATACCTTCTGCTGCAGGTCTTTGATGATGGCATCCTTCTGGGTCACTTGTTCCTGAGAAGCCTGAAGGAGAGCGTTCTGCTCATCTAGGACTTTTGTGAGCTTCTCCACCTCTTCTGTGGCATAGGTCACTTCCTCCTGCAGCACCTCCACCTGAACATGCACACTCATCAAGCTGGAGCCCAAAGGGAAACAGCAGTAAAGAGAAGAAACTTCACACACTTCTATTTTATTAGAGGCCTCTCTCCTGTCCATAGACTCTTTCAGTTCCAGGGATTCTTTTTGCAATCTGGCCTTTTCCTCACGGATATCCTCGCGTTCCTGGCATGTACCATTGTACTTAATCTGTAAAAACATTTTTTAAATCAATGTTTCAAGAGGTTTTTTTATTTTTATATTATTTTGGATTAATGAGTAAACCTACAGTGATCTCCTTTAAATCTTCAGTGAGGTGAGCGATTGTAGTGCCTTTTTGACTCAATTCACTGCGTAGTTCTCTGGTTTGATTGATTAAATCTACCATAACATCCTGAAAGAGTAAGACCAGTTATTCTGAAAATAACAAATAAAACTGTCAAACTGAGATGATAATTTAATATTTAATAATTTTACTTTATCCTCTTCCATCTTCAGCTCCAGGCTCTTTATTTTGTCAGTGGCAGAAATTAAGCTTTGCTCTAGAGTCAAAAGTCTGGATGCCTTCAGATTTGAAATGATAAATAAATTAGTGGTTAATATGATTGATTTGCTATAAAACAACATCAGTCATCATTAAAAATACCTGCTGCTGATTCTGTGCAGTGAGCTCTGAGACCTGTGTTTTAAGTTGTGCATTAATCTCCACCGTTTCCACAAGGTCTCTGGAGAAAAAGAACCCATTTATACTATATACTACACTTTTTACATTTGGTAAATTATCTTAAAACATGTTACTCACTTTAATGTACTCTCGTTGTTTTCTCTCAATTGAGACATCAAGGACTTGGTGTTTTCTTGTTCTACTTTCAGAGCATTAACCAAATCCTACCAAGTAACATAGATATATTTTCACCATTTCAACATTTTATAACAGCAGGCAATATCACTTTGCTCACAGTAATCTTTGTCTTCAACTCCTCAATCTCTTGTTGGCTGTCATGGAGCTGCTGCTTAGACTGGTCAGCTTCAAACTTGGCCTCAGCCTGATTTTGATCAAAACAGTCCTGAAGAGCCCGGTGCTGCTCCAGGAGCTGTTCCCACTCCAGCCTGTGACACAAACACACACATGAGGGAGGAGAAGGACAACAGGACAATACGAGAACCATGTGACACTGACTGGACTTTGTCAAGCTGAAGCTGTGTGCTGATCAGAGTCTTGGACAGATGGCCCACTTCTTTCTGCCGCTCTGCTTCACTGCTCATGAACTGTTCTTTAACAGAGGCTAGCTCCTTGTCTGAAGATTGTAGTACCAGGCGTAGGTCTGAGATCTCAGTCTGTAAAACTAAAACAACCAACCACAGTCCCAAATGTTGATTCACCAGTTCATTTGAAATGTGTTCATACAAGCATGTATACCTTCTGCTTTCTGTTGTTCAGACAGGACACTTTGCTGTAGACTTGTGATGGTTTCCTGGAGTTGAAGCTGCTCCTTGGTCCTGTCAGCTCTCTCAGAACAGAGGCGCTGTAATGAAATAAGTGTATTTATATAGCCCAATACAGACATTTTATAAAAAGATTACATTATAAAAAAATATATTGTTCAAGAAATTAGCACACATCCTACCTCATCCTTGCATTTACACTCCTCAGATAGCAGAATAATCTTCTCCTCCAATCTCGAGATCTCCTGTAAGAGTTTGCTGTTTTTCAGCTCAGCCTGATCGAGCTGTGATTGGACAAGACCGGCCTGGTCCTGTAACACACGAAAGCTACGTGTGAGGGACTTTTACTCAAGCACAAGTTAAACATACACTAAAAACTGTACTTTGACTTGTTGTAGTTCCTCAGTCAGAGCCATTTCTGTCATTTCAGTTGGAGGCTGCTCATTCCAAATATCCTCATTATTTTGTACACCATTCAGGTGCTCTGGGCTAGAAAAAGGCACTAGTCTGGAGCGCAGGTTATACGCTTTAGTGGGTGTGGTGAGAATCTTTAAAAAAAAAAAGTTACAAAGAAAGAAGATTGTATTTCAAGATTGTATTATTTGTATGTACTTATTTCAGGTCTCACCTTTATAGTTTCAACATGGATTCTATTCAGCTCTAAGACCTCCTGTTTTTTGCAAGCATTTGTAGCTTCCAGTATTTTTTCTAAATGTCTGTTGGATTTGTCCAAATACCTTTTGTCTGACTCTAGCTGAGACAATTGTCTCCTGGTAAAGACAAGGAAGAAGGAGGAGAGTGATAAATAGTGCAATAACTTCAATATATCAGTCAATATAAATACAGTATTAACTAACTTGGTGACTTGCTTGTACTCTTCAAAAGCCTGAAGCACAGCAGCGAGGTCTGACTGTTTCTGCAGAAGCTGATTTTTAAGTTTCTCCATGTCTGTGACAGAGGCTGTTGGAGCTGTGGGAGCTATCCACACACCAATTGTTAATAGTGTCATTCATTGTACTTTTACAGCTTCATGTTAAAAAATATAACACTTACTCTGTGCTTTTTCAGCCTCCATAGCTGTCTGAAAGGCTGCTTCCAACTCAGCAGACACCTGGGCTGCTTCTGTATCTGCCTGAACCACAGACTCCAGAGAGCGCAGCAGGCGGTTTTCCTCTCGGAGGCTCACATTCTCTGCAGCATAGCGTGTCATCTTGGGGTGATGCTCAAGCTATGCCAGAAAAAAACTCATTCATAACAGATGTTTTTCAGTAGATAAAGTACATTTAACACCAAACAGCCATACCTGATCTTTTAAAATGTGGATTTCCTCTTTAAGCTGGTCAATGACACATTGACTTTCTTCATTTGTGAATAAGTTTTCTCCAGTTTTAATTTTTTTCTCCAAGCGAGAGATGTGGTCCTCTCGAAACTTGACAATCATGCGGCTCGAGTGGATAAATTTGTCTTTCTGATTCCAGGCCTCTTCTAGTTGAGCCACTTTCTCAAGCAACATCTGTGGTGACGAGACACAAGAAACATTCTGTTATCAGACACTTGTCAGTATGAACTATTCAGTGCTGCCCTTGTTGAGGATATACCCTTTTCTCCTCTTCCCGTCTTTTCCAAAGACGAACTGCAGCAATAAACTTGGATTTGTACTGGATCCAGTCCTGACATCCAACTGGTTGGCCAGAGACAGTTAGTGTCATGAAAAACATTTTAGCAAGGTCTTACGTAATACTTCTTTTACCAATTGGAACTTCGGGTCCCCCAGGGGCAACATCCCTTTGAGAGTCAACTGAAACAAGCGCCAGAGCAAGCTGCTCCTTTAGTTTTTTCACTTCAGCTTGCAACTGCCTTACATTTCCTTGGGTGTCTTCGTTAATGATAGCCTAAATCCGGGAAAACAAACATAAATCGTCAAATTCACACCAATAGAAATAAATGTTAAATTGCCGGAACATACTTTGTTCTTGATCAGCTTTGCTCTTTGGGCAAACTGTAGAGTGGAGAGGGTTTCTCCAAAGCATTTAGACCCAGGGTGGACATTTGCTATAATATAGGTCTTGGCATTTCCTCCCAGAGAGTCCTAGAGAAAAATGTACATTTTGAAATACCTCAAGTAATAAAAAAAAATAGCCAAAAACATTTTTCTCTTACTCTTAATAAAAATGTTAGTTTTGAATCTCTGTAGCAAATATGGCGATTCTTTCCATTGGACACGTCAACTAGAGCCATGATCACCTGACCGAGGCACATCAAAGAGCGATTGATACTGCTGGCTTCCTGTAGATGACAAAGACTGCGGTCAATACAAGTATCATTATAGTCCCACTGAGCTGATGGGACAGTGCACCTTGAGCCTGGATCCCTCAGCGTGTGTGTCTTTCTGCCGCTCTGATCCTGCCAGGTCCACCAGGTTAAGCTGAGACATTCGGATATTCACCACCTCATTGATGGACTCTTTGGACTCCAGGGTCATGGTGAACACAGCGTGAGATCTGGAGGACTCACGGTTCATTGAAGTGGATGCTACTCTGCGATTACGCCATCCCAAAGACAAAACCTTAAAAGAAGAGTTTAATTAAAGAACATTATAAGACTGGAAGAGACATTTGCCAAAGTAACGTGAGCCAAGATTTAACCATTTCTCAGTTTATATAACATGAAAATATTTGCCCACATGCTTGGATACAGATTTTATTTTAACAGGTTCTGAGCTTAGGTCCCTGCTTAGCCTGATGTCCCTGCAACCAGGCCCCGGATAAACGAAAGAAAATGGATGGATGGGTTGAGCAAAAAACACTACACTAAGATGTTGTAATAAAAGTACCTGGTAGGCCTCTGCAGCTGAGTTGACAAACTTCTCGACAGCACCCTCAACAAACACACCCTTCTTGATGTTCTCCCTCACAAAGAGGCTAGCTGAAGCAGTGTCCAGCAGATCATAAATCTGTTCATTGTAGATCTCAATAAAGGAACATTTGCAGAGGAAACTCTTGGATTTTTGTGACTAGAAATCAGAAAAAAACATTAGCAAAGATGCTATCAACTTTTTATATTTCAGTGTTCAAACAAACTCACCTTTTCCACTTCCCGGTTAATGAGAAAAAACAGATACTCAAAACTGCGAGGTATTACTCCCCGCAATTCATCAGTAAAATTATCCAACTCTGATGGACCTAAAAAAAGGATGTGATTAAGAAATTTTTCCATATTCACCATTGTTTAATATACCGTTTGAAAAAGTAAAGGAACACTTTGAAAACACATCACATCTCAATGTGAAAAAGAAAATATACTGGATATCTATACAAATATGGACAGGGCTATGTCTTAGAAACAAAAGGATGCCACCTCTTTTAATGGAAATAAAATTTTCAGCCTACAGAAGGCTTAATTTTATGGACACCTTGAAAATCAAAGCAAAAAATAAAGCTAGTCCATTTGGCCTAAACGTAATTTCTTCACTCAAAATGCTTCTCAATCTCTCGTCTGGCCCCCATGTGCTTGTCTGCATGCTTGACAACGTTGTCGCTCCTAATGAGACAATGGGTTCAAGGATTTCATCCCAATATGCAATAGCAGACAGACTGCTGTTTTCTAGCCGGAAGAAGTCTGTGTGTTCTTCCATGGATGTGTCTATCACAAATGCTCAGGGTGAACCTGTTCTCATCATTCTGGTGTCATCTATCAAATGCCAGAACAGCTCCACGGTGTAGTGTGCCCTGTGCTCACCGCCCAGAAACGCCCTTAAGCCGGTTGGCACAAAATCATGAAATCTGTTTCTGATTATTTGGGCAGAGACATTCACACCACTGTTGGAGGTCATTCTGTAGGGCACTGGCAGTGCTCAAGACTCAGACCTGTTGAGCTCTGTTAGAGTAACTGCCAGTCTCCTGAAATCTCCATGTTCTGGAGATTGTACTGGGAGACACATTAAATCTCCTTGCAACGGCATGTCCGGATGTGCCATCCTGGAGAAGTTGGACAATCTGAGCAACTTCTGTAGGATTAAGGAATGGCCTCATACTTCCAGTAGTGATAATCACTCTAAAGCCAGCACTAGCATAAAACCAGCGAAAAAAGACCAAGAGGAAGAAACTTGAAATGATCTCCACATGCAAAATCAGTCTTATTTTAGTGGTTGTCTTATTGTTGCCACTCTAGTGCACCTGTTGTTCAATTCTATTAAAGAGGTAGCATTCCTTTGTTCCTAAGACCTTACCTTCTCCATATTTGTATAGATATCCAACAGATTTTTTTCACATTGAGATCAGATGTGTTTTTGAAGTGTTCCTTTAATTTTTTTGAACAGTGTATATTCATCCTCACCAAGCATGGTAAATGTCTTCCCTGAGCCAGTCTGTCCACTGCAGAACACATTATAACTAAGTGCAATGATTCATTATAACCAGAAAGATAAGCCACACTATAATCACCTACTATGCAAATATAGTTCCATTGTATCCGTTCATGCAGGATTCAACAATGTTCTTGGCCACACAGGAAAACACAGCATCCTGAAAAAAATAAAATAAAATCTGAAGTTACCATTATCAAAATGAAGCAACCAGCCCACCAAAACAGTTCCACACTTTAGTGTAGAAATTATAGATCAACATAAAACCTGAGTGGTGTCCATATCGGCAACATGGTCATAGGTGAAAATTCGTGGCTGTGGTTTTGAGAGCAGCCGAATGGTGTTTGGAGAGGTGACGCTAAGACACAGACTCTGATCTCCATCTGTGGTGAGCCCTGTGCCCTGAGTCAGAGGGCGCACTCGCACAAATACTTTAATGGAGTCACTGTCACTGTCGGGAAAGCACAAGTGAACACAACAACACAGAGACAGTTGGCACAAATAACTTCTAATAATACTTAATAGAATGCTAGGGAAGAAGACATAGGTTGATGTATTATTTAAGCACATTACCAAGCCATAAGATGAGATGAATCAGCCATTCCTGCAAACAAAGTTAGACAATTAGTTGTGCAGACTTCTGATATATTGTAATATTTTTACAGTAAAGAAAAGCCACTAGAATGCATAAATAAAAGACATTTTTTTAAACTATACCAGATGAAGGCCTATTGCACAATGCATACCATTTATTACTCCAATGATTTCAGTGATTTCTAAACAAAGCAAGCAAAATAAATGAATAAACCAAGAAAGCTCAAAAAACAAATAAGCCTGGTGGTGATTAGGCCCTGGATCAATTTTCTACATAAATTTCCATTGTGATTCAGTCCAATTCAGGCAACCAACTTAGAACAAGTTTGTATCTTGTGGAATTTTGGAATACCACCACGGTGACTGGAAAATATTTGGGGAATAGTTTATGCCCTCGATAGGTCAATATGGTAAGGAAGACTTATATGCCCCATGTTTTATAGATGCACATATGCCCTACAGAGTTGTATTAACAGTGTAAATTGTTAACTACGAGACTTGCATAACTTCTGTTGCATATGAATAGCAATAAATAGATGACAAAGCCAGATGCATAACAGGAACACTGAAGATTCTGTTAAAAGTCCAGTGCGCGGAGTCTGCAGTAACAACTCTCGCTAAAAGGACAATATTGGGACAAAAAGGACAATATTGCGCGCCGTTTACATTACCAGAACGTTTTTATGCTGTCCCGTGTGGTCATTACCTTTTCCACTCGTAGTCATCGTGATATAAAAACCGCTGAGTGTGAAAAAAATCACAGTTTTGGCCTGTCCCGTCCAGCCTCGGGACCAAATGTTTACGTACTCTGAAATTGGCGGGCGGGCAGCGTCACGTTTCCTTTTTTTTTTTTTTTTTTTTTTTTTTTTTTTTTTTTTTAATTGCAGCTTTTCAGATACAAACAAAAAGGCACCTTATATACGTATATAGCAAACATGAAAATAAAATAAATGCATAAAAACACAAAAGTGAATAAAAACATATTTACACATAAAAAGGGGCAAGTTCCAAGCGCTAATTTAAAGGCATAAATTAAAATAATTCAAAAAGAGACATAAGAAAACCAGCATCTTTTCTCTTAATTAGGCCCAATGAGGTAGCAAAAACTTTCAGGTCATTCTTCCACTGCGTTTTTTGCGAATTGTGAATAAAATGTTTACATAAAATCAAAGCGTCACATTTCTACTTCTGATGTTTTCAATGGCAAAAGAAGCGGCGCCGCGGATCACAGCGCCCCCTGCAGCACCATGAGAAAAAGCTTGTTGTCTGGCGTCATATCCGTTCTCTAATCCCATTGGCTGTACAACCTAGAAGTGCGCGTTGTGTCACGTTTCCTGTGTGTTTATTGGTTGTTTTCGAGACTTTTAAATTCCAAACCGTTGTCTTTGGGAGAAGCTGCAGTTTTTTCAGCTCACTTCTTCCAGCGCTGCATGTTACGTTTGTTTCGAGAAAAGGCTTATTTTCAGCAACTAGGGTTATTTGAGGTACGTAACAATATTAATCTAATATACTGTAGTTAGTAGCCTACATATTTAGTAGTCCTATCGCTTCTATGTTGCGTTTAAGAGTTAAATTCAACTCTTTTAGGAAGGAAGTTATTTTTATGAGCTGCATTTGTCATTTGACCTCTGCCAAGCTTTTCAGACACTTTAAACACTTTTTTTTTAGTTTGTTTATGTTGATGTTTTGTGTTTTTTGAAGTTGACCTAATCCTAAAAACAGTACTGACTTCACTGACCATCAGACTCATGACTTTAGTAGTTTATTAGACAAAGCCGTCATTCTCTGGTGTTCTTGTACAGACCTGTGTGCAACACCACAGATCCTTACCCATAATCCAAATCAAATGGTCAGCAGTGATCAATAGTAGATATGTGATCATGACGGATACAGTGTCGTAGAGTAATCTAAAATGTACTCAGGGAAGACTACCCTTACTTCATAATAATATTTTTTAAGTAGTTAACTGCAAAGTAGTGATGCAAGGAATAAAGACAAACAAAACAAAACAAAAAAAACTTTTGGGAGAACTACTATTCAAATAACAGTAACTGTCTGGATACAAGATCTGAATTATAATAATTTATACACATGCTATGCTATTTGAAGGATAAAACATTAAATACTGTAGGAAACGAGATGTCAATCCTGTACACAATCTGTGATTTTTATGATATGAAAAAGGAAAAAAGCGAGATGCAAGAATCACAAATGTCCAAATAGTTTTATATTGTCAACATTAAACTTTTTTACAGTGGGAAAAGTAATTTTGACTTAAGTAAGCACTATATTACTCTCAAAATTGTATTACTTGTAACTGAGTTCCAACCATTTAATGCAAATGACCCCTGGACAATATATTGTATTTTTCTCCTCTTCAGAGCACTCGCATGATTGTAAGTGTTTGACAACAACTCTGAAGTGAACACTATAGACACCCATGCTTCAGGAACCACATGACCTCAGTGCCTTATCAGCTGGTTGCACATTTGCGGAGGACTTTTCTCTTGGTGCAGGTTGTGACTCAGTTTGTTTGTGTAGGATGAGCTCTGTGGAGGTGAATGATGAAAATCGAGAGGTGGTGCCCCTCGGAGGAAAGCACTGTGTCATGAATGATGATATTTTTATGGTGGCAAATCCAACTGGAAGGCCCTCCATCCTGCGCCAGACTGAAAACCTACCCAGCAACACTGTGCCCAAGGGCATAAAGGTAAGGGGGTTCATACTTGGACTTATTTACTGCATCACACTACAACATCAGCATTTTATATGTGGCATTTGTTTGAATTAATTGACTACCATCTATGCACAGGTTTGTTTTCAGACTCCAAGGAGAGACCCAGTCACAAAGAGGATTCTGTCTCCAACTAAAACATCCAAGATGATGAGTGTTGATGAATGCACAAAAGCAATGGAGTCATTACATCTGGATAAAAAAACTGAGTAAGCATACTGTCCAGAGTAACTTTCTAATCTTTTGAGAACTAACTTCAGAGAAAAGACACTTAAAGTATCAGATTTAAAAAAAAAAATAATAAAATAAATGTGTAAAGCATTGTAAAAGCTGCTGACTCAATCATCTAAACATTAACTTTTATTTATACAGGTCTTCAATTCATGATGCAGCTGACCAACTTGTACCAAAACAAGGTAACCCATTTTTATATTCACGATTGTTTACCTTGGGGAAAATATATCTTAAAACTTGTAAATTACTATTAATCTACTCTTAAATGATAGTCATTTTTTTATAATCCTGTTCAGAAAGCGAAATGCCACTTCCAAGCAGCGAGTACAACTTGAATTTTGAAAACCTTGATGCTATCAACCCTTTTCAATCATCCAATAAGATGGCTCTGTCCCCGGTGGCGCCTGCTGCTGAGACTCCCCCTGCATTTCATAAAGATTTTAACAAGAGAAGCCCCAGCCTGTCTAAAACAGAGTCTGCTTTAGATGAGACACTGCCTTTTACTCCATCTGTGGACAACTCTCTTAATGCGACCACAGATGTCAGCTCCACAGACAGCAGTGTGGTGCTGGTGACCAAAGCTCCCACGGAGGATCAACAAGAGCTTGGCACAAACATACCATATGAAACTCAAGAGAAACCTTCCGTGGACTCTCCTTTGCCCACAAAAGGCTCATACAATTTTGATTTTGACAACCTTGATGCAGTAAATCCTTTCCAGACAGGTGGTTCTAAAATCCAAAATTCCCCTCCGATATGTAAACGCTCCCCACCAGAAAAGGATGTATCAGCCGTGGGGCAAATAAATTCCACAGAGGAGGTCCTAGGGCAAGAAATGTTGAGTCAACCTGAAGTAAAACCTGTAGCCACAGTTGCTCCCATTTCTTCTGATACCAGTACATCAAGTAAACCAGAGACTCAGCCTGATTTGACAATGGGAAAGGATGGCCCTGTTAAACTTGAGTTTAATTTTGATGACAATTCATCCAAGAAAGTAAAGCCACCTCCAAAAAAACTAGGAGTCAAAAAGCCACCAAGCCAGAAAACTGTCAAAGAAGTGAAAGAAGTGAAGCCTGTGCACAAAGCAGAAACACAGAAGGAGGCAGAGGGCCCCTGTGAGGAGGTCCCCATATCCAAAGGTGCATACTCTTTTGAACTCAGCAAGCTGGATGACCCAAACTTCAACCCTTTTGGCTCAAAGTCTGCAGTCTGCAATTCCCCTATAAGTAACGTAAAGACTAGTCCAGGTACTGCTAAAACCACCCAGGAGAATGTCAGCGAGCCTGTACAGAAAGACACAATCTCTTTGGAGTGGTATGTTAATCAGATTTTTAAAGTTACAAGTAATCTCTGTTGAATGCTTAAACATGTTATATTTTCTGTAGCACGACTGAAGCTGGCCCTGTTTCGTCCAGCATTGAAGAGGTTTGTAAGGAAAATGAATTATGATTTTTCCCTGTTTATTTAATTTTAACCTGAATGTTTACTCTTATGTTAAAAGGATGTCCCTGTGAAGGCTGTCCGTGAAGAAAGCCTTCCTCCTGAGGCTGAACACATGAGTTTTTCAGAGCACAAGTCACAAGGCAGCCTGATGGAAGAGGAGTTTGTTCCGGGAACAACATGTAAGCCAAAGAAAACCAATATTCTTTGTTTATGATTTGCCCATCAGTCCAAACCCTCTTTGTGGTAATCCTGACTAAATTTGCCATGGCTTTTTTTTTTTTTTTTTTTCTTCCACTTTTTCTGTATGTTTTACTTTTTAGCAGTTTTCATTGTCAGGTTAACAGGCACTACGCAACATCCCTGCACTGGACCAGAGCAGACATCATTCTAGTTTATGCGTGATAAATTTATAGTTAATACTGTTATTTATATTCTTAAATATAATTCCGGAGGTTTAATCCCGGCTCAAGGAATTATCACTTGACACAGTGCAATGCCTCTCAAGTGGTCAAAGTACTACTAGAGGATTATGCTAAGAATTAACTGCTGTGTTCCTGCTTTAATTTGCACATAAAATTTGTATTCTTTTTTTTTCTTGTCTAGTCCTGTCTAATGACTTTGACGGACAGATTGACTACCTGGAACAGTTCGGGTCCAGCAGCGTAAGCATTCTTTTAATATTTAGTTTTTCTGTGCATTTTCTAGCTTTTTTGTTTGAACTGTCGTCTTTTACAGTTTAAAGAGTCTGCATTGAGGAAACAGTCCTTGTACCTTAAGTTTGACCCCCTTCTCAGAGACAGTCCTAAGAAGGGCCCTGGTCCAGCTGCTGTGGTCCCTGCATCTCGACCTGCAGCACTCATCTCACGGTACATACAGCTTTAGGTTTTACTATGGCCATTTGAACATGTCAAACAGTAACTCTCTGGTTTCTTTCAGTCTTGAATCACCTTTGTCAGAAAAGGACATGAGTGGTCCACAGGTTGATGATTTCAAACTGTTGGATGTCGCTACTGAGCCAGTAAGTCACTCATTCTAGCTTTTCAACTACAATATAACACATTTCTCTATGGCAAGAGCATTGCCTGTTATACTTTTCGTTGTCTCCCACAAGTGTGCCCCAGTATTACAAAGCCCAGTACTTCCCTTACCTCCTGTCCCTCAGCCGACAAATACAGAAGAAGCCATAATTGAAGTTCTGAAGTACAGCCAGAAAGACATGGATGCAGCAATTGCCAGGGTCCAAGCTGAGGTAAGGCTAACTGCAGAGTTGGATTAAGTAACTATGCAATAGAGATTGGATATACAATTTGCAACATTATACAAAATTCTCCATCAAAATCTAAAAAATGTCAAGGATAATTCTGCACACACTTAATTTATAAATGTATATTTGACAGTGGAGTTCCAAATATAACAAGCTACTTGACGATGGTCAAGAAATGCGGTGAGTATTGTTTGACCATAGATTAGTGACACTGCATTGTATTATATACTGACATTTTTTTTCTTTTGTAGGAAAATAATAGCGGAATTTGAACTTATGATTGCCAAAATCATGGGTATGTTCCACAATACATCAGAGTTTGCCCCTTTATGTCCTTCTAAAATATATATTTTCCAGCTGACCAGGAGAAGGAGAGAGAGGTGGCACAGGCCAAGCTGAAGGAGGCTCTAATGGAGAAGGATCAGGTGTCCAGTGACCTCAATGCAATGGAAAGGTCCTTTTCAGATCTTTTCAAAAGACTGGAGAAGTACAAGACAGTCATCGAGGGCTACAAAAAGGTGCCTAAAAATACCTATACATTTTTTCATCTGTTTTTCCAGATCATATAAACTGATTTTTTTTTTTTTTTATTAGAATGAGGATACACTGAAGGCCTGTGCTCAAGATTACTTGGCCAGAATCAAGAAAGAGGAGCAGCGCTACCAGACTCTGAAAGCTCATGCCGAGGAGAAAATTGGCCAGTGAGTTGATGTCAGTAAATCCTTTAAATTGTAGGTGAGACTGAAAATGAGTGATTCTTTGTGCTTTCCCAGAGCAAATGAGCAAATTGCAGAGGTGCGTTCCAAATTCAAGTCAGAGCTGTCGGTGCTTCAGGCTCAGCTGCGGCGTGAACAGCTCAAAACACAGTCGCTGGAGAAGAGTCTGGATCAGAAGGTCAGAAGAAATACTAGTGTCTTGTGTTTTAAAAGAAATTACACCATTAACGTAGTGTTTTTTTTCCAACAGGAGAAAGAGGCTGAAGAGCTCACCAAACTCTGTGATGAACTTATCAGCAAAGTGCAAAAGGGTTGAACTTTTTTGTAAATATTTTTGTTATTTTTTCCTTGTAGACTGTCGAGTTTGTCTTTTCGATGTCTGTTCATTGTAAAAAATATATATGTATAATAAAATGACAAGTCTTAATGTTTACTGTAAATACTGATCCTTTTTTAGATCATAGTTTACTCATTTGGTCTTACTTAACATTTCTCTGCAGATACAGTAATTTAAGTTGGCTAATGCTCATATGGAGATTTATGCAGACTGAATGTCTGGTGGGATTTGGAAAATAATATTTTGGCCAAATAAAAATGCTTTTGTCTGGAGTCTCATTCATTTTGTTGGTTTGTTAGTTTACAAATGAGTTATGATTAAGATTTAAGTGATACGGGGAAATTACTTCAAAAGTCAGAATGTTTTAAAGGGTATAGCTGAAGTGCATTTCTCTCCAAATGCATGAACGCACCACAAGAGGGCGATGTAGACTCGTATAGCGGGGAAGTTTGTTTTTTTTAAACTTTAATATCATGTGACGTAAAAATCACATTGAAAGTCGAGTAATGCAGGCTAATATGAATATAAACCAGGCAGCAATTTCACATTAGTATGGACGAAACTGGACAAATACAAAAAGGGAATTTAAATTCATTAAATAGCCTGTTACAAAATTGTTGTAATGTTACAAAAGTGCAGGAACCATTCAGTTCCTAGCATGTAAATAGAGTCAAAACGATTAAAATGTCAGTTGCTGCAGGTAGCCATTACAATGCCCACTCTAGTGTTCTATTGCACCAGTATGGAGTTGACCTTGGTCAGCACACTCCTAGTGGGAACCGAGCTGATTAAAAGGGCCAAAAGTTGAACTCTTCTTCATCCTCATCCCACAAATGACCACAACAAAACAAGTGCATTTCTGGTACAATGCCCCTCTTCTTTCCTGAGCAATCAGCGGCCCCTGTCACATCACTCCCACTCCAGACAATGTGTTTCCTAACTGCTAGAGGTAATCCTATCTGAAGGAGCTCAATGTGCTGCTGCTTTGGAGCTAGGGAGGCAGGAGGATCGGTTCACTTAAACGGGGGAGAGATGCTGGGCTCTCAGTGTAATCTTGCAGTGGCTGTCACTCATCTGGAAAGGACAGAGACCGCCTCTGTGTCTGAGGGACATTAAGCACCCACTGTCCCCAAGCTGGCTGCCCCCGGCCTCACCCCAACACACCACTTGACCACTGCAAAGGTGTAGCTGACCTGTCTGTAGCTTTGTGTCTTTCAATGTCCTCTGGGTTGTACTAGTTAATGAGTTAATCTAATGTAACATGTAATTTACAGTTGTGTGCTGCAGGAACCTTTTGCAGTTCTGAGATTTTTTTGTTGTTTTGGCCATATGGGGAACAAAGGTGAGAGACGTTGAATAGAAAACCAAAAAGATCCTGGCAACATTTTCAAGTCAACATTAGATTTCATATTATTAGAGCTATACATATTATAGGCAAACAGGTTTAACTTCACCAAGGTAAATACATTACTGAACACAGTAAAAATGAAATGTAAACATATTACTCTGAAAAATATATTCATTTTAGGCAAATAAATTAAATTCACTTCTGAACTGTAAAAAAAAACCCTAAACATTTTACGAACTGTTATTGTCTCAACTCCTTTTGCTGCCACTTGTATACAGATCAAAATAGATTATGAAATTGAATAATTCTACAAATACAAAACTTCACAACAAATATCTACCCCTGCAGTCTCAGGCAAGGTATCATATAGAAATATTAAAACACAACCCGAGGTGGATAGGTCCTGTGGAGTTTAGTGGTCTATGCCAAAGCTCTGTCCACATTAAAATGACAAAAGAGTGTAAACCAGCCACTGCTAAGGTGAAGGGAAAACCCCAGTCTCTATACCTCATACTCAGTTCCACCAGGAAAAAAACATGTTCTCCTGAAAAGTTACACCAAACTCACTGTCACAGTTTTGTGTCCTTTGACGTGTACAAGGATGCATACATGAGTGGTGTGCATTTAAAATGCAGCAGGTATAAACATCTACAAGTAGAAAACCACAGTCACTCATGGGTGTGTTGAACAATAATGCCCCATGCAAGTCTTTGACACTCTGCTAACACTGGAAATGGATGTGCTGGTGCTGGTGGACTTTGCCCTCCACATGGGAGTGAGTGTGTGTGTGGATGTCTGTGTAGATTTTGGGGTAGAGTTTTGGAGGGAGAGCTGCTTGGCTCAGAAGTAGCTGCTGCTGGGACAGGTACTCCTCATAGTTCCTGGAGGTGATGCAGTCTTTCTCTGGGCCAGAACCGGACGCAGCTACGCATAACCTGTCCCGCTCTCGGTAGGCAGGACGCTGGGTGTGCCCTTGGCCTGTACTAGGGTGAGCACTGGTGGGAGGAGGGCAGTGCTTTCTGCTTTGACAGAACCAGAGTAGAACTGTTCCAAAGATGAAGACGATGCCAGCAGGGATGCCTATGACCACGGGCCAGGGCAGAGAGGTGGGGGCCGCAGAGAACACTGTGGTGATGGGGACCTTTGAGTCTGCAAGAGGAAGACACGGTTTATAAAATCAGTATCAATCATCTGATTGAGTACACACAGCTACAAACAGGTTCAGTGTTCTATACTGCAATACATGCCATGTTTAATGTTAAATAATGTTGAGTATGGCTTATTATAACTCAGCATCTTCTCCCAAATGGGGATGCAGTAGGTTCACCTGGCAGCACAGTGAGAAAAGCGCTCCTGAAGCTGTAGCCCATGGTGTTGGCTCCTAAGCAGATGTACATGCCCGCGTCCTCCTCTTTGGCCCTGGAGATGAGCAGCTTGTTCAGGTAGGACCCATCAGGCCGGGACCACACCTCCCCTGTGGGTAGCACCATGAATCTGTGCTCCCCCACTTCGATGGTGGAGTTGTAGCGACTCTCCTCGTTGGAATCCACCCGTTTGAGCCACTGGATGACAGGTTTCACATCGCTCCGGACTTTGCACTGCAGAGAGGTGGTGCCCCCATAGTCCACAGTGGTGTTGACCGGGTGAGTGCCTGTGAGGACGGGCTTGGAGTTGGTTCTCTCTGCACAGGTAGAAGACAGAAGCACAAACAAACATAATGAGAGGCCGTTGCGTATGGGAGAGAAACACCTGGCTGTAATCAGGGCAGTCTTTTGTGATGTCACCAACTACTAGAAATTGACTAAAAAGCTACAAATTTAACTGGCATGCACTAAAGTTGCCAAAAAATATCTAGGAAAAAATATAAGACTATTCAAACACCATATACACAGTTGCAGCAATTTAGCTTTTTAGCAGCTGCTACAAATCAAGAGCATTTAAGCAATGAGTGATGGCCCATTATAAAATTGTGAGACACTGGACAATACAATAACACGGCATTTCAGTTATTGTTACATCCCTAGTGGTCACCCTGGTTAGCTTTAGGCTTTAGGCACAGAGTGTGTAAGTGACTGAGGGAGCATGTAACACAAGCCGTATGTGTGTGCTGTGCTTCCTGTCTGCTGCTGTTCCCGCCAGCTCTGGCACACAGCTGCTCTTTAATCAGCTGCAGATCCAACACTTGGGCACAGTCACATCTCAATGCAGCAATCAAGGCCCGGACTAAGCAGGTCTATGGTCCCTCCACCACAATCACATCATTTGAATGCAGACTGTTGGGGTTTGAGTTGAGTAGAACCGATGAGCAGGACGCCACAAAACACTAGGGGGTCCAAGGCTGAGCGTAGTGGAGAAGTGTTGTCGTCCAAATGTCTGCTGTGTAATAGCCCTAGGTTATTTTCAAGACAATTGAGGTTGAGGTATACTTTATTTTTTCCAAGACCTTGAGCTAGGTTTGGTTTGGACTACCTAGCAGCTAGAAGATTAGCCTCTTGTGCATTAGTGAAGTGTGTTAATGCTTCAGGTCCTAAAACATGAACATACTTCACTAATGCACTCATGTCACTCAAATAAGTGTAATACCCAATGTTTAGGTAATCAATACCAATGCTAGAATTGATACTAGATCAATACTGGGGGAAAAAAAATGTGACTGGGTAAAATTTGTTGTATATTGAGTTTTATCAGACCACATGTTATAATAAACAAATACTGTTCTCTAGCATAAAAAATGACAATATTGTCTGAAAAAGAGCTTTTAAAGTTATATCAAAATCACTATCGGGTATCAAGTCTATTCTTTAGTATAAAAATCAAGTTTGAAATTTTAATATCATAACAACACTGGGTAATAATACTTATTTGAGTGATAAAATTAATTCTGGTCAGGATGTCAGTTAACCTGATTCTATTATTAAGTCATTTTAGAACAGCAGTTTACAATGAACAAAATGTAAAGTCATTATTTTGTCTGTTTTTATGTCTATGGAAATACAATGAATGCCATAAGGTATTACAATCTCTTAATCTCAAACTCCAACTTGTAGCCCTAAAATAGCATCTTGCACAGGGCTCAAACAAAGAAACGGCCTTGGAGTTTGTGTTGTCTTTGAGCTATAGTGTGTGCACTTGTAGGAGACCCTCACCTATGACCTCGAGTTTGTATGTGGCGTTGATCTGACCAGCGCGGTTGGACACCCTACAGGTGTAGCGGCCGCTCTGCTCTGGGCTCAGGTTCCTCAGACTCAGGGTCCACTTCTTCTGCCGTCCCTCTCCCACCTCATGGTCACTCAGGGGCAGATCGTCCTTCAGCCACTCGATGTCTGGCGGAGGGGTTCCGCTGGCCGCACACTTGAAGCGCACAGAGCTGCCTACGGGACGAGCGATGACTCTTTTTCTCATTTTGGTGGGCTCAGAGAAGCGAGGACTCACTGGGCACACATGAATAGTACATGGTCAATGAACTATTCACAAGCGCATACTCCTGTTAGAAGTTTTTTTCCCTAGTGGGACAGCAGAGTAGTAACAAGAAACCTTGAAAATTAATCAGTATGTCTGGAGTGGCCTTAAACCCTTTTTTCTAGTATTGAGCACATCACATGCCTGTCTCTATGGATATGTTATTGTGTTCCCTGAAATGTTCCACAATAGTTCTGTGCAAAGTAATAACATCTCCATGGAGACAAGCAGGTGACGTACAATCCACAAGAAGCAGGCCACCTTTACCTTTTAGAATTTAATAAATGTGTACAGATGCAAATCTTGCATATTGGTACCACTTCTGCTATAGGTTTAATTGTTTTCTTACTATTTTGTTCTGATCTACCCGCTTTTTAGTGTGTTAATTGAAGCGTTTTTATAGCATGGATAATGATCAACTGTGTCCTTATGATTTGCATTATGTACAAGTATGTCTTAATAAGTCTGAGTGTATTTGTGATTGATCAGTTGATCCACTTGATCACATTTGTGGTTATATCTGCTGTGGATGTATTGTCTAGCATTACAATTTACTCTTGTAACCACTGACAACCGTCAAAGAAACAGACAAATTTACATAACTGTCTGTGGCACAGAAGGCCTTACCCTGTTTTTCTGGCAGTGTGTCCGTGCCAGCTTCAGATTGCCTTCCATCAGCTTTTTCTGCTGTGGTTCTATCAGAATCATCTGCAAGGCACACACACACAGAATATAAATTACAATGCAGCACAACAGAGACAGTCACACCCAAATAAGGTAACAATGACATGACAAAATGGAATGGACGGTAATGGGCAGTGAGAGGGGGAGAGGGGGAGAGGGGGAGAGGGGGGAGGACTGAGGCTGGGGTCAAATAGGAGTGAAAGATGATCACTTCTCATAAGCCCTTCGCAGGAGGACACAGCTGTGTCACCGGCTGACATCATGCAGCCAGACTGAGCCAGGTTTAGGACAAATATCAGGAATGAAATCTAATCCTAATTTAGTGAAGGGGATCATATTTTCAACACAGGCAATGGTTAATTAACAATGTATATTAAACACTGAACACTTGATTCTACAATACACGTCTAAAAACTCCCCAAACATAACTCTAAGGCAATCATTATTGTCATATTGAAAGATTAAGATTTACGAGGTGCTTAATAATAGTAATTTCTTTATTTTGGCAACAATGAAAGAGAAAAACAGTTGGTTTATGTATTACACTGACTGCTTTATCACCATGCAGAAACAACAACAGTGTGCACTTCTGGCCCATGAGCAGACATTTCTGTTTGATTAAAAGTTCACTATAGTGAGATTAATGATTTGTGATCCCAAAATATGACAAATATAAATGATTGATTAAACAGAAACTACAGTACGTATTCAGAGTATAGCACAAACAGTACTACACATGCAGCTGGGGGTTATCGATGAGGACATGTGACCTGACCCCTACCTCCCTTCTGGACCTTCTGAAACCTCAAAGCTCCGCACTCCTCGGGTACAAATCCTCCTTTGTTTGTCCCTGCCGCTCGGGCCCAGCCATGATGTCATGACTATTTGGAGGCTTTAACTGGCCAACTATAATAAGCCATTCCTTTAAAAAAACAACCTCCAGTGGAAGAAATATTTCTCTGTAGCTCACAGGGGCTGTGTGCATTCCTGTCGGTTCCTGAGTCTCCCAATCCAAACACGCTCCACACTGCTGCGCTTTGCATTTGGACTTAATTTTTCCGCTCCTTTTTCCTTGTACTAAAGAACTATTGATACCTTTATAAATCTCTTTTCCTGAATCCATGGTAGTGAGTTACTCATTTTTGTTGCAAAAGCTATGGCAGATAAAGTTATAGAGTTCTTGTTGTTTGTAGCCTGGTGGCTAGCACTCTCACCCATGCATGTATAATAAAAAGGTTTTATTATAGCTCTCACCTCACAGTAAGAACATTCAGAGTGCCCAGGCCTTTCTGTGTGGAGGTTGCATGTTTCTTCCAGTGTCTGGGTGGTTTCCTCTGGGCACTCCGATTTCCCCCAACTCAAAATATGCGCAGTAGATAAAATCCTTCAGCTAAGGTAGTCCTGACCAAGACTAGCTCAAGAACTGGAAATGGGGCCACGGACAGTGAGGCACTGAGGCGCTGCACTGCTCTTGACATGTTGCTCCAGTGGCATTGAAGGATGGACCAAATGCAGAGGAGTCAAATGCAGAGGGGACAACGAAGGCTAATCTAAACCTTATTCAAGCGATAAGTTCTCTCATATTTTTTAGAACAAGGAAACACTGTCCAATTCCTGTTTTAAATAAGCTGGTCAGAGTTCTAATAGCTATTACAGGTTCAAATGTATCCATCAATAATGAGTTTACAGCAGTGCCAGTCAAGCCAGATTAAAAAATCACATTTGTCACGCTTTAAATGAGTGATTCTCAATATGTGGGTCATTTCATATTTATTTATTTCAACCATTTTAATTGGGTTGCAGGACATTGCCAAAAAAACTAATTAGTTTTTTTACTTGTCCTAGTTGAGTTACTGAGAACCACCGCTTTAAATAATGATGTTTTTGCATATCACATTTTGACCTTTTCATTAACAAAAACGGTCAGTGGAAAAAGCCGGGTCACCGGTCACCGCTGAACGCCAAGAAAAGCCTGAAGATGAGGGGTCACCATGAGCTCCAGATGTTCACAGTCTAATGTATAATGTCCAGGAATAGTTACACACACACTACATTTATTCACTGCTACCTCCCAGGCCCTTTGCATCCATGAATCAACAAAAGGACATGGCATGGCGTGCAAAATATTTAGAATCTTGCCCAAAAATGATGTGTAAAGTCAAGTTCATAAACATTTAAAACTCACCCAGAGAACTAATTTCATACCTTGTGCAATGGTCAATAAAAATCATATAATCCTAATACAATATATAATTGAAATTAAATAATAAAATGGAGTCAGTCAGAAGATCTTAGACATAAACTGCAGCTGCATGTATAGTGCTGTGTGGGCCTGGAGAGTTAAGGACAGTTGTCAAGGGACCTCCCCAAACAGCCGGCCCAGAGATGCAGGGGGTGACTTGTTATAACTAGAGTCCACATTCTTTGGCTCCCGGAAAGACAGATGCAGGCTCCTCTCTCTCATTGTCCCACTGCTACTAACATGAGGCTAACACAACCTCTCCGTATGTGCTGTCATGTTTGAACTCTCCTTATGGGCCCTGCACTAGAACAGCAGCCAAGGTTGAAATAATAAACGGTGCGATATATTGACCACTGAGCCAAACTGAAATCCAAGGAGATAATGTTGCGATGTGGTGAAAAGTTATGTGGGAGGTACAATCTATGGGAAAACGCTGACATTGTGTTTTAAAACTAAGCCTGTTTTGTTAGGTTTATGGTTAAGACTACACTCACACAGAAGTTTAACTACCATTAGTTTGGCCTATAATATTATGAGATTTATGTTAATAAAATATAATGCAGCTTTACTATATACATGGTTGGGAATGTTTAAACAGAAGATTCAGTTGCAGACAATGTATAACAGGAGGGATGTATTGTAAAAGGGATAATATTCCTTTTTTTAGTTTTAGATTTTGCCTGGAATGTTTAACAAGTAAAAAAAAAAGCTTGAAAAACATGCACTGTTAATTTGAGTGGTGATGCCTCTCCACAGTTCTGACCTGTAACTAGGCCTAATAACGCTACCGACTAGAAAAGTTACATACCTTTAACTTGCAGTATAGTGTTTGCGGACACGAATATAAAGTGATATTTGTGCACTTTTCTGTTTCATTTTACAGTGAATTTGCTTATAATGTGTGATACTTGGCCATTTCCAGGCATCTTACAGCACATTTCTGTTGGATCCTATGAATATCTGTGAGATACTAGATAAAATACTGTGATATTGTCAGTATCTCTCACCCTCATGAATATTTAGTAGACGTCTATGTTATCTGTTATCCATTCACCAGTGCCTGGACGGTAAGTGTTTATATCCACACCACAAACAGGAGGCCTGTCCCATGTTTGGCTCCACAGTGGAAATAAACACAGGCGTCTGAGGAGTGAAGGGAAACTTCTGGGGCCAGTCCTGCCTTATTTGCATTGGGAAATGTTTGTGTAAGACCCTTTCATCTTTAAAGCCCACAGAAAGTGTTAATGCTCCTCTGTAATGGGGCGATTAAAGCAACACTGTAACTTTTTAAAGCACTCACTTCTATAGGTGAAGAACAAAATGGATAGACTCTGGGGCTGTACTGTTTTCACTAAATGACATGTATTTAAAGAAGCTATGCATTTAGGTTCAGGAGAAGTTTTGTTTTAGAAAGTTCTCTGTCCAAAATGATACAGATCTTATCCATCACAGGCTGATGGATGGATTCTGTGAGACTAACAATAGACTTTTACATGAAGTGTGATGCAGACAGACGTGTCTGGCTTAGTAACAGTAAGTAAACATGGACATTATGGTCGACTGCATGCTCCAAATGACCTTTCATTTTAGCACAATCAGGAGACACCCTTTCATTGAACTCACCGGCAGCTTCTGAGGTGAGCCCAAAATAAGTCTACCCCTAAAAGAGCCATTTTCCACATCTGTCTGATTATGGCTCTTGAAGCCTGGCTGTCACAAAACTGGGCTGCAGCCTCTTTCTGGCCCCAATTAGGCATCTTAGAATAATTAGACTAAACACAGGCTTCACGCTCCATCCAGCTCATTCATCATGCTCAGCTACGGCACAGGAAATGCACTGTACGCACAGCTCACACACCGGGCCAGGCCTGGGAGCTCCTCCAGGCTGCTCCAGAGCTGGGACAGGCACTGAAGGACACATGTACTAGAGCCAGTGTCGCCCTAAGGGAAGGAAGAGACTGTGATCCCAGTGAGACACAGGGGATGAAGTCGTATGAAACAATATCCCGCCCTGCTGTTGACTTTGGGCTGGGAGAGGTAGGCCTGTAACACGTACAATACATGAGGGGATCATGCATTAAGTCCCCAGAAATCCACTTGATCTGAGCTTGACCTGTGCAGAATACGGCCTTACTCTTTGCTGGCAAGAAGACCATGGTACAATAGACATAACCACCAAGGATAGGACTTGTGATGAACATGTTTCAGTCTTACCAATAACAATTAGAGTGTAGTTGATATTGACGCTGCCGAATCCATTAGTGGCTTTGCAGATATAGGTCCCTGCATCATCAGCCTCCACCTCCTTGATCTTGAGTCCCGTTCGGAGGAAGCGGAAGCGGACCCAGCCACTGTGGATGTTACGACCATCTTTGGTCCACATGATGAGGGGAGGGGGGTCACCTTCCACGGGACAGGGCAGCTTGATGCCACTCCCCAGACGTGCAGACTGTCTGTGGGTAACTTTGTGAGCCACTCGTGGAGGTCCTGAAACATACCGAGGCAGACAAAAAGAACATAAGCTGTTTTAAAGACAGGAAAAATGTCTGTTGCGCCCTAAAAAATGTTAACCACAATGTCATTCCTCAGAAACTACCCAAGAGTTAACCTCCCTTGACCAAAATGCTTTTGCACTTAACTTTAATTGAAACATTGGATTTATACCCCTGATTAAATATGATTAGCACCATGGTCAGAAAATCATACTTACAGTTATGTAAGAGACAGACTTTTCCCCCAGACTCTCCTTCCCAACATTCCCAAGTGACTAATTTCAACCTTCCAGAGTTAGCAGTGAAAGTAAAGGAGCAGCAGTAGCTAAAGCTGAAGCCATTTTCATGTGTAAAAAGCAGATTGTTATAATTAGATGTGATCTGTCATCCAGCACAGAGAGGCGGAGGAGATCAAAGTGCGTGGGGGCTGGTGCGTGGTCTCAGATCTGGTGAAGTGGAGCCTATGATGGTGTTAGAAGGCCAGCAGCATGCAGCTACACTTTAAAGCAAACAAACCCAGAGTAAAGTTTGGATGAGAGACACAAGGCAAACCAGAGATTTCAGGGCCACAGGTTTGGGGTTTGGGCTGTCATGACAAGCACGCTCAAAATGGCAACATAGCAAAAAACATATCACAAGTTTCTGGGAGTCAGAGGACAATTTAGATTTTATCACAGTTCACACTACACTGTGATTGGTTAAATCCAGCTGTCAGTCACTCAAAGCCTTACAGAAGCTAACCAGTAGGAGGAGTGGGTGGGAAAAAGTATCTGGTTGAACCGACAATAGTGAATCACAATATGACAATATCACCAAAAAAGCTGATTTTTATCACCATATTGTCCAGCCCTAACCCAAATATAACTTTATCTCATATTGGATCTTGACAAAACTCAACTACTGATGCTGTCAGTATCAATAGCCAGGCTGGCACCACCTAGTCCCTCCGCTCAATTTCATTTCTCTCCAGCGACTATGTCAGGAATCGGAATACACTAGACAGTTTGCAAGAACCCTGAAGTTGTAGACAGCGCACCGGACAATCAGCGAAGAACTGTGAAGCCAGCAATTTCTTGGACACCACTGAGAGTTCCGGCGCGTTACATACGTCACAACCAAATAGCAGCGATTGGTTAAATAAAAAAGTACCCGCCTACCGTCACGTGAATAAATTCTAATGCTGCGAGGTCAGACAGTTTACATGAAGTGAATCCGGCTGATGAATCAGGTTAGAAAATCAATGTTGTGATAGACAAACATGTGAAACTGAGGTAGCAGATGTCCAAAATATTTTTTCATTTTTAAAGTCACTGTTTGTTGTATTTGTGCCTCTAGTGATATTAATATGTGTTACATCTTCATTTGAACCATAGAAAAGCCTCATTTACTTTAATCTACAGACCTACTTGGAATTTCCAGGAGTCAAAATTCTAACAGCACAACTGTTTGCTATTACATGATTATAAAATGTTATTAAAATATTCAGTAATAGCTGTAAAATATGTTCCAGAGTGATTTAACTGCTCATCAGACATTTCTACAATTGTTTCTTGAGCCTTAGCATTTGGCATGTGAGGTCGACAGTTGTGGAGAGATAGGGTTGTAAAAATATTTTTCATTCTGCAGTAAATTATATCCGGTGGGTAATTTTCTACATTTTTGCAAAAGCTTGGTTGAATTATGAGGCGGTTTAAGGCGAGTGAGCATTTGGCTGTGATAAAACAGGGAGCTGTTTGTGTGGGGAATGTGCACCAAATGATTTCCTCCTCCATCTGAACTCTCCAAAGCTTTGAAGTCTCACTAAAAACAAGGTATGGAGGGGTGCCCCGTTCAAGGCCGCCTCTCCTAACCTTGAGCTAGGGTAGAATGACTTATAAAGTTACTCTGTCTATTTATTTATGAGAAAACCTTTTGAAAATGAATTTTGAATAGTTAATTTATCACTTCAAAATATACTACTGAAGTTTCAAAAGTACAAATATTTGATGTGTTAGGAGATACTAAAATGAATGTGTATTAGTCACGCTTCCTAATATATTTACTCAAGTAGCTACACTTCCACCACCTGTAAGTGACAAACGCTGAACATTAATATTATCTGAACTAATGTTAAAACTGTAATCTGCACCAATTTTGAAAAAAAAAATACAGCAATTTGTAATTTAAGTTTCACAGTAATGTTATCATACTACTAAAATTTCAAACTTGACTTCAATATTAAAAAATAGACTCAATACTCTATACCGATTTTGATACCCAAATGATATAATATTAAAATCTTTATAAGACAATACTGTAATTTTAAGACAATACTGTAATTTTCAACAACATTTAATAGTATTAGTTTAATGTGGACTTACACTAGTTCTGATAATACTCCAAGATGAAACTGTTCAGGAAAGCTGATACTTGCTCAAATAGTAGGGATGTAACAATAACCGAAATATCGTGATATCGTATCGTCAAAGTTCTCACAATAATATCGCGGACCATCACAATATATCAAATTACAAGTCTCTTTGTTTAAATTAAGAGTTATGGTGCAGTAATAGCTAAAAAAAAAGACAGAGGGAACTACATAGACCATGATCCTTTGCTCCATTTCAGTGCAGACTACAAGAAGAAGTAACAGTTCTAAGCACTTTTATGTCTTAGTTCTTTGGGTTAAGTCCTGTCAAGGCATTTTAAGAGGAGAACGTAGCATATTAGTTTTGTTAGCCTCCACAAAATACCGCAATAAATATTGTACCGTGAGATGTATATAGTGAAAATATCGTACAGAGAGATTTTGATCGTGTTACACCCCTAATCGTGAGCCTCCCAGCCTTGCTAGTATTGATTAGTCTTTGATTTTCAATACTTTGGACAACCCTGTAGTTTACAAGATTTTAACCTATTTAACTATTACAAGAAACACATGCATATCAGAAGATGTTTGTAAAAGTCTAAACTACAGGCTTAAAAGACACACAATAAGGAGATAGGATACGTACTCTGCTGTTTTTAATAAGAATTAAATTGCCTAAATTATTGTAACGTATATGAAAACAGTACTCTGATTTACCTACAAAATGTCTGGCCGATGTACCCACCTCTTTCATAAAGCCAAAGGCATAATAGTGTTCGCTCCCTTATGATCAATGATATTTAGCTTTAAGCCTGACAAAGTGCTGAGAGTGGAGCCTGATTGTGAGTGGAAACCAATCCTCCAGGCACATGGGCTTTCCGGCTGGACCCAGGCTCTGCAGCGGTGCTCGGTCCAGGCTCACTGCATGTGTGAAAGGGATCTTTCATGGGCAGGAAGAGGAGGAGGCACTCACATAATTAGCTCTGTTTTTCTTTGCTCAATTTTGTGACGGATTATTTTAAGAGAAAGCAGCAGGTTCAATAAGAGGCATTCTTGTCCTTCAGGCTCACAATGTAGCACTTTCAGTCAAGCTAAGTGGTAAATTAAATAAAGGCAAGCTATGTGCACTTGGGATCTCTGCTATGTGTATCATTATACTGAAATAAAGCCTAATATATTATTGATAACATGTAAATATTATGATAACACTTAAGAAGAGGGTGACTGTCTCAAATTGATGGTTGTGTTAACTACAATTACTAGGATGACCAAGCGTCCCTATTCAGTCCCAGTTTTGAGCCCTGTGTCTACTGTCCCGGCACATTTATCCAAAACCACTGATTAGTCCCAGTTTTATACAAGAAATGTCATAGGTGTCCCTATTTTTGACCAATTTGATATCTGCCAACAGTAAAGAGAGGCATAAATTGTGACTTTTTTTTACATAAAATGCAGAAAAGCATACTTACAACGAGCAAAGTTAGTCATGAATAGGCCTCGTGCGTAACAATTTTCCTTAATTATGCAGTCGTTTCACAGTTTTATCATTACCAACTGCCACAAACCGGGACTGTTCCAGTTTTTAATTCTTAAAACCTGGTCACCTAACAATAACGATTTCAAATAAAAGAAGATGTAGTGTGCTTGTATATGCTATATAGCTGAAATCTATGATGCCCATGGATTGTTGTGTTGTATTTTGGACATTTTAAATCACAATATGTATTTAAAATGACTAAAAAAAAAAAACAAGTCCACTGATTTCCGGGTTGGAAAACACAGAGGCCAATGAGATATTAGGAGTCGATTCCCACCTGCTCCTTTACATTACGTCGTTGCAAACGTCACATCACAACAAAGCACTGATTGCTGTCAGCCCCTCCTATGGACAGCTGCAGGACATACTAGCGAGAAGTGGAAGGTTTATCAATCAGAACACACATAGGGAGTAGGCCTGTAGTCGACTAAAGAAATTCTTCTTCAACTAAAATCATGTCACTAAAAAGGGGGTGTGGCAAAAACTATTACATATCTCTATGTATCTATGCAAACTGCACTAACATGACCACACCTGCATGGGGTTTCATGCAAAAAAATAGATATATTTATACACAAAAAAACCTAAGGATAATGTAATTATTAGGGATGTAACAATAACCAAAATATCGTGATATTGTATCGCCAAAGTTCTCACAATAATATTGTGGACCATCACAGTATATTGAATTACAAGTCTCTTTGCTTAAATTAAGAGTTATGGTGCAGCAATAGCAAAAAAAAAAAAGACAGAGGGAACTACATAGACCATGAATCTTTGCTCCATTTCAGTGTAGACTACATGAAGAAATAACAGTTCTAAGCACTTTTAAGTCTTAGTTCTTTGGATTAAGTCTTGTCAAGGCATTTTAAGAGGAAAAAGTAGCATATTAACAGTTTTGTTAGCCTCCACAAAATATTGCAATAAGTATCATACCGTGAGATGTATATGGTGAAAACCGAGAGATTTGGATATTGTTAAATGCCTAATCGTGAGCCTTCCCACGATATCGCAATAAATATCATACTGTGAGGTTCAGACCGTGAAGATATTGTATCATGAGACTTGGATACATTACACCCCTAGTAATTATATAATGTTTAATCTCCCT